CGAACGGCACTTGCGGGTGATGCGTCGCGCCGTCGGGCCGTCGGGCCGTCGCGCATGCGCATCCGTCATCATCGGCATCAGTAGTGGGCAGTGGCGGTGGGAAAAATATATAAACCTGCACACTCGTATGGAGACGAACAAGTGCAGGGGCGACTCACTATATTTATGACGGCATTGTGTTCAAATGATTTGAATTGCGTTTAACGCTTGAATTGAGATTGAGTCGTACTCTTGAGAAAACCAGACCGGCTGCTGTCGGCTGTGTCTTCGACTGATCGTTGAGTTGGTCGATCAAATGGAACAAGCATCCCATCCACAAGGCAGCGAGCGAGGGAACAACTCATTGAACGCATAAAAGTTTTTATGCGCATTCCTGGACAAACAACAACTCGCAGCGACAGCCAGAAAGATCAAAACATGACAATAAAAATCAGGACTCAGAAACCGGGTCGCCAGGTTCGTGTGTCGTGTTGTCTCTCGTTTTGGTCGTGTGCCTTTTTAACGCCAAAAGTGTGACATATAATTTTGAAAATGGCAAGCGGCAACAATAACAACAACAACGGTCAATGGCAAGGGCCATAACAACAATTCAACGTCGAGAATGTCACCAGCAACATGCAACGCGTTGCAAGCTGCCACGGGCACAGCCCCAGAGCGAGAGAGATCTTTGAAACGATCGACCCGCGCGATTCGAGGCGATTTACTTTACGACTGCCGTGTGCCGTTTTTGATGTTCCTTTAATTTTATGCTCCTCTTTTGTAGCTCATTTACAAATTTCAGATGCAGGTACACACAACAAAATATAATAACCGAACTCTGGCTAAGACGCGATCGTTCGATCTCTGCTGCTCGGCCCCATCCGTTTTTGATGTAAACTTATCAAGTCACAATTTTGATTGTAGTGCGCAGATAAGGCCTATAAGGTCTAGAGGCGTCCCAGCACCACTCAACCGGAAATAGAAAAGAGGTTTGGCCAGGCATTGCAGTTCTCTTCTCTTCTGTTCTGTTCAGTGCGCGCCAAAGATACAACAATAACAACAACAACAGCAACAACTCGACGACGCGTCTCCAAAATGACTACAAAATGGCAAAATGCATTGGCAACGCTTCAACGTGGCTTAAATGTCTGCTCGAGTGGCTGACTAGCCGACCCAACAACCATCTAGACCCAACTTAAGCGCCGTCCGTTGTCAGAGCCCAACGAGCTAACCAGACTAAGACGCACCAGCCTTAATGGCTAAATGGTAAATGCAGACTGTCTGTGTCCTTAACCTCCTCGAGGCAGCCTCACCTTAAGTGTGCAGCCAGAGATACGACAATACTATATGGCTTTATGTGCAAAATACTGCCACTAAAGAATACTTTCGGCACTCAGCCTACATACTACTAACATTTTTCTTCTAACAATGTATTTCTCCTGTCAATAAAAGCGATGGACTGAACTATTTCAAAACATTGTGTAATTTTTTTTAATTTTTTTAAAGTTACAAAATATATAAAAGGCCTATCTTTTCGGTTTTAATGCAATGTTCTGATTCTCAATTGAATTCAAATTACAATCATCTTTAACAATCTCTGTTGACAATCATCTTTAAAAGCGAATAACTTTGCGATTACGTTTATATTGTGAGCTTCGTTCTCATAAGCTATGGTGCTACATTTTTAGATGGTTCTTCCGAAATACACATACTTCTCAGTACATTAAGTTTAGTTTATATAAGACTTCTAACTGACAAGACTTCGTTTAAAAATTTAAGGGTTTTTAAGCGTATTCAGATTTATTTAACTTTTATAAACCTAAAACAAAAGCAGGTTATGCTGTGTGAAAAAGTGGCTTTATTTTATAATTATAAAAATAAAACCAAAACACAACGAATAATTTCCGAAAAGTACTGAACTGTACTAAAGAAGACAAACGGGATCAAATTATATATTTAAACTATATCTAGATTTTCAATCTTAAGCGGCTTCAGTGATAAAGCATCATCATAGGAATCAACATTTGTCAATAAAAAATATAATAGTGAAGACACGGCAACTACAGATAGTAATAGTACAAGTAATGATAAACGAGTTCTTGAGACGTTCACAACTAGTCAAAGGATTTACTTCCCAGGAACTTTCATGTTGTCCTTTTTACAACTGACATCAAGAATAGCCAGATATTTCATTGAATAAAAAATACAATTTAAAAAAAAATGCCCACAATTACAGGGAACTCTGACTAAGGCAGCACATGAACTTTCTGAAAGATTGTCAATTCCATGCCAGGTGTTTTAAAGCAACATTTGTTCATTGACTTAAGCAGACCAATATTTTTGAAAATATATCAACTATGTAGTTAGGCAGCTCAAACTAATTTGCATACAAATAAATTAATTTCGAGAGAAATAAAAATCGAAATGGCTGGACAAGAAAAAATTATGAAAAATGTACAATACGAATTTGAATTTGTTTTGAAAATTAATTAAAAAATACAACATTTTATGCATTTAACGAGCCGCGGCGACGGCGCCAATGGGCAGTGGTGCGACTATTGGCCCACCACCACAAGCGCAACCAGCAACAGCACCACCGCCTGTGGAGTGTCAACGTGGCCGAGATTATTTACGTTTACACCTGTAGCGCACCTTTAGACCCAGAAACACACACTCAATACTCAAAAAACAAAAACCAAAAATATATATGTACATATATATAAGAAAAGCGCAGCACAGCCCCTAGTCGAGGCCCAATTCCAGTCGGTTGGGGCGTCGGCACTCGTCGCTATGTTTATCGCCTCGTCTTGGCGCGCCACGCTGCTCTACTAATGATGCGGCCAGTTGAGTTTGACATTTGGCCAAGACCACCAGCCGTGCTTAGTTAGTCACTGTTGTTGTTGTTGTTGTTGTTGCTGTTGTTGGTGTTGCTGCTGCTGTTGATGTTGTTGTGTTGCTGTGTTGTTTGTGCATTTTTTGATTCGATTTTCGATTGCGCTGTGCGATGCTTATCACTGGAAGCTGTAACCCGTGTACCGTTTCATCAATTAATGAAAGATTTCGGCGCGCTTGTCTGGCGATGGTATCGCCAAAACGATTAATGCAAATGCCGCATTCAAATGTATTTAACAATTATACAAAGTGTTGAAAATGGTTTGATTGTTTTTGGTTGTGGTTTCGGTTTTGGTTTTTCGTCTAACAGTCCCAACTGATAAGCTTAACTGATAAATTGTTGAACATGCTTTGCATGTTTCGTTCGTCTCTGACTCTGTATCCGATTGTCTAGCATTGATTAACTAAATAGCTTAAATATTAATTTTCTTACACTTTACAGCCTAAGCTTTAAGCGAACACCACAATGCGGCCAAAGTTGCATTAATTAATATTATGGGGTTGGAGACAAACTTTTAGAGAGCTCTCTGACTTGAAAACAAACAACTTGCCATAGCGGAAGTGCGACATTAATCTAAAAAACATCTAAGAAAAACAGCCAGACTTGCCTATGTCTGGCACAATTTGTCAACTACAATGGAGCTCTTAAGCTCGCAGCGCTTCAAATTCATTCATGATTCGATTCTCTGAATGAAAATTGAAAAGCCTGTAAGCCAAACAACATGCCATTGTCCGAAACTGACTGACTGGCTGGCTGGATGGCTTGTTAGCTTGGCTATTTGCTTGTTTATAAATAGAAGTAAATTAATAACATAAGTACCTAATCCAATCAATCAAACTGTATGGGCCGCATAGAAACACAGTTACCAGTCGTTTTCCCCCCCCTCTTTGACTGACGGACTACAAGATAAAAACATCAACAGGCAACAGCAGACAACAGTCAAAACTACAACTACGACATTTGCCGCTTGCTTGTACAACAATAACAACAACTCCAACAAAACCACAGCCTCACGGAATACAAAAATCGGATATGCCCATCCCTAAAAAGGCAAAAGCCAAACAGCGAGTGCCGAAGAAGGCATAACAAAAAAGTTGAAAAAAAAAATGTTATTAATATGCCTAAGGCTGAGTTGTTTTTTATATGTACAGTGGAAATTGCTTTTAGGATAAACTTTTGGTCTTCCTGCTTCTTAACAGACTCTAATCCAGCTATAAGTTATATTAAATTTGGATATATGGCGCAAAAGCAACAAAGATTTGCAAAGCTATTTCTTTAGACTTACAAATTTTAACCGTCTTGCTTCTAACGCATTCTATTCTACATATATTAATATTCATAACTCCGAATCTGGCGCCATGTGACTTCTGGTTATTCCCGAAACTTAAGTAACATGCTTAATTTGTTGTGAAATACAGAAAGGTCTCCAAAAAAAACAAATTAAAAATGTATACATTTACAAAAGTATCATGCTTGGAATTGCTTTTGACACATCGATTGGAAGAAATAGAAACTTTAAAATAAAATAAAATAAACTATAACAGACTTGATCAGTTTAGTCTTAAACAAATAAATTAGCTCTGAACTATACGAAATAAACAATTAATAGATGGCTTTGCTTTAAAATGACCAAATACTAGAACTCCTCGCACGTTTAATAATCTCCTCAACTCTATGGTTTTATTTTGTCTTTCATTCGTAATTTATAAATTAAACATTATATTAATAAAGCATCTTATTTAGTAAGGAAATAGCTAAAAATAGGTTGTTGAATATTCAATTTATTTATAATTTCTTTTCCTTAATTTAAATTAAATACTTACAATGCACGGCACTTAGAAACCCATGAATACTTTTGGTCAGACATGCGAATAAATTCCACCCAAAATTGGGTTTGAAAATTAAATCTCAAAGATTTGTTATGTTGGAGAAAAAATGTTTTAGAATTCTTATTGGTTTTGATTAAAATGAGAATATATTCATTACGACCTTGGAAAATTCTACAATTATTAACCTATTTAGTTTTTAAAACATTTTCTAAGAAATATTGGAGCCCCAAACTACTGATCTAAGAGCTCCTAATAGAGTCATTCGTCCGAGACGCCCGCCAATTACAAAACAATGTTGGTTTACTTTGCTTAGCAGACGCCCAGATCAGCCAGCGCTTCTCTAAGCGTAGCTATATGTATATTTATTTCAGTCAAGCAAGCTCATCAGTTTATTACAACAAGCTCATTAATAGGGAACAAAGTAAACTACAAAAAGTAGCCTACATTGGTTCGTGGGGGCCCAGAAAACACATCCATTTCTCTAGCTTATATTATTTTAAGTTCATTTTCAACGGCAAGACATAAAAATATTCATTGGGTTACCTTACTACCGAGCGAGGAGATTAGCTGAAGCAATTCAGCACGCTTTGCTTTAACTGTATCGATATGGAGCAGAGGCAAGCCCTCGACAGCATCGTAGCGATTAACATAGTCGGCGATGTGATCAGTCATGCAAATGACGTGGATGCCACAGTCGTAGCCATTGACCTGTTGCAGGCAACGAGTTGGGCGGAATTTTGCCTGTCGAGCGCCCAACTGGGCTTTAATTTTGTCCATCACCTCCTTTGATGGTGCGGTATTGTTGCCGCTCGATGAGTCGAAATGGTAGAAACTATTCTCCGGACGGGAATACACCAATAGGGACCAATGAGATCCGCCGGCTTCGGCGGTTTCGTTATCGTTGATGGCAAAGAAAATAAACGATTTTTTATCCGCCTTGTGCTGAGCAAAGATCTCCGCCAGTTCCTTCTCATCCATGTATTTCATGCACTGCGTTAGTTCCGGCGCTATAAACAGCAAATCAGCGCCATACTTGCTGTGCGACAAATATTCGTAGTAGAACGACAAAATCTGATCGTTCAGCCAATGGGGACCATCCAGCAGTCTGACATCCGAGAGCCGTAGGCAGGAATCGAAATAGCTTAACGCTATGGGATCGGAATTTGGCCGCCTAGACATGCTCTTTAATGTTTTCTGTTGTTGTTGTCAATGTTATTGTTGTTGCGACAGCTGCCCAAAACCAGTTCCTTGCATCAACGACCGGGCACGTGGTTCTACATATATTGCAACTCTTGCCTCAAACCTACATTGAAACAATCACAATAATGAATGAGTGTTTAATTCTGTGTTCAATTACACATGCAAGTTCTATTTCATTATCTTTTGCTTGCCTACTTTGTTTTTGTTTTCGTTTTCGTTTTCATTCATTTTTGGCGGCAAACGGCGGGGCGTGCAATTATTTCGCGAACAGCTAAAATGCCAGCTTTAACTATTTCTAGCGAATGTTGAATTATTATAGGAGCATTATTTTACTTTTTACTGCGTGCTAATGCTAATATTATTATTTATTTTACCACAAGCCTTCGCGATTGTTGTGTTGTTTGCGGCAACGCAGAAAACAGCTGCGACTTTAGTGTGACTGTCAGCAGTTCTTTTCCAAAATACCGCATAAATACTGCAACAAATAAAAATACTAGGATGCACAAAACTTGCCTAATTTTCGTAAATGTCGATTTCTTCGGATAGCCTGAGCAGTTTCCATATCCCCCACAGCAAAAAGGTTTCAAATTATTTCAAAATTAAATAAATAGAAATGAAACAAAATTGCAAATTCGAATAGGCAGTATTTTTTTTGGGAAAACTTGCGATTCAAAGCAAAGTTCGGTAACAACAGTTCTATGTTTATCGCATTGAACTTTTTACAATATTCTGCCCCATTTGAAAATACATATGATTCTTATGCTTATTGAAACACTTCTTATTAGTATAATTTTTGTAGTACATCTACTAATTCAATGGCTATGTCTGAAAAACAATTCAAAAAGCTTTTTATACGAAATTTGACAGTTTTTTCTTTAGGTTCGGTAACAGTTCTATGTTTATCGCATTGAACTGTTTACAATATTCTGAAAATACATATGATTCTTATGCTTATTGAAAATCTTCCATACATGGAAGAATAATTTGTAATTGGAATTTTAAACTTTTGCAAAATAAATAAAAATTCCTTCCAATTGACAACTTTTTGATTAGAGATAGAAACATTAGTCTACCAATTAATAACGTTGTTCTTTTAAGATCTTCTCACCAATTTTGGCATTACTTTATAGTAAAACCTCTTCGTTTATCTTAACTGATTTCCGCTGCATTGTTTGTGTGTAACTTTAAGCTCGATGTTGACGTTGAAGCTGTTTCTGATGCTATCTTTTTCTCTGTTTCTGTTTCTGTCGCTATGGCCCGCGGACTACTAACAGAAATATTTACGGAACTGGCTGATCCGCAACTTGGTCTGTGTGTGTCGTGGCTGATGTCGGCCTGATGTCGGTCTGATGACTGCATAGGAACCGGCAGAGGCCTCATGTCAGTCCAGTTTTCAGTTTTCTGCCTCAGCTCATCTGCTGTGCGGTTTCACACCCGCACCCTACTACCAATCCTTAATTTTTTCATATTATTTTTCAGTTTCTTCTGTGCGGACTCCTGAGGTTGTGCCTTAGCTTCGGATTCAACTTTTATGAATATGAATGGCTTAGCACGCGCCTTTTAAGCCACCAGCTGAGATGACTTGTGGATTTTCAATTTATTTGTTGTTGTTGTTGTTGTTGTTGCTGTTACTGTTTGTTGTCTGTTGCCGGTTTCCAAGAGCGTTGTTGCTGTCGTTGTCCGTATTGATCATTTTATTTTCTGCTTTTTTGTGAATTATTGAGTACTTGGCGGTCCATATGTATGTATGTGTGTCACTCTGTCTGTCTGCTTGTCTGCCTATCTGTCTGTCTATTTACTGCCTTTGTGGTGCTTAACTCGTAATGACTGCGCAATTTCTTTTCGCTCAATTGTGGTACTTAGCGTATTTACTTGAGATTCTTTTGTTTTAGAAAGTATCTAGCGGCTATAGCGACTATCTGAGCAGTAACAGAATTAGTTGTCGATTTATTGGCATAAGTAAGTACGACATTATACACATATTCCGAATATTGCCTTGCTTGGGCCAACACATCAGCTCAGTTCTCGTTACAATCTTCCATAGATTTATCGTAATTGTATTGGCCATTCATGCTGCTGTTGTTGTTGTTGGCTTAACTCTTGCCTTTCCTTTCATATCGTATCATTGTTGCTGCAATTGCCTTTGACAATTTGTTTGAGATGTGCGCCGGAAATGAGTAATCAAGATTATGCGATATTGGCAAAAAAAAAAGGGGGAAAAATTGATTTGATTTGAGCGCTTTTTGAATGATTGATGAGGTTAGACAGCAGCTAAGAGTGGTTCGAGATCGACAGGTAAATGTTTTGATGGTTGCTGTGATGTTAGCAAACAGATTATAAATCCAAAAAACTTTTAATGAGTAAGCTTTGTTACACTTTTAACATATTTTCTGGTTCTCCAACGATAGATAGGATCTTACTCTTACAGCGGCTAATTGCTCTTCTAACACCAAAAACTTAAAAAACGACATCAACAGTACCATTTGTGAGTTAATTTAAATTTTATTTTTAACTAAGAGTTTTTCGAAAAATACCCGTACACAGTCTAGATTGTAAGCGTTAATATTAATCTAGACTTAATTTTGTTCGTGTTTATTAAATTGATAATGAATTTAAAAAAATAATAATAAAACAGTAAAATGTAAAACAAAACATGAGGGAAATATAATTACTAAACAAAAGATAAAATTACTAAAAAGATTTCATGCAAAGTAAAAGTCTTTTCTGAGCCCCAAAAACAAATCGTACGAGCATTTTATGGAAACTAGTGAAATATTAAGTTTTATTTGCTTTAAAAATATGCGCTGCCATTAGGTTTTGGGATAATAGTTTAAGAAGCAAACAAATTCTAGTCAGATGCTTAGTTAAATGAATCCCCATTCCATTAATGAGGCACGCTCCCATTAGATTTGCATGGCAATGAAACTTAAGCTGATATCTGGCATTGGGCAATAACTTCCGTATAATCTCCACTCACTCAATGTCCAGCTCAACGAATTTTGAGTGCAATTAAAATTTAAATTATGAACAATTTCCACAACAGGTGAAATGTAAGCCCAGAGACATAAACAACCAATTTACGATGAGTGGTAGCCGAACGGCAACTTGTCACACAGCATTGGAAAAATATCATTTACCAATATCGCTTTCCACCATTTCCATGGCTCTAACTGTAGCTCTGACTCCGACTCCGACTCCGGCTTCAGTCTCAATCTCAGTCTGAAACGCAAATGAACTTAATCAAGTAATGACCGGGTCGATGAGGCAGCGCCACAATTCTTGCCAGTGCCAGAGCCACAGATTTCTTTTGTTTGGCTCTATGCATGGTAATGGTAACATGAGTAACCAGATACAGATACAGATCAGTAGCTGTAGCTATAAAACGCAAGCAGAGCCAAAGCATTGCCATTAAAACGGAACGGCGACGTGCCCTTCTAATTGCTGCGAGTGAGTTAAATGGTAAAAAATGTGCTCAGGCCCATCCAAAGAATCCCATGGAGGTGCATAAAACCGAACATTTTATGTAATGTGTTCATTAGACTCATAGACACAGCCTCACCAAGAAGCTGAAGACGCTGAAGAAGCTGGCGAATCGTGCGCCGGCCTTTTCAATAATTGACCCAATAACACAGCGTGCTGTTGATTTTTACAATCGCGGCGATAAAATTTACTATCTCTCATCGATATTATCGCAAAATTGTTATTAATTGCCAGACAGGCAGACACACGAAGCCCTCTGTTAGACATTATTGACTCACTCGCCGGACTGGAAGAATTTACAAATTGTTTTTATATTTTTTCTTCCTCTTTGCTTTAATTCACCTTTTTTTTGGGCAATCTTTATGACAACGCAAAATACGTTAATTTGATCATTTGCATATTAAAATTGATTTTATTGATTCGTTTTTCTGGTATTTTGGACAATGAAGAGATGATCGGACGTAGATAGCCATAGATCGTTGTACATGCAAGACGTAAGTATGCGAGTGATGCTAGAAACATCGATGTTTTGTTAACGATGCAGCTGTGTTGAACGTGGAATTGCTGCAGTCGATGTATCATTAAAAAAAACAAATAAACTGGGTAAATAAATATAAATAGTGTGAGCGAAGTATTGCACTATAGATACAGAGGGAACATCTGTTAAACAAAATGCTAAGTGGTTCAATTTGCAGCGTGATTTACCTCCATTATACTGATTGATACTATACGTCTATTCTCTGAGAACGAACTTGGTTGTATGTTTTCAAAAATCAGCTAAGGGAAATTCGGAAAAGCCCACATTTGCAATAGAAGCTAGTAATATTATAGTGCTGGACAAAGTATATCGATGTTTGCATCTTGATTGCCATCACTAATGTTTAGCCTATTTATGGCCGTTGTGACATGAAATTCTTTAACGTAGACCAAAAGCCAATAAAAACCCTTTCAAAATTCAAAAACCCAAAACGACGCCAAAAAAAATTATATCAGCTGTCTGCAAGAAATTCCAAAAACTCGACAGTCAAAGCCAAACTATGGCTATTAAGACTTATAACTTGTTTGATGTTCAAAGTTATTTCGACTTTGTATTAATTTTATTGAAATTTTAGGTGTAAATGGCAATTAGTGCTGAGCAGTGGGGTATCGGGTGGAGTAGGACTGAGGAGGAAAGAGTGTGCCTGCAATATTGTTCACATTTTATAACTTCTCGGTGACACGAACTGCCACATAAAAGTGCACCACACGCATCGGCTATAAAATGTCCAACTGATGTCTGGTCTGAGGCTATAGTTCGACATAAACTTTACAAATCAATGAATGGTGGAAGAAATTTGAGTGTGTGTTTGCAAAATGAAAGTTGACATAGCTAAACGATTCTTGGGCATTACTTTTGCTTTCTGCCTGGGCAGCTGCCATCGGCAATATTTTACAAATTAAGCGCATAAATCAAATATAATGAGCGTGCAAGTCGGCCATAAAGTGGAGCGCTTTGAAAGGCGGCGGCGAGCAAAACAACAACACCAACAAAACAACATGGCTGCGATTCTACGTGATTGATAAAATGGCGTGTCCAACATGAGCAGCTGACAGACAGACAGGCTACCAACTTAAATTAAGACATTTGAGGCGTGAAATGACAAAGACATCAGAAAATGGGTAACCATGAAGCTCAGCCGAGCTCAAAAGATAAGTGCATTGCCAAATAAAATGAAATAAATATGCATTCAGCGAGGTAAGCCGAGTTGCCAAATAAAACAAAAAAGTGCAGGCATTTCAGATTAAATCAAAGGTTAAAATTGTCAAAACTTGCTGTGGGAATGTACATACATATGCTGGGAAACCGGGAGCATCAGACAGTATATACACATTCTTTAAATGGAGTTCAAGCGGCCTAGTTTATGTCTGATTTTGAATCCCAAAAATTCCTCCATTTATGTATTTAAAATTAAATAAAGCAAAGGCGTTTCTCAAGCCCATCACCATTCTATATATACTTTTTGGGGTCTGCCACGCCTCCTTCGGTGTGTTACATACATTTGCATTCGCGGTATAAAAATGCTTTAAGGTAATTATTATTATTAATTTTTATCATTAATTTGTATTATTAATTGAATGTATTTACTTGCTAAAAACCGAACAAAAGCAGCAGTCGAGACGATTGCAAATTATTTATGATAATTTTGTCTACTTATTTTTCTTACAAATTTTTAAGAGAAATTTTACACTCTCTTGCTTTTGCCGATTGATCTAACTGCGCTCTCTTGGTCCTTTGCGACAAGTTAGGGCGCTCGAACCCCACACCCCAACTTGTTCGTACAGCTTCATGCAACTGACTCAAAACACAAATGTAGCCAAGTTAGAAATCTGTTATACATATCATACGCCAAATGCTTGAAATTGAGTTTTTTCCTTTCTTTTGTGCCTCTGTTATGTTATGGTGACATTCTGTCTGCTAATACCAACTGCGAGACATATGCATTAACATATGCATGTGCATAAAATGTTAAATGCACAGGTATACACACACACTTATGTTATGTTAAAGCACGCAGTGCAAAAGTATTTGGAAAAGTACAAATTATTTATTGCGAAGTAACAAAAATGAATCAGTGCGTACTTACATTTACAAACATTTCAAAATTGGAAAACTTTTATTATTGAAATCACTATTATTACCACTTAAAACACAAAACAAAAATTGAGGCGTTGTGCAATTCATTTGACACACACACTCACACATGCATAGAAAAATATGTATAAGGCGCGTAATTTGCGCGGCATTTTCGCAGCATTTTCGCATTATTAAAAACACATATTTTGCACACATCACGCACAACTTAATATGTATATACATACTAGTATAGTATGTTTTAACATATTTTACTAATATTTAAACTATTAAATACACGTTTTGCAAGAGTTTTCGTCAACTCCAATGACCGGCGGCGCGACGCGTTTAACAGATCGATCATAACTAAGCCTAGCATTGCAGCTGCCCGCGGAATGCTCTCTGTAAGAATGCAAAAGTAAAGGAAAGAAGTCAAAAATCATAACTGTAAATCTGCGCTCCCTCCTTTCGCACGTGTGAGGCGAAGCAAGTGTTTGGTTATTTCATGCGTTGGAGTAGATTTGAGAAGAGTGAGTATTTAAGGAATTGAGTGAATTTTTGATTTAAATAGAAATAACAAATATTTAATATTATGTAATATAATTAATTTAATATATGGAGTACACCATTAAGGAAAGGCAGCAACAACAACAACAGCTGCGGGTAGAACATGGGCAGAGATCCAGCTCTTATACTTTCCGAGGGACAGACGGGCAGAGCGAGAGACGGACAGACGACGGACATGGCTACATCGACTCCTCTCGTTATACTGAGCATGCATTCGCATACCCTTTGAGTAAAATATTTGTTGATTTTTGCGCGGAATGTTTCATTTTATTCGTTAACTATTATTTAGATGATACTTCATAATTTATTAATAAAAAATGTATAAATTATCTTAATTTAAAACTTCAAGCTTCTGCGAGCTGTCAAGCCAAAGTAAGTTTTTACGACTGTTGTGACTGATTTGTTAAGCAATTAATATAAAATGATTTAGTTAGGCTTACTTAATAAATTTTAATGCACAATTATAGCTAAACATGTGATTTAAGTTAAGTACAACTACAATTTTGAATTGCATTTAAACCTGTTCCACGATTCTTAAGTACGCATGATTGTTTTGAATGGTAAGGGGGACTATGTGCGTTTTAATTTTGGCTTGGAATTCGAATTGTAAAAGCGCGTTATTATGAACTTCCCCGACTGCAAAATCCACTCTGAATGTCCAGCCCATCACCTGTTGCCATGTTGGAAAGGCAGTAGCTCAATAGCCAGCTCTGAGGCCCTCGGGCAGTCAGTTAGTTGGACGTCAAATTACAGCAACTAGCAATGTGGCTGGCTGATGCCTGATGCCTGATGGCTGGCTGTTGCCACTAATAAAGCCGTAAAATTAAACGCCAACAGGCGAGCGAGCGCGCGCCTCAGTGATAAACGCCAGCAGATACTTTGAATTGTTTATTTGCGTGCAAATAATTGCAGTGCTTGCTGGGATTGGGAGCTGCGGCTTCTGGTAACTAATCAGCCGCAGTCGCTACCAGCCGGGTTCTGTTAACGAGCCCCGCTTCTTTTTTTATTTGGTGCCAACTTTTGTGGGGCGTCAATCGTCGGCGATGCTAATGAGCCGCTAATAAGAAACCGCGAGCCATCAAATGCCTGAGACGAGCAGCGTACAGGTGTCGAGTTGATTTGTAGGCACGTTCTGTGGGACACGCCCAGCTGAACACCCCTTTCCCCCTCTACCAAAAAAAAAAAAACAAAAAACACCCAAAAACTAGTTCGAAAACCCTAGAGAAAATAGATCACAGTCCAATAAAAATGGCTTGTATAATAATTTCCACATCGTTTTGGCATTTTTTGGGGCGTTTGAAAAATAATTAAAATATTTACAAATGCCACAAAAAGACAAACCCCACCACAACAGCAACAACAACAACAACGACTGCAAAACACGTTCGCTTCAGACTCGAAGTATACGCCCCAAAAGCGGACCGGCAGCCGTACAAACAGATGTGTAGGTTTGTCTTTAAGTTTCAGTTTTTTATGCATATATGTATTTATGTGGCCACCCGACAAGGTGTTAAAAGTTTGGCATAACTTACTGAAAACTCATATTAAATGATATAAAAGCTTATTAGTCCGTCCCTCATTATGCACGAATGTAAATGAACCGAACTTAGTAATAAATAAATGTACATATGTATATTAATAGCAAAAATTCCAAATTATTCATTTTACCCAAAAAGAGCACAGCACTGAGGCGAAAAGGCTTCTTTATAAATCAAAATAGTTTTGGTATAATATTTTGTAATATTTCTAAAAATTCTAAAGAAGTTTATCCTTCTTTGGTATTAAAAACAGAGCCTGCTTTACTATATAAGCCAATATCTTTCAGTCAACTTATACTACTGTTTTATTTTAAGAACACTTCATATCCATATCCTTACATCCTTATCTGCGCTACATTATCAAATCTCCTAAGACAGACAACATGCCTAGTTCTTTGCTCAAAGAGTGTCCTAGTTCCCTAGTCCAAGCATTGCTTAACTTTTTAAATCAACAAAGGCATTATATCCAACAACTTATGTGTCCAAATTGATATTAAAATATCTTTAAATTTTCGCTGATTTTCTTGGATTTTTTCGAAAGCAAATTTCAAGAATTTTATAGAATTTTTCCTAAGCCTCCCAGGAGTCCATCAAAAGAATTTCTAAAAATGTAAATTTATCAATTGATGCCTAAACGCAAGCACTGGTCTCTTAAATCATTCGGTTTCTAAATACCTTTTCTCTAAAATATTCAAATAAAACCGCTTCAACTGCCAATATGACGAATAAATCTTGATTCTCTCCACACATCGATCATCTCGTCGCCTGTTTGGCTACACAAGCCATCAAGATGTGTAGCAAGAACCAATTTCTCATAACGGAAGCCACTCGAACGACCATCCGACCATGCAACAAATGGAGTGCAACATTCTCCTCTGCATGTGTCGAGCTGTCAAAAGTTTTCAAATGGCAACGGCAATCGCTTAGCTAATAACAAAAAATTTAATTAACTTGGGTTTGCTGAGCTGTTGAAAAATATTAATAAAACATTTCAATTCCCATGCTTTCCACCAATCACACACACATATGTACATGCATGTACACACAAATCTGTACACATATACGGTGTATATATGCCGCCGTTTAACGAGTTTGTACAACATTTTCTGGCAGCTCTCAAGTCTTGACTTGATTGGGCCAAACTAGTTTCGGATGCTCTCCGACTTAATCGATGCAAACGCAAAATATTTGAAAACAAAACATGCGACAACATCATCGTGTTTACATGCGGGAATGGGTTATCTATAGTATACTACTTGTATATACTTGTATATTGTATTAAACGATTGGCTATACTACTATATTTGAGTGCCAGTGGAACATAAATAAAGTCGGAGAGCTGAGGCGACGACCTGTAGCGCTCATTAGCGGGGACTTCTTTAATTAAGCTGCAAGTGGAAGAAAAGCCGCGACACTATGCTGAAAAAATTTGGTCGCCACCATAGGCAGGTGGTGCCCCATAAAATAAACTAGAAACAGAAATCATTTAAATCACAACCCCCCCAAGTGCGTTTTATGCGCGCACGACACGCGTGGAAAATGAAATGAAATGAAAACATTGAAGCGCCTCGTTAGCGGCATCAAAGCAGCAGGTTGTCAAGCATTTGACGTCATAATTATGGTAAGTAGTACTACACTAGTGATGTGAATATTTATGCATACAAGTATGTACTCCAATTCAATTCGCAGCAAACTGCACATCTTCCGGCTTATAGAAAAAGAATTGCACGTCCGTTATATTACGATCCTCCTGCTTCAAACGCTCCACTCGGATCACGGCCAACTTTGAGAACCAATATTCGTCATACTGGAAATGGAGAGAAAAGAAAGTAATTGAGTAACATAGACCAATTAGATCAGCTAGTTCTCATCTTGTTTATTATTATTTTATACAAGTGGCTCTGTATCACATATTGCGGGAGAGTGGGGGAAAGAAGAAAAGTTTTGAAATATACTTGAACTGCATAGTCGTATGAGGCATCTTTGTGCAAATTTTGGTGACCCTAGGTCTTATAGTCTCTGAGATCTAGGTGTTCATACGGACAGACAGACGAACACACAGGGCTAGACTCGTATTTTCATGCTGATCAATAATTATATAAATATATCCATCTGCCTGTTACATTTTTTTCGTTTCATAAAATTAACTTGTGATATTTCTGAAATCCTTTTTTCCATATTCAGTAGAGTATAGTTTCGAGTACCATTTCTAATCGGTACTAAGAAAGAAACAAGTGTTTTCGATATTTCCCGTATAGGTATGCACATATGAAGAAGCCTTTAAAATGATATTCCTGATCAGGAACCTGAAATCAGTACCATTCAGTACTATACTCACATTCTTCTCATATTCATTCCAAACGCCGTCGCAACCCGACATGCTGACCTTCAGTAGACGCTCCAACTTCTCACTGTGACGCACTTTGTACAAATCGTTGAGCACGCGACAGGTTAGGGCGGGACACCCGATGAGGTAGAGCTCGGCCAGTGCTGGGCAACGCTTCACGAAGTCCAGCAGCTGATAGTCCTTCAAGTCATCGCACTGACAAAACACTGCATACTTCTTCACACGCGGCATACCCAACGTAACCATATTGACATCCGCAAACTTACAGTCGACGAAGACGAGGCCGTTTAGACGACGACAGCGATGCATTTCCAATTGGCGCATCCAGTGGGGACCCCCAAAGTAACGGCAATTCACTTGTATAACCTCAATCTGGCTCGCCCGCTGCCGGATGACCGTGCACATGGCAGTGAGGGTCGCCTCCAAGTCGGATGTTTGTCGCAACTCCAGAAACTTGAGCTGCTCCAGCGTCTGTATCTCCACATTCCCCTTGTTGAAGACGGCCACGGGCAGTGCCAGATCCCTCAAACATTTACATTTGCGTATGCCTGTGACCTGCAGGGACTCGGCGGAGCGTGGCAGGTGCAAACGCTTCAGCTGCAGGCATCCTGCAATGATGGCTGTCAGAGCCTGCTGCGCGACCTCCCCATACAGACTCAAGTACTCCAGCTGTGCGAACTGCTCGATGAAGCCCACCTCGACGGGACAATGCACCTTCAGGCGACGCAGGTTGCGCATCAGTCGGGGCAGGGCTTGGAGTGGCCATTGTGGTGGTGGCTTCTTGCTCAAGTCTGCCGAAGCCATACCGGCCGGCGCATACCGGACCTCGCACTGTTCGACGCCCACCATTTGCTTGATGCCCGCACGCTCCAGGAGATTCAGCTCCTGCTGCAGATGCTCGCAAGTGAAGTACACATGACGGAAGTAGCCCTGCATTGTCTGCAGAAAGTATTCCAAGTTCGGACCCGTAAGCTCCTTCTTGGCATTCTGGAAGTCCAGTCGTCTGTAGGACTGTCTCCAAACCGCAGTGCAAGCGTCGGGCAATCGTTTGAAATCCTTACACAAAGCCAACTGCTCGGGAACGCTCAGCTTGGATAGAATTTTTGTGACGATGGCCAGATCCTCCGGATTGAACTTCTCCTTCGATGCGCTACTCTTTATTTCGTCGCCCATCCTGGTGGACCTAAAAACATGTAATTTAACCAAAATAAATTATTATTGAAACTAATTTTATGACTTTCTCAACAATATAAACGCCTGCTCCAACAACTGAAAACTGGAAACGCAAATATACCTATTTTCGAGGCTTACTCTCTCTTGGTAGCAATATTTTGTCATCGCTTGAATTTATAAATCGGATTAATTAATATTACTTGTATATTCGTTTTTGAAGAATATATTACAAAGAAATTGTTTGTTTATTACTGAGCTTAGAAGTAAATTATTTTCTAAAATATTTTCTACATTTTTAAGTCGCTATTATTTTTCTACAAACTTGCTGTTTAATACAAATATGTTCCTTTATAGATGAACTTTTATTCTTGAAATCGAACACATTTAAATCGAATCATTAAAGCAACTCGTTTCTGAACATAGTACATTACATTTTTATTTAAATAGTAAAATGATTTAGATAATTATTTTCTAAATAAAAAACTCGAATGGAAAGCTTGCAATTTTAGCATAATTTTAGACATCATAAACAAAATATAAATTGATTTCATAATTTTATAAGTCTAATGAAAAATATCGTTGTAGAAATGTTTTCTCTAGATATACATATATATAAATTAAATCTCCATCTGTGCAAAAAGTTTCGAAAGTTCGTTTCTCAATCCAATGAAATTTTGTCCTAGAATCAAAACTTAAAGCAAAACCGTGAAAATTTTAACAAATTTATATAAAAAGTAGAAGAAAACTAGGAACTAGAAACGAGAACGCTGTTCGGCTTCAATAAAAAAAACTGAAAATAGTAAGGGAATAATGAATTGGAAGTAATTTTCAGTTTTAAAGCGATTTTCTAAAATATAGATCATAGATAGAATTCCATAAATGCAATCTATTTTCCGTCCAATTTGAAATTTGAAAAAGGGGCTGTTTAAATTTTCGAGTAATTCTTTTTTATATAAAAAGTTGAAATTTCAAAAACCGACTAAACTTTTTATTAATTGTACTGCTATAGTTTGGAAATGAAACGAAACACTTGGGGCTCATCAATTTGTTTGGCAGAGCGGCCCCACCCGGAAAGTGCCGGTTGTCTAATATTTCTCCTTCAATTTCCAATGAGACGGCGCGCTAATTGGCCGCTTTGCATAACCGATTTGTAAATGTCGCCCCATCGAGGAGGGGGCGTTGCCCCACCAAACACACTAATCGAGCAAATCGACTCGTTCCTGGCCAAAGAGCCACGCATGCGCCACGCACTCAACACGCCGACAACGACAACGACGACGACGACGACGAAAACAATTTCTCAAACACGCGTGCGGCATGAATTGATCGTGTTTGTGGAACCACCCCACCGCTCCTTCTACGCCCCCTTACCCCTTGGTGTAACCATTTAGCGGGCAACACAGTTACACGAATTTCAACAACAAATTTGTCATATGTTTGGGCCGCACTGTGCGTTTTGTCGCCGCAGAGTTGACGTGACCAGACCACCGATATGGAATGCAACAAATTTGTGAACATGCCTTGTCCGGACAGCGAGCAGAGATCAACAGGCAACAGCCAACTGGCAACTGGCAACTTGAAACTTGCAACAAGCGGCGGCAGTTACAACAACGACAACAGGCCCACCCATTGTTATAATTATTGGGCGCCCATGTGCAAGTGACAATTCATTTTGCTGGCATTTGTGGAACACAACAAGCAACGACATGTGTTGAAAGTTGTTGTTGTTGTTGCCGTTGCCGTTGCAGTTGCAGTTGTTGGTATAAAATGACAGCTGCTTGCAATATCGACGACGGGCTGTCTTCTCCACCAATTGTGGATCAGCGTACGCAATGGTATTCGAAGACTTGCCCAAATAATTTCACCAAAACATTTGTGAATGCCAAGCAAGGATATCCGCAATTGTGTGTCCTCAAAAAAAAATATAACTAAATCTAATCTAACTACAAATAAAGGCGGTCAAAAATTGCCAGTCAGCCGGTCAGCTATGTCCAAAACTAAATCTTAAGCAATAAGAGGAAGAAAACTTAGTTCTACTTAGTAGCTAGTTAGATTTGTTCAGGAATAAACCCCAAATACCCACCAAGGTTTAGACTTAATATCTGCAGTACTTTATATTTAGCAGGTTGGATAATGCTTACAAGAGATTCTTCTGAAGATAACTGCAAAGTGCAATCTTTGGATATAATTTGATTGTTTCCGATTAAGCTATAACATCTTCCACAAAGCTGTGGCTTTAAAGAAATATTAACCTTTCCGCTCATTGCTTTAGATACTGGTTTATCATTATATAATAGAATTTCTAGGCAGTCGCGATTATTATTTGTATATCATTTATAAAAGACTAGCGGGTTTTGCTCGTCTTTGATGGGCTCATTATTTTTGCACTCTCTAAAGTTTCTAAAGAGAATTAAATAGTGAAATTTCTGAAAAATAAAATAATAAATTTGTGGATTTCAATTGTGAAATTTCTGAAAAAATAATAAAAATATTGTGGACGCCCTCCTCTGCGATTCTCATACCAAGTACCTAAGCGCTGGCAATTAGAGAATTAAATAGTGAATTTTCTGAAAAATTAAATAATAAATTTGTGAAATTTCTGAAAAATTAATAAAAATATTGTGGGCGCCCTCCTCTGCGATTCTCATACCAAGTATCTAAGCGCTGGCAAATCGAGAATTAAATTGTGAAATTTCTGAAAAATTAAATAATAAATTTGTGAAATTTCTGAAAAATTAAATAAAAATATTGTGGGCGCCCTCCTCTGCGATTCTCATACCAAGTACCTAAGCGCTGGCAATTCGAGAATTAAATAGTGAATTTTCTGAAAAATTAATAAAAATATTGTGGGCGCCCTCCTCTGCGATTCTCATACCAAGTACCTAAGCGCTGCCCAATCGAGAATTAAATTGTGAAATTTCTGAAAAATTAAATAATAAATATGTGAAATTTCTGAAATATATATGTGAAATAAATAATAATAAAAATATTGTGGGCGCCCTCCTCTGCGATTCTCATACCAAGTACCTAAGCGCTGGCAAATCGAGAATTAAATTGTGAATTTTCTGAAAAATTAATAAAAATATTGTGGACGCCCTCCTCTGCGATTCTCATACCAAATACCTAAGCGCTGCCCAATCGAGAATTAAATAGTGAATTTTCTGAAAAATTAAATAATAAATTTGTGAAATTTCTGAAAAATTAATAAAAATATTGTGGACGCCCTCCTCTGCGATTCTCATACCAAGTACCTAAGCGATTCCCAATCGAGAATTAAATAGTGAATTTTCTGAAAAATTAAATAATAATATTGTGAAATAAAATTGTGGGCGCACTTCTCTGCGATTCCCATACCAAGTACCTAAGAGCCGGCAAATCAAGAATTAAATTGTGAAATTTGTGGAAAATTAAATATAATAATTAAACGAAAAATCAAACTGCCCGCCAATCGATTGAGATATTGGCTGAAGATAGCCTGAAAGGATAACTGCTTGCCTTTAACGAATTATCAAACTGGCTAGTCATGACTAGTCACGACTGCTAAATATTTTTATTAAATTAGGGAGGCCCATGTAGTATATAATAACTATAATAACTGCGCTCTTTACAACAAGTGTTTAGAAAAAGAATTCTTTTTTGGCCGCTTGCTCTTTTACCTCTTAAACTGAAATTTTAGTGCCTTATAGGGTTTCGTTGCGGGCTCTCAACTATGAACCCAATGCATGGCACTCAAGTTTCCCCCGATTGGCCTAACCATGTCTTACTGACCCACTATGGAGCGCCTCTATCCGAGGAAGGTGAGGAAGACATCGGTAGTCAGGCCATTCGCCACTCACTAATTCGTTTTCACACTTTTCATGTTCTGGACAGGAGCCGTTTGTGGCCGTAGGCGCTACGGCGGCACCTAATTTCATTTGTTCGTCGGCGCAGATCTGGATCGGCCAATATTTATGTACTCGTATTGCCCTGCATTTCTTTTCCATTCTGCACTCTCGCTGGGGCCGAGCCGGCTCCGTCTGGCAAGATGCAAGCGATTTGATAACCAAATGGAGTCGGCTGGCCTAGACAGACTTGCGAGCGTGTTGACGTTGCAGAAAGGTGCAAATAAATAATTCTCAGTAGCGCTGGCCAAAGTGAAAAGTGGCAGTCGGACGGTTGGATCGGAGGAGAGCGGGGGCTAGCAGGGGAGGGCGGGGAAGGCCGAGACTCGGCCAGACAAATATTTTATTGCAAATTTGCTGATATTGTTGGACAGGCGGCAGCGGCCGTTGGTGCCACCGCCACTGCCGCAACTGTTTTGCATATTAAATTTATTTTATTGAATATAGATAGATATACGATATGTATATAGAGCTCTGCTGCTCTTGTTGTTGTTGTTGTATTTCTCCATAATTGCACGACGCCATGTGAGCCCAGCGGGCTATGAATTATTAATTGCCGTTGATTTGCATTGATTTTTCAGATGCAAAAAAAAAAAAACAAAACAAAAACAAAAATTAAGCTAAATAAAAATACCCACTAGACTATAGATACTATATGCCTGAACCAAAGCGAACGTTAATGCACATTCTTCCCGAAAGCTGCTGCTCTCAGCTGCCAATGTGTAAACATAATAATCAGCGCGCATTATGCGATATAAGACAAGCGATCTGAACAAATGCGGCAAAAAGTAATACTTTTTTGCAAAATGGCCGCCGGCCTCTCACACAATTGACACCTGTGTTGTTGTTGTTGTTGTTGTTGTTGTTGCTGCATTTGCTGCAGCTACCGTTACTTTATTTGTTGCTCCATCTGTTGTTACTGCAATATTGTAATTGTTATTTATGCACTTGCATTTGGTTTAATGGCACAGAACGCGTTGCATGCGCTGCCATTTGCTGCCATTTGCGCCATTGTGGCACACGTTGTTGCCCCCCGGGGAGGGGCCGGGCCGTACGATTTGGTGGTGTGATAGGCGGGCCTGCGATTACATAAGAGCCTAGCGAGGTTAAATGCATGTGTGAGTGACAGAAATGTGGCTCGTATTTTGGCAAAGTGCTGAATATTTCCAACAGTCGTGTCCCTTTATAACAAATCATACATCCATAGAGAAAAGCCTATCCACACATGATCGAGGATTAGGCTAAAGGAGCGCGCGCCCGCCTCTCTGCCAAGTGTTGTGTAAGCACACGCGCTTAAGTTCAACTTGAGCATGAAATCCATTGCTGCCACCGTTGACCAGCAACAACAACAACAACAACAAACAGACTAAAGACGATGACTACTGTGTGCCTGCCTTGATGTGGATGTGTCCCCGGAATTTCGACGGGGCTGTGCAAAAACGCGAATGCAAAGCGGGAACAGCAACAAAATTGAAGGCTTTTGTGGTGCGACGCGCAGAACCACTTAGGTAACTCGCTTAGCGCTGCATGGCTTGTCAAAACTGCAGCAACAGCCTCGGCAACAGCCCCGCAGTAGCCAACAATAAAAGCCACAAAGCACGTCTACGTCTTCGTTTTGGTCTTCGAGATGACGAAGTTGAAAAGGCTGAGGTCCCTCAGCTGTGGCTGCAGCGGTCGCAACTGCGGCCAAATGAATTAACCCTTTTACTTTGGCCAAGAAACAGTGGCAACTGATTTGTTATTTCCTTGTTGTTGCTCTTGTTGTTGTCATTGCTGTTGCTCCTTTGGTTCTTGTCATTATGGTTGTTGTTGCTGAAATCGTTGAAAGTGTGGGTTCTCTGTTTTGGGCCACAGACTTAGGCCCAAGGGAAAAAGTTAGTAAAAATGTGAAATCGCCATCTTTCTTGTGTTAAGTGGTGGCACACTATCTAACTATTGTATATATATTTATTATAACTGTTATACAGCATAGGAACTATGAGTATAGAACAAAACTATGTATATAAATCGAACTGCAAATGGAAATAATTATAGTAATCCACAGAATTAATTGTTAAAAAAAATTAACTATACAACAATTAGATTGAAAGCATAAATAAATGCAAACATAATATAGAACATCTACTTTTTAAGGCATGTATAAAAAGTAGCCTCCATAAATATGCTAATTTCTGTTCCTCACCACACTTTTTATGATATGCTACACTAGCTTCCCTTCTGCAAATTCAATTGAAAATTCGTTATAACACTAACTTACATCTAAAAACTGATATAAAACACTATAAGCTCTTCTCTTGCTTAGCTTCGAGTTCGCAGTTCCAAGATCATTGGCATTATCTCTGAAGTTGAGAACATATTATGGAACTATTATACACAGCTAAAACTTAAATGAAAACTGTTATATCTGGTAAGTATTATTATTATGGAACTATTATACACAGCTAAAACTTAAATGAAAACTATTATATCTGTTAAGTAGCTACTACACAAATAATATTTCTGTGCAAAAATGCAATCTAATAGAACAGAATACATATATTTTGTAACCGTTATACCTACAACTGTTATATCACTAAAGTAACGCCTAAATTGCATGTAAATTTTACTAGGAATATACTATGAAAACTGTTATATCTTTTGGGTGAATTCTAAATTGCATCTACTACAAATAATATTTCTGTGCATAAATGCAATCTAATAGAAGTAAAGCCCAAATTGCATTTAAATTATATTTCTGTAAAAATAAAATCGAATAGAACAGAATACACACATTTTGTAACTGTTATACACAATTAAAACTTAAATGAAATCTGTTATTTTCTATTGGGTAAAGCCTAAATTGCACCAAACTTATATTTTTGTAAAAATGCAACCTAATAGAACAGAATACAAACATTTTGCGGAGCAAGTTCTGTGGGTATTACGATTTGTGTTTTCTGCTTGCCGCATTGCCACTCGAGTGAAGCAGAATTGCGCGTAAATTCGTTGCGGTCTCGCGTCATCAACATAATCGCCGTCAACAACCGTCAACAACATCAAACTGCCAGCAAAATGTTGCTACTGTTTTGCAGCACTTGGGGACGCTGCGTGCTGCCCAGTCTTTGGCTTTTGGTCTGGCAAGCAGGCGGGCAGGCGGGCAGGCCGGCGGACGGTCGACCGCAACAAACGGCAGCAGTATATCTGAAGAGTCTCATTTTTTTTATGATGAACGAAGTGCGCAGCACTTTCAGATACACGGCCGGTACCTATAAGTCTCAGTCTGTTTGTTGGCTGGCTCTGGACGGGACGGACAATGAAAGCGTGTCGTGTTTGTGGTCGGTCGGCTGTGCTTTCGACGACTGAGAAGAGGCCAACAACTGTCAGTCGGGGCAGCCAGCTCGGCAGCACATCAGCAGCTCCCCCACTTAAATGTCAAAAGCAAGCAAATCATATTCAATGATAAAAGTTCACAATCACATACATACAAGTTTGAGAAATGCGCCCGGTGCTCTTTATATTTTATACGGTCGAGACGCTGATCAATATGTTCCTCATGGGCTATCACATTCAAGGCTTCATGTCCGTATCGCTCGATGCCCTCACCCTCCAAACCCAACTGAGCAACTACCTCTGCACGGTGGTGTTCTACACCTTTACCGTGCTCACTATCTTCGGTAGCATTAATGTCTGCACCGGGCACTCGACCGGCCTAAACGCTGAACTGTGTCGCACTCTAATCGGAGCCGTATGCTACATCATAACATCGCTGTTGACGATGAATCAGGCGGAACGGGACTTCCATCTAATGTTTCTGACTGAAGAGAAAAGGGAGATTGAGAAGGAAATTCATCCGTTCTTCAAGTACCTGCGTGCCCAGGCCGTTTGTGCACTGGCCTGTGGAGTGCTCTACATGCTGCACTGCATCATTGTGATCGATGTGCTGCTGTGCAACGAGGAGGACTCGGATGGGGAGTACAATGTGTTCGATCCCGACGAATCCGACAGCGACGAATATTTGCCCGTTCGCCTCTACGTGTTTGGCGAAATGGTGCAGAGCTGTTTAGAGCAATATCGTTGGTATCGCGACTTCTGCAGCACGGAACGTATGTCCATATAGCGCTGTCATTTATCGTTTCTACAATTTATATTCAATAAGTTGTTCAAATTAAATAATTGCATTTCCCGTTTGTTATATAAACTATGCAGTAAATTGTTAAGAGCGATGGAAGGGTATAAGTATATCTAACTAATGCTATTTAATTTTCCTGCTGACCCTGCAATGCTACTTAAGACATACATTCTAACAGCCAAATATAATATTTTATATGCCATTTTATAAATGTTTACCATTGTTTTGAAGAATAATTCTTCAACAATTTGTTTTTCAATTGTTGCTTTATTGAAGATCTAAGGACAATTATTGAATCAGTTGTCTGTGATGCTGGCTGTTGTCGAGGAGCTTCAACTCCTAACGACAATTTATATTAAACTATATATATCTTTGGACATAATTATTTCATTTTTATCTATCAAATAAAAATCTAAAAGGCATTCCTATAAGCACATCAATATGAGTCAGACTATGTCAAAATTAGTATTTATAAAATAGAGTACCTTTTTAATAAAACTCATATTTTGATTGATTTGCAATCTATAAATACTAATATGGGAGCTTATGTGTTGTTGATGTGCTATGACGTCAGCGTGTTATGAGCAAAGCCCTTAAATAGTCATAAAATTGGCAAGCAACAGTTATGCGTGCCACCGTACAGCAAACACACATCCCAGCACACATACATACATACTCGTACGTAAAGCAAAAGTCATTGACGACACCAACTCACACACACACACACACACGCCGTTTGCGAATAATGTTGCTGAGATAAGCATCTGCTGGTTGGGAAGGCGTGCAGGGCGCATGTGCGGTCACAGCCATAGAAATAAAATCAATAAATTATGGGGTAAAATGGCAACGGCAGCCAGCAGTCAAGAGCAAGGCTGCCTTCGAATGGGACATGCGAACTAACCCGGGGTGCCACCCCCCGCACAAGTAAGAGTATGTAGGAAGCTACAAGGTGAGAGAACATTTTCATTCATAAAATTGTGCGTTCACTTTTTGCCATTTGGTCGTTTGTGCGCCGCCACGTCCTTACTCAAGGCTATTTTTAACACACACCCCAGCTACTGCCGGCCGGATATGCCGTTCACGGACAATGTTTTTTTCTGCCATACACACACACACACACGCACAGGCACTGGCACAGGCATGGAAATATGCAAATATTGTGTGCACACATGCATGAAAACTTTCATATTTGTTTGTCAAGTGTACTCAGATGCTGAAATACTTTCTCATCCAACTACTCGTACTTTATACAACAGTTACGAGTCAATTAATACGTCATCCTAAAAGTAGGCAACGAGACGCGCCAATCCGCACAAATATTACGCATACGTCACATGCTCGCGTGGCCCAACACACAGGCCCAAACCACAAAGGCCCTTCACTCGCACAAAAGTACAGTCAATCTCTCATTGAATCAAGAGCAAATGTCAGGTTTTATCTAAATTCCATTTATTGCTAAGAAGTTGCCTGAAAATAAATTTAATTTTCTTAGAAACTTAGAAGCCCCTGCGACATTCCAAGAATCTTTACTAAACTCCTACAAGTGCGAGGTAATTTCAAAAGTTGGCTTTAATACAGCTGGTGTTCATGTTGTATATATTATTCTCGTTAACAATCGGACTCTTAAAGCAGAATAACGAAAAGAATGAATACTAAATGAATTAATAAGTTGACATTTATATTTATAAACTATGATTTAATTTGAATTGTGAAGAACGTTCTTTATAAATATCTTAAAGGAAAGCTTTAATTGTGTGGGCAGCTATATATATTTTTCCCTATCCATCTCATCTATGCAACGTAACTTTTTACTATCGAATTATACAATTATTAAATCCTCTTGACCTTCATTTATGAGTATAATTATATGTACAGTTAGTAAAAAAAACGTTTTCAAAAAAACCAATCAAAAAATAAAACCATCAGTAATATCGATAATGCCGCCTTTATTTTATACTTTTTATTGCTTTTAATATTCAAAGACATGAAATATATATTAACATTTATTTATTATTGTACGTTCTTTATCCCGTCATCCTATTTTGGCTTTATGTTCACCTAGCAGCTAGTACAAGTAACTATAAAATGTCCTCTTTAATATTATTAAGAGCTTTAATTAATTAATTTATACACTTTGCCGAAATAAATGTGAATATAATTCAAAAAGCTAATTGACTTATATTTCAAAGTTTGGAAAGCCTTAATCGCCAATTAAAAACTTTGCCAAATTTTATATTACTACCAAAATATTTACTTAAGTTGATATATTCTGCCGTTTTAATTGTTTTCAACAAGTTTCAAATTGTTTTTTGAGGCTTCTTCTCAAATCCACTTAATGCCACCGCATAAAAAGCTTAATTGAAAAGCAAAGCAAAGACCTTGCTTTTCGATTATGTAAGAGAGCTTAACTGCCACATCAACATCAACAACAACTAAATTAGTGCAAAAACCACTGACGACTTTGAAACACACACGCACACACATCAATCAAACTTTAAAAGTGTCTCCTCGGGGCACAAAAACAAAGTTCTGCGTTAATTTTCCATGCCGCAAACGAGGAACAAGCAGAACAAAAAAAAAGCTGGCTTGAATTTAGCCGCCTACGTAAATTGCGAAAGGGAAAATCAATAACGACGCGCAGCCCGCATCCACAAGCAGCCAGCCAATGTCCTTGAAATGCAGGAGAGAGCAAGCGAAAGCGAAATGTCCATTCATGAGCGGTGCTCGAAACTTTAATGAATGAAACACATGTGCCAGCTGCCCCTTTTTGGGGCCGAATTCGAACTCGTTCAGGGGCACAAAATGCTGAAGCACGCGCTTGCGCTGCACCAAAGAGAAATCGAGGAGTGACGCCAGCCCCTAACCAGGCCACTGACGCAACTTGGTACGGCCTGCTCAAGGTCAGCGTAAAATTTCATTCATAAAATGAAACGCCCAGCCTGTGTGTATGTGTACGTGTGTGTGTGTGCGTGTGTGTGTGTGTGTACACGCGCGCATGTTTTCCGCCTCACTAGGAGGGGCGGGGGTCTATTTGAAGCTTGTTGATTTTGTTACGCGTGTAAACACACACAAGCGGAAAAGGCCATTTTCATTCATTCATGCAGCCAGGCCAAGTACAAGCCAAATGAAGGTTGGCAGTCCAGGAAGGAACCTTCCTTGGGTGCACTGACTCATGGGTTAGGCCGCGTGACTTTTGTGGTCTTACAAATTATATCAACATATCAATTACAGACAGGCAGGCGGGGACCAACCTTCCAAGATGTCTACATGCGCCAGTTTGCCGCCAAAAAGAACAAATCAAAAACGGAAGGAGGGGGGCCCGCACAGCAGCCATCAGTTGTAGGGCAACGCCAACGCGCAACCTTCAACCCAAAACGGAAGGAACACACACACACACACAAAGGCACACTGGCATTTATGCCGAGCTAGAAGCTGAATGTCAAAGGTAAATGGCAGCCAGACACCCACATCAATGGTTGGGCCAATGCCAATGGCAGTTGGCAGATTTGTGCGCTCATTTCCGGCACCTTTGAAATATGACCCAAAAAAAAGTTACGCTAAGTTTTGCCGCCCATCCCCCCCTTTTGATGTTAGAGAGTCTATTAAAGTTATACAAGCCATACAATGGATCCGCTGAACTCAGCAAACGTAACATCGTTCCCCCATTATGCATTACACACAAAATTACACACAAAATTACACACCAAAAATTATTTACATTTCCACAAAAAAAAGTTGTGAGAACTGATTATTGCTTTTTTATTGTTATTGCTTTAAAAAAAAGAAGAGTACCATAGGGATTTTTATACTCTGTAAATGAACGTATGTATATAAGGTTGGCGGGAGGTGAAAAATGTAACAGCCAGAAGGAGGCGTGGCAGGTCCCACAAAGTATATATAATCCTGATCAGCATGACAAGACGAGTCGATCCGTGGCGAAACACCATAATCAAGGCATTTTTAGCAAACACTCAAAATTATAAATGAATTCATTTGGAGCGTAGCTTTGGAGCCTGTTTTCCCCCTTTTGGAGCTCGAATTCCAATGTTTTTAATAGTTATTCTGCTATTCCAGACGGAGACATATACAACATATCAAAATCCATGAAAATTTATCCAGCCGTTCTCGACTTTTATATATATTGATGATGCATTAAAAAAAGCTTTTTGTAGATCGTTCGCAGTTTAAAAAGCTCTTCAGTGTCAAATCCACACCAAGCTAAGCTTTTGACAATTATTTTTGGAATAATTTTATTTAGAAATACAATAATTAAAAAGCATTTCGTAAGAGTGAATCACTATTGTTAGAGTATTGAGCAAGTGGACTTGACTACAGGCTTCATCTGTTTTTTTCTCCTTAGTTGTATAGCGCGTACGGCCTCAACAAACACTCTGCTAAGATTATTTCTGGTTTTGGCCGAACACTCCACAAAACTGTCCGCTTTCAATTCCTTGCATAGGTGCTGACCCTCCTCTGTGGTGATAAACCTATCTGAGTTCAATTCCCGCAAATCGGACTTGGTTCCTACTATTACGATGGCAGCGGTATTTGAAAAACGTCGAATTTCCGGTATCCATATATTTCGAACATTATCTAAGGAGCTTGGCGTATCGATGGCGTAGCATATTATGAAGCAATGCGTCTGTAGTAAAGAAAATAAAGAAATTTTTTAGTAGCCGTATGCTTCGAAGATACTTGTATACGAGTACACGTATGTAGTTATGTTTTTAATTTACATTGGGATAGGATAGGGGTCTTAGGCACACATATTCCTTCTGGCCAGCCGTATCCCACAACGAAAGTGTGTGCACACTGTGATCTATAACTATCCGGCATGTATAGTTGTCAAAGATTGTGGGTATATATCCAACGGGAAAGTTATTTGAAGTATAGGACAAGAGCATGCATGTTTTTCCCACACAGCCGTCGCCAACGATGACTATTTTATATGGATATGTCTCCATTTCTTAAGGCTTATTTTCAATGAACTGTAAGATGTTACTTTTTCTTTATTTGCTGTCCGTTTTAGAAAAGACGCTACTCCTGAAGTACACACGAGAAAAGAATTAGAGAAATGTTGAAAGAATTAACCCCGTTGAAGAGCAACGAGCAACTGACTCTTTCAACTATAGTAGTATAATAAAGCTATACTCGTACTGATGCACGCTACGATATAAATAATTATATGAATATAATTGCTTAGTCACTTATTTGCCACAGGGGCTGGTATGCGGGAAACGCGGCATTGCAGGAAAAATTCAAGTGGGAACTGGCGATTAAAAATGTATAAGCCACAAGAGTTCGATCGTCACAAAGGCTTTATAAGTAGAGTTCTGTTCTAAATTTAATGAGCATTTTCGGTATGGGATATTTCGGGACCTAAGGCGTGAACTGTATCGCAGCCTATTACTAAAGTTTAAGATAATATTAAACATAAATCGAGGTAATATGCAGGCAAAGAATTTACACAACAATCGCTATATTTTTCAAGTAGGCTGGTTGAAGTTCGAATAAAATAATTACAATAAATGTACAATTTTCACTTTATGTCCAAAGCTACAGATCGATTCGCCACACAACAAAATTCAAATAAACAGCTTCTGTCAGGTGTCTTTGCTTTAAGGACATGATTCTTAACTGTTGGTGTGAAGGCGCTCTCCTCCCTCCTGTGAACCTACTTGATTTTGAAAAAGAGCTGTCAGCCAACGAGAAAATATAAAACGTGAATCAAACTCAAGTCTAGGCAACGTGTTGAACACTCAGTTTCTTGCCTATATACAATGTAGCAAGGCAGCTAAAGCGAAGTTTAATTTCTTTGCAGACCTACTGGAAGCTGGAAATCGCTTACTTTTTGATAAGACTTATTGTTTTCATGATTTTTTATTTAAAAAACGAATCTGGCTTTTCCAAATCTCTATAAGTTAGAGAATGCACTTCATAGCTAAGCTTTCCCTAGAAATATTACTTAAAAAGTGTATGAAAATATTCTGCCATACCCCTGCAAGCACAACTTAGTTTAGAAGCACTTAAACTTTCCAATTTAGGACCCATATATGCGAGTATTTGACCTTTTAAATGACGTTATGCTAATGTGAAACAATTTCAGTGCAACAGGCGAAGTTTTCCTGGAAACTCCACGGCCAAGCCACCTCCCATATGAATTCGCAGTTAGTAACGGGTTTTAACGGTAATTTATTGCTTCTGCTTAAAGGTTACATCAACTGTTGCCGTTGCTTGTTGTTTAATTGCCATTTCGTTTGCGGCCACAACCGCCCACAGATGCTAGAAACTCACGCACAGCCCAAAAGTATGCAACAGTTCTCTGTCTGACATTTTCACTCGCAACTTGACGAAGAGCGCACGTGTCCGTGTGCGTGTGCGTGTGCGAAAGGGTGCGTGTAGGTGTGTGTGCTAGAAACGACTCGTAGTAAATTTGACCTTTAACCCACTCAGATTGTTCCGCTGATTCTTGCTCTTCTTGTTATTGGCTGCCCTTTGACCTGATTTACAAAATCACGCAAACGCGCCTAATTTTTGTGACTCTATTTCTTTGGCCTTCAACCCCTTTGCACGCACCGCCTCCATTTCTTCCCACATGCGTTGTAAGCTTGCCCCATCCAGTAGCAAGTCCTTCGCCGGCCCCATGACCGGCTGTGAGAGAAATCTGACGTCCTTCAGCTGAAACAATTTTGTGCAAAGCAGCTTAAAGGGCGCCTCCAAATTCCAGGCAGCTCGCGTCGAAAACTCGCAGTAATCCACATTCTCCTGCTGCTTAAAGTCAATATCCTCGGACATACGCTTCAGGTCTGCCTTGCAGCCACACACCACAATCGGGATGTGGCGGCCACAGAACTCCTGCAGACGCTCCACCCAACTGGCCACATTGGCAAAAGTGGCTGCCGCACTCAGATCGAACAGGACGAGGGCGCACTGGCCGTACAAGAAGTAGGCATTGCGTATGCCGCCCACCTCGGCATCGCCAGCCGTATCCCACATTTGAAAGGCCACGGCCCGGTAGTTAGTCTCGAAGAGCAGCGTGTGCACGGAGACGCCACAGGTGGGTGAATACTTCGTCTCGTATTTGCCGGTGGCATGGCGAAGCAGGAAGCTCGTCTTCCCTGTGCCCTTATCGCCCACAAGCAGGCATTTGTAGGTGTGGCTTCTAGACAATTTCGGTTTCAATTCCATGGGCGCGCATGTATGTGTGCATGTATATGTGTGTTAGTGTGTTGTGTGACTTTGTACAAATTGTAGAACTTTATTTGCAGCAGAAACATTAAACACAAAAGTCATACAAAAACACAAATAAGTTCAAGTGGCACATTAATCTTATCAGCGTTAACAGTCCACTTTTTATAGTATAACTTATAAAATACTTAAGTATAGGATCTAAATAACTCCCGCATATCTATTTATATGCCAGCAGGGAATCAGAATTATTGTATTGTCTAAAGTAGATTTTAATTAAAGACGTTCCTAGAAACTCAAAAAATAATCAACATTTTCCATTCAATATACATATGTGCCAATTTAATATTAAAAGAGGAAAACCTCGACATCTGTAATAAAGTATATAGAGGTCTTGTTAAGAAGACATCGTATAACATGCTATACATCATTCAAAAAAGGTTTCATTTGCAGAAAGATTCTTCAAATTGTGTATAATTATTGACTCTATAAAATTTTGCATACACTTTTTATATGCCAGACCTTCAAGTAAACACACGCACTGATAAGCACGCGCCCCCCTCACTACGTCAATAAATACACTCAAGTATGCATACATATGTATATATGTACATATGTATGTATGTATGTATATAGGCTATAGAATTGTTTTCGTGTTCAACAATAATGACTGATAAGGGAGTTCTCCCGCAAAGCGGCTTGGCGATAGTGTCGTTGGCCATAGGAAGGTGCTCAGATAATTTAAGGCCTTCAGATTAAGATCGGTCACGAATATGAAGTAAACAAGTTTAGAGAATAAGAACAGCGAACAGCTGAGCACCAGCAGCGTTTTCTTATTGGGCAAGTTGGCGAAAGCTTTGAGCTTTTTAGTCTCTCGCGAACCGGCAACGACAGCGGCTGTTCTTTTCTCAAACAATTCCAGTGTGGCACACCGCCAAAAAGTGAACTAACCAGCCCAGAAATGATTGCGCAAAGTCTAATTGGCAGACTACGTCCGTGTGCCCAACGTTTGGGGGGCTCAGCGAGTTATGCGAGCAAAGCCAATGCTCCCAAATTTAATTGGCAAGATCCACTTAATCTGGAGAGTCAGCTGACCCCGGAGGAGGTGGCCATACGAGATGCCTTCCGCAGCTACTGCACCGCTCAGCTGTTGCCGCGCGTAACGCTCGCCAATCGTCTCGAGCAGTTCGATAAGAAGATCATGGAGGAAATAGGCAGCATGGGCGTACTGGGCTGCACCCTACAGGGCTATGGCTGTGCGGGCGTTTCCAGTGTGGCATACGGTCTGCTCACCCGTGAAGTGGAACGCGTAGATTCCGCATATCGTTCAGCCGTCAGTGTGCAAAGTTCGCTCGCTATGGGCGCCATCTACGACTATGGATCGGAGGCGCAAAAACAGAAGTATTTACCCGATATGGCCAAGGGCAAGGTGATAGGTGAGTGGCTCGGAAAATTTCTCTCCTTTCAAGGCTCAGAAAATAAACGTAAATGGCCGCACAATATTGCTTATAAAAAGCTGCTCATAAGCTGCACGATAAATCGAATCGATGTACATACATACATGTATGTATGCGTATTTGTATGAAGATTCGTCCATCTGTTCACCTGTCTGTCTGTATGAACGTCAATAACTGTGGAACTATTATAGCTAAGGACAGCAAACTTGGCATGCAAATTTGTCTTATCAAACTATAGACAAAGTTTATGCTAAATCACTTACAGTTCACTTATTTTGTATAGCTGCAATGTGAAAAATAACCTTTGTCCAAGTCCAGCCTGCTATCTATTCGTTTTTTTTAGCATTTTTATTAATATATTGTTATGATGCCTTCCTATATTATAAAGTATAAAATCGATCCACAATAATAGTGAATGATCAGATTAATAACAACTCTTAGCAACAAACGTTTTTTTTGTCTCTTTCATTCCGTTTTTAATTGGAAATATCTACAAAGTTCCTAAAGTGGGTCGATTGCAGAGCATATATGTTTCGACTCCAGCATTATACTCTTTTTTGAGTGATAAATCAACCATAAAATAGCGCTGACTAGGAAAAACGCTAAGAAATAGGTGATTAAGATTAGATTAGCATTAGATTATGTTTTAAAGGTAGCTATATTTGTTTTCAAGAAGAAGAATATAGAAATTTAATTGTTACTTGCAGGTGCCTTTGGTTTGACTGAGCCCAACCATGGCAGCGATCCGGGCGGCATGGAAACACGCGCCAAATACGACAGCAAGACGAAAACCTATATACTGACTGGTTCGAAGACCTGGATAACCAGTGCGCCCATCGCCGATGTCATCATTGTGTGGGGCAAGGGCGAGGATGGCAAGTTGCGGGGCTTCATAATCGATCGTTCGGAGTCGTCTAAGGGTCTGGAGACGCCCCGAATTGAGGGTAAATTCTCTCTGCGTGCCTCACCCACCGGCATGATTCACATGGACGAGGTGCGTGTGCCGGAGGAGAATATGCTGCCGAATGCTTTGGGCTTCAGTGCGCCATTCAATTGCCTGAATAATGCGCGCTATGGCATCGCCTGGGGTGCTCTGGGTGCTGCGGAATTTTGTGTGGAGACCGCTCGTCAATACACACTAGATAGGAAGCAATTCGGTCGTCCGTTAGCGGCCAATCAATTGATCCAGAAGAAACTGGCCGATGCTGTCACAGAGATTGCTTTGGGACTGCAGGCCTGTCTGCATGTGGGACGTCTGAAGGATCAGAAGCAGATCACTCCCGAAATGATATCGATCCTGAAGCGCAACAATGCCGGCAAGGCCTTGGCCATTGCTCGTGAGATGCGCGACATGTTGGGCGGCAACGGCATCAGCGACGAATATCACATTATACGCCATATGGTGAATCTGGAGTCGGTGAACACCTATGAAGGCACACACGATATACACGCCCTGATTCTGGGACGTTCAATCACCGGACTGTCTGCCTTTGCCAACTGATGAAGTAGAGTCTAAGAGTGTTTTCAAAACTGTTGACCATTATGTTGCATTTATGTTACGATATTAGAGATATATACATAATACACTTATAAATACAGATATAAACCCTTTACATTTACAATTATGAACTATGCAGTGCAAAGGAAGTACCACCAAGGCATCTGGGATGGACTATAAAGCGCTTTACAAATTAAATATACTTATAGGCCATTATTCATCTCTTCTCTAAATTAAAATCGACTTTTTCAACTATACATACATATAGTTTGTTATGCAATGACAGTGCTACTTGCTATTGAACCTTTTTTTTGCAAGAAAATGGTGTCAGGACTCAACCAAATCCAATTAGAATATTATAATATGTAGAAGATTAGGGTTTTCTGTTTCAAAATTTGAACAAATTTAAAAGCGGCATTAGACAGTCGTTTTTCGAAATCAAGTGCCTTTACAAATTCGTTTCCGCATAAGCCGATCGTACTCGGAATTAAAAACAAATCACTTTCTTAAAGAATTCTACAAACATACAAAATGTACAAAATAAAATATACGTTTTAATCAGTTTCATTTTAAAATTAAAATTACAAATACAGAAAAGTCCAAAGGTACTCAAAAATTTTTTTGATGTCATCCGACATTAAATTTAATAACAAAACAAAATGTACATTCAAATAAGGGAAATATTAGACCGACTCTGAAGTGCTTGAAATATATGAATTAAAATTAGGTGGAATTTGAGCAATGTTTGAATAGTTTTTTTTTTAATGAAAGCTTAAAACAATTGTCGTGTCTATGAATATTAAACTTTAGGACCTCAAAAAACCCATTTGTGACTTATCTTTATAAAATCCAATACATACGTATAAAATTCGATGCAACTTCTAAATTGTCCCCCTATTTTTTAAGTAGCACAATCACATCTGCATTAAGGCTAGTCTTAAAAAGTCTCATAGCAATTGAGATCGACGATCTACACAAGCGTCGCCTATCTCTCTACAAAGATTGTCTTTTTGTCCATCAATATATTCTCACAACTGCGTTGGTGTCGCGCTGATTTTCTCAGCGGCGATCGCTGCTGCCGCTGCCACAATAGACTGCATTCCGGGCTCGGATTCGGAACGTTTGTGCGTGCGTTTGGGCAAACGTTTGAGGCGCTCCTGCTGTGCGCTTGCACTGCTTGCAAATTTCTCTCGCTCGCCTCCAGCGTTTCCATCGCTAAGCTGCATCAGATCGGGTTCGCTGCGCACCAACTCCTCCTCCTGGTACAGTTCCTGAGTGGCTGTGCCAGCACCAGCATTTGTGACATTCTCATTAAGGCACACATCGTCCAAATCCACATCGCTGTTGGAGAACAAAGCTGTGGCGCCTAATTCCAATGAATTTGTCACATCCAGCTCCACTTCGATATTCCCCTTTTTGGGAGTGGAGGTGGCTGTGGCGTTGCTGGAACGTGAAAAACTTAAATGCAAGTCCAGTGGTGAAGTGGAAGGCGAGGATAAATTTGTTGACGTAGTTGAAGCCGTAGTTATTGTGGGTTTTGAAGCCGCAGCATTGTTATTATTAATATTATTGTTATTGTTGGTACTGTATTGAGCTGTGCCTGAGGTAGCCAAACCAATAGTTGGCACATTAGTCATGCTGCTGGGTGTGGAACTGTTTCGCTCCGTCTGGTGTTCCTTCATCAGTTTGCAGGCCTTGCCCAAGGCGCAGATAGTCAAACAAATGCGTAGTCCCAGCGCAAATAGATAGGCCAGGAAAATTAGCAGCCAGGCAGCCAAGTTGTGAAACGATACAGCGGTATAAATGGCCTTGATCAGCACCACAGCCAATGGAAAAGGTATGAAGCCCATGCGACGCGCCACCAAATCCGAGTGATCCGAAAAGGCATGCTTCTGACGCGTCTGCGTCATATCGTAGGCCAGACTCGTCGTATACTCACGATAAATGCTCTCGGGCAGCTCATTGAAGCGTGTAATGAACGCATGCTTCACCCAGTCGATAAGTATTTCAGTGAACAGTACGGCAAAACAGTCGGGCAACATTACACAGAATTGCGTCAGCGACCAATCGAACTCCTTCATGGTCTGTATCATGACAATAAACAGCAGCACGGAGAGATGGAAACGCTCGCGCACATCGCTGCAAGTCAATTGAAAAAGATTATTCTTGTCGAACTTCTTGAAAACGGAGCCCTTTAGCTCGACGAAGTTATTCGATATCATAATGGTCAGCAGGCCCTTGTTATTTGAATTCACAGCCACATTCAAACAGGTGGCCTGGAACATAATCAAACCACTGTGCAGTACCACATAAATGAGTGTGAAGAGGATGTGCGTCACCACGCCAAAATGTTCGCGTTTCGAATGTTTTGGCTCCGTTGCTGTCCAGAACAAGGCATCGATGGTGTCCTGTCCAAATGCCGACAACAGACGATCCCCTACCTCCAGCATATTGTAGAATATATACAGTTTTATGATCGATTGAGACTTTGTAAATGAAAAAACGTTTTATAAATATATATTTTTTACCAAAGACACTCTAGATATTTACCTTAATGATGTGATAAACGCGATTCGTATCCACAAGCAGCATTACTAAAGTCACCGCCACCCAAATGGCGCCCTTCAAAAGGTCGCAAATTTCCGCTGGCGAAAGCAACCGCTGTCCACTGCTCCTTAGCCGACAAATGCGTGCTATTGTGCGGGTTAGGAGGCTCCAGACGGCCAGCAGAAAGCGTACGGGCAGGAAGGTGTGTATATAGAGAAAGGAGTCGGCACACTGCATTATCCCATACACCATGAAGCGTTCCAGATCGCGCGGTATGCGCATAAAACTATAGATTTTTTGACGCCGTGCCGAGTAGCGCTCCTCATCGTGCTCCAACATATAGCCTCGTGTCAGTTCAACTTTGAAGAAGTCATAGAAAGTGTTAACCTCTGATGTGGTGGGCCCACCAGATGTTGATGTTGCTAACAAAAACAATAAACATTAAACCCAATGCAAACAGCGCTCTTTTCCAGGACTCACTATACAGCTCATCCTGGAGCTGCTTCGGTTTTTGCTGTTGTTGTTGCTGGTGTTGTTGGCTTAATTTAGTGGTGCTGCGACGCTCTGCGCCAAGGCTTTGACTGTGGGGTTGCCTTTGCTGATCTTCATGATGAAGTTCCTCAATTCGATTGTTTAAGTCGCCACGAAAGCGCAATTGTCTCTTACTACCACTATTTTGTAAATTACTCATTGAAATTTATATATCGCTTCTCGTTTTTCACCAATTTATATTTTGTTTTGCTACGCAACTTCTTACACAAACAGTGTGTACACATGTTGCCGATAACAGTATCCAGTGGTGTTGGGCTCCTTAAGGTTTTTTTTTAAAGTTCAGCTATTAAATGTATTTAAAAAAACTACTTTAAGCTTTTAACGGCTACTTGATAGAATTCACAGGCGTAATTAACCGCAAAGACTATAAAAATAATAATTCAGTATGTTGCATCGGGCTGGTCACGAAGAATAAAAGGTGGCAGCGCTACGGAAGGCGCCAAGAATTTACAAAGGTACTGCAACGCCATCTAGCGGTACCGAGCGAGGCACCATGGTGGCAACTGCAGCCACGCAGGCGCAGGGTTGTGTCCCGATGGCACCTCAAAGTGGGGAAACGTCAAGGCCGTGATGAACGGATGCGCAAGGACGTAAAAATCCGCAGGCATACGACATCCGGCCTATAAAAGGCAAGCCGCAACACGCCATTCCTGTTTTTGGGGCGACGGTGCAGACCCACGAGGCAGTGTTTTCTTTTGGTGAACTGGAGGCCGTGCTGAAACCTGAAAAAGGAAAGGAAGAACCAGAAGCCGTTCGAAGGTGAGCATAAGGATATAGATGCAAGGCAGAACTAATGCCGATGTATACATACCTGTATATCCACTTAAATGTGCCGACCAGTGCTTAAATGCCTTTTGTTCCTTGGCATATAGATTTTCCGGCATATCGCCAAGTTTTCGGACAGCGGTGGAACCATACACAGCAGCTGCAGCGGCCGTCATAAGTAGCAGCACGAGCCGCATCGTAGCAGGAGCAACAGCGACAGCAGCAGATCCAGCACCAGCGTCTTCAACGACAGCAGCAGATCCAGCACCAGCGTTTTCAACGGCAGCAGCAGCAACGACAGTGGCAGCCGGAGCAAAGGCGCCCACCCAAGAAGTAGCAGCAGCAATAGCGGCGCCACCACAACGCAACAGCAGACACGTCCGTCTGCGCCATCAGCAGCGGAGGATAGAAAAGCCGGTGAGTCCGTTCCTTGGCCACGCGCCGTGCCTATTGTTCGCGGTTGAGCAGCGACATCAGGCAGAGATCCCGCGCGCCTTACGTCGTGTCGTTTGTATGGGCTGCGCCTGCAGGGTCCCACACGCCGCCCATTGAAGTTTCTGCAAAAGAAAAAAAAGGAAGATAATACAAAAGAAAGAATATATACAGATATAATAAAAACCAAAACAAGGCAGAAAGTGGCACCTAAACAGAGCTTGGCGCTCTATTTAATTCAAAAATTAATAAAAAATTCACACTCTTATACACTTATATTGTACGAAGATTGCCAATTGCAGTAGCGCGCAGTGTTTTATATTAGTCTTATATTTCTATTGCGCCCATGACCGTCGAGAGCTCTCGTTAGGATTTGGTTAGACATTTTTCTATAAATTTTTGTACCGCGCATATTTTTCTCATACACATACACATATATCTATATACATATTTATTTGCCATAAGCATACTTGCATGTTGGCGCACATAAAGAACCGCATTGGCCGTTGGCAAGCCTTCTTTATTTTGTTTTTATATAAATTATTATTGTTCCATATTTACATTGTTTTCACTCACACTCAATCACACTGAAATATATGTATGTTTGTAGCCACATAAACTGAAAATTAATTGTTAATTTTAATGGTCGCACCGTTGGTGATGATGCATTAAAGCAGCATCAGTAGGGGCGGGAGACTCACCTGTGCCATGGAATAGCCCAAGCACGGTCCAAAAATAGGGTATCCAAGAAACATTTTGGCTTTGGATACAGGCAGGGAGGGTACGCCTGGGATAACAACAGCTAAATCCCATACAGTTGTCCGATGCCTCCAATCCCTGTCCGTCCGCACGTATATTATCTCCTTTTACAGTCACCCGTATTCGTACGGATGGCTTGAGGGAGTTATCCGTTTATTTGTTTTCTTGTCGCAGTACGTTTCTTTTAGTTTATGTTAGTTTTTTTGGTTTGTTTACGTTTTGAATTCGGTTTTGTATATTGCGCGTCGAATTTATTGTAGTGATGGCATTTTGTTTATCGATGGAGGAACCGTGTTATCGGTTATTGTACGACTCACGCGGGCATAGGGTTGGAACCACACACCCAAGGAGAATTCCGATGAGCCAGCCGGCGTTGCCCAAGAGGAAAAGCGTAGTCGTAACAATATGGCGCCCAATTTGGATGTTTGAATTTTTAATGCCAAGGAGTAGGTGGAGTTGTTTAGGGCCCTGTACCACGTTTGGGGAGGAGTCTAGGCAGCCGCCGTACGCAGGCTGAGAATTTAGATAGGGAAAAAATAAATTAAGCCGATGGCTAGGGGCCGACGATCGGTATGGTAGGGACGGAATCCCTTATAGCACCAACTGCAAGCGGGTGTGACATGGACAGTAAGTCACGAAGGTGCGAGTATGAGCCCTTCGTTTGCGACTGCCATTTGGAACGACGCTAGGCAATGGGTACTATGGGGGGATTCCAATGCGCGTTTTTTTTGTTATTTCGTTTCAGTGTTTTTGTTGTATTTCTTGCGTCAATTCGTTGGTGCACTGTCGCTGTGGTGTCATCGTGTTTGCCTGGTGGACGTAGAGTACCGGTGGCCCAGGATGACTAGGAAAGTCGCCTGCGATGCACCGCTACGCACGGTGAGCCAGAGCAGATGGTGCACAAAACAGAATTGGGTGTCAAGAAGCAACCATTTAATTTGTTGGCTGTCGTTCATCGCCGTCAAGGCGATAAATGTAGCAGCGAACAGATATTGCAGAATTGTGGCGTAGGGCAGCTGTACAGGCGTAGATATTATAGGAGCCGTGTTTGGGTTCCGGCGGAGTGTGAGTCTCAGCCCCTATATACAGAAGTTTAAAAGAAAATTTGTTTGTTTATTGCTTACATTTTATTAAGTCTGTTTGGTTACGTTTGGTGCATATACATATGTTACATTTGTCTTGTGGTTGAGCGTATATATATTTTTTTTTGGTTTCCGTGCAAAGTTGGACGTGAATTTATTTAAAGATTTGTTTTTTTTATTTTTACTACTATATGCATATTTATTTATTCCAATTCACATATTTATCTATTTATTGTTGTACCTATTTATTTATTTATTTATCCATCATACATATTCAGCGTACATATATTTTCTTGCCCATTTGTTTTTGTTGTTTTGGGCGTTTGCAAACATTTTCATTGTTTGGAATACATATATACAATTAATACGATTTTTTCTTCGGGGCCTGCTGGAAAGCTGAACAAATTCATAATCCAAAATATAAATAAATATTATAAAAAAACAGAGCGTATTTTTTTTTGGATTGAGATGGAAAAGGATTCTGCGCGTGCGTATAACACCAGGTCGAGAACGGCCAGAAATGATGATCCAGTGCTGGAGGAACACCTAGAAGGAGCCGTAGGTTTTTCCACCGGTGGCCTCATGCACACTCCTCCGAGGCCGTCCATAGCACCAGCAGCACACTGGGACGCCGAGCCAGTAGTCGCGTCGGTGGTAGAAGCAGCAGTGGCCCAGGCGAACGAAACATACCGCCAATCGCAAAAAGAGGGTATCAACAAAGTGTTGCAGGAGGAAATCCGAATGGGGTTTCAAGACTTGATGGGCGCGTTGAAAGAAGTTTTGCAACCGCGAGCGAATAGCGGCGATTCAGCTGCAAATGGAGCATGGCAACCGCCAGTCAGCCAGAATCGGGGTGCGGTGCCAAAACGGCCGCATCAATACCAGGCTGAACCTCTAACACCAGCAAGAGGAACTTCGCGTCCAGTAGCAAGGCCAGCGGCAGCTAATTCCTCCAGTGGAGCTGGCAATAGCAGCAACACAGCTCGAAATTGGCAAAATCCCGCAGCACAGTCGGCCCGTCGAAGAGGCAACAGGCGTTACGATGGGAGTGGTCAGCTGGACCCGCCTCCTCCGTATGTAGCGGCGAATGGCAGATCCGGATGGTGCCGCGTCGAAAAGTGGGACATCGTTTTCAGCGGCGATAAGGAAAAAATGGCTGTTGAAGACTTCGTTTTCCAGGTCGAGTTCCTTCAGAGACAGTGTCGCTGCGCATGGTCCGAAGTATTAAACAGTTTCCATCTGTTAGTAACTGGGCACGCTCGCGAGTGGTACTGGCAGTACGTCAGGGACCACCGGGCAGACAGCTGGCCAGAACTAAAACGAAGCATGCTGTCCCGTTTTAAAGGCGCCGCCGATGAATTCGAGCGCATGCGACAATTGCGCGAAAGACGGCAGAAGGCAAGCGAAAGCGTTGAGGAGTACTTCCATGCCATGAGGAAACTGGCGTCGCGTCTCCACACAGCACCATCTGAAAACGAGATGATGAAATATATAAAAAAAGGATTAAAAATAGAACTAGCTCGTTATGTGTATGCGATGCGCGTGTACACGGTAGACCACTTACGTGACGAATGCGTAGAGGTGGAAGCTATGGTCCAGCGGCGGGAAGGCGTGTTCCCAACTCGCAGCGGCACACGTTTTAGTGGCGGAAACCGTCCACCGGCAGTGGAGGAGTTGGTCGACGACACTAACGGCGAGGAGTCGGCGGATTTCGGCGTAGTTGAAGAGGCGCGTTTGGCAAGGCGTCCGCAACACGCGTTAGTTTGCTGGAACTGCAGACAAGCCGGCCATAGTTTCCGCGACTGCATGTCACCGGAAAGGCGCGTCTTCTGTTATAGGTGTGGCAGGCCCGACACCTATAGTCCAACCTGTCCCGATTGCACGGGAAACGGCCGTCGGAGTGCGGTGCAAGTGGGCGAATCGCGCTCGACACAGGTGCCCACCAGGATGACAGCGGAGCGGTCCTGAAAGAAGAATTTCATAAGAAAAATACCCCATATAGTAATAAGTTGAAATTTTTACCGTACGAGGAAAAGATGCGGGCATATCTGGAGGCGCGTAATAGAATTTTTGCCCAACATCAGTTAGATGGGATGAGGATGGTGACAGCCAAAGTTAAAAAGGCCCGAGCACGATTCCGAGTGAGAAGGCAGACGAAGAAGCTGGTGGCCGAGGCAGTGCGACGCGAAGGAGCAGCAGATCCGAGGATTTTTGCCGAAGTACTGGTACGAGGCCATGTGCTACGCGGTTTGCTGGATACCGGGGCCTCGGTAAGCGTGCTAGGCAAGGGCAGTCTGGAACTGCTGAAAGAGATTGGCATGGTGCCCAGAAATTACATTTCGATAATTAAAACAGCAGGCGGTGAAGACAGAGCCGTAATTGGGCGAGTGCGTTTACCAGTGGTGTATCGAGAAGAGGCCAAAGAAGTGGAATTTTACGTATGCCCATCACTCGAACAGAACGCGTATTTCGGCATCGACTTTTGGCGGCTGTTTAATTTGGCACCACTATTAATTCCTCCGGAAAAGCCAGACGTTAAAAGACTTGTCCTCGATGAATTGCTAGCTGATAGAGTGGCGCATTATGCGGACCAGGATGAAGTAAGGCCTGAACCAGATATGTGGAAATTGAATGAACAACAAAAGCTGCAATTGGAACAAGTAAAAAAAGAATTTTTAACCTTCGAAGAAGCGGGATTAGGCAAGACTACTTTGGAGACTCACCGAATTGAATTGGTCAGCGGAGCAGAGCCAGTGAAAGACAGGCACTACCCTCTATCACCCGCTATGCAGAAGATTGTGTGGGATGAGGTGGACAGCATGCTGGCGCTTGGCGTCATCGAGGTAAGCGATAGTCCGTGGAGTAACCGCACCACCATAGTGCGACGGCCGGGCAAGAACCGCTTTTGCCTCGATGCCCGCAAGTTGAACAAACTGACAGTCAAAGATGCCTATCCGCTACCATGCGTGGAGGGAATCCTATCTGGAATCGATCAGACATATTATATTTCCAGTGTGGACCTGAAATTTGCGTTTTGGCAGGTGGAGTTGGAGGAGTCCAGTAGAAGGTGCACTGCGTTTACGGTACCAGGGCGACCGTTGTACCAATTCCGCATGATGCCTTTCGGGTTGTGTAACGCCGCTCAAAGGTTGTGCCGGCTGATGGACAAGGTCATACCGAATGAACTGAGGTCCAACGTTAAAGTATATCTGGACGATTTGGTAGTCTTCGCGGCTGATTTTGATACGCACTTGGAGTACCTGAAGAGGGTAGCTGAATGCCTCAAGAAGGCAAACCTGACGATAGGGTTACAAAAGTCGAAGTTTTGCTTTAAAACGTTGAAATACTTGGGATTTATCGTGGGCGGCGGCGTGCTTCGAACAGATCCGGAACGGGTGCAGGCGATACAGCGCATACAGGTGCCTAGATCCGTAAAGGAGGTTCGAGCTTTCTTAGGAACCGCCGGGTGGTACAGGCGATTTATTAAAGATTTTGCCACCTTAGCGGCTCCGCTCACTGAGGCTTTGAAAAAGCGATCGGGAGGCCGGTTCTCACTCGGTGGCGAAGCTATAGCAGCATTTGAGGCGTTGAAGAAGGCGCTCACATCTGCGCCAGTGCTGGTACACGCGGATTTTTCACGCCCATTTTTTGTACAATGTGACGCATCCCATATTGGCGTCGGAGCCGTATTATTCCAGGTGGATTTGCAGGGAAACGAGAGGCCCATTGCGTTCTTTTCTGCCAAGATGAACAAGCACCAGGTGAACTACTCGGTGACCGAGAAGGAGTGCTTGGCGGCGGTATTGGCGATACAAAAATTCCGGCCATACATCGAAATGATGCCATTCACAGTCATAACCGATCACGCCAGTTTGAAATGGCTGATGTCCATGAAGGATTTGTCCGGGCGATTGGCTCGTTGGTCGTTGCTGCTCCAGGGCTTCGACTTTGAAATCACGCACCGGAAGGGCTCCGACAACATCGTGGCGGATATGCTGTCCAGAAGCACCGAAGCCGAAACTTTAGAGGAGTTGGATTTCTTCCCAGGAGACCTGTTGGGTATAGAAACCGCAGAATTCGAATCAGAGGAGTATCGGGAGCTTATTAGCGAAATTCAAAGTCAAAAAGATAAATTACCTGATTTAAAAATTGAAAACGGGGTGATCTACAAAAAGACATCCTTCAATCGGCTAGAAGATCAGCTCGAAGGCAGTGTGTGGAAACTGTGGGTTCCGCGTGCGCTAACCGGCATGCTTATATCGAAGGCCCATACCGAAGCGTCAACGCATGGAGGAGTGTTGAAGACGTTGTCCTGGTTGCGGCGGCAGTTTTATTGGCCGGGAATGGCCAAAGACGTTGCTGAAGTGGTCCGAAAATGCGTGGTCTGCAAAGAGACGAAAGCCACCAATTACGGGATGCAGGTGGGAATTGGTGCAGAAGTCGTCACGGAGAGGCCGTTCCAGAAGTTATACATAGACTTCTTGGGCAAGTATCCGCGATCAAGGAAGGGGCACGCCTTCATATTCATAGTGGTAGATCACTTCACCAAATTCACGTTCCTGAAGGCGATGCGAGAGGCCACCACTCGGAGCGTCGTCGACTTCTTGGTGAACGAAGTGTTCCATACGTTCGGCGTTCCAGAAGTCATACACTCCGATAATGGTAAGCAATTCACGTCCAAGCAGTTTGCAGACATGATGGAGGGCTACGGTGTTAAGCATCTGCGGACACCGGTGTATTCGCCGCAGAGCAACGCGTCCGAAAGGGTGAACCGGACTATACTGTCCGCGATACGGGCGTATCTGGGGCAGGATCACCGCGAGTGGGACCTACACCTTCCGGAAATTGAAGTGGCCATCAGAAACAGCGTGCATTCTGCGACTGGAGTAACGCCTTTTTTCGCACTATTCGGCCGACATATGATGTTGCACGGTTCGCAGTACCGATTGGCGAGGAAATTAAGGTCCTTAGACGAGCACGAATTCGCAGCGTTGAGTACAGCAGACAGGCAATCCCTGTTGCAACAGAAAATCCAGGCACAATTGCATGCGGCGTATGAGCGCAGTAGCGTTCGCTATAACCGGCGTGCGCGGCGGCTAAGACTAGCGCCCGGTCAGGAGGTATACCGGCGAAACTTTGCATTGAGTGATTTCAGCCGCGCGTTCAATGCGAAATTCGCGCGGAAATTTCTAAAAGCTCGCGTAAGGAAATCCATCGGCACCAACGCATACGAGCTGGAAGATTTGCAAGGGAACTTGCTGGGGGTATTCCACGCAAAGGATATCCGAGTGTGACGCCTGTCCTAAGGCAGAATGGATGAATATAGGGAGGAGGATGCAGCCAGAGCTACTCACCTGAAGATCAAGAGTGGGTGTGGCCTACGTTGGGCGCCGCGGTAGTAGTCATCCGAGGCAACGCCGGACTCGAAGCAGAGGACTCCAACAACACCAGCCGTTTGATGCGCGCAAACATCACTTCGGGGCACGAGCGTCCGCCCACTTGGATATTTGCGGTGGTGTTGCATCGGGCTGGTCACGAAGAATAAAAGGTGGCAGCGCTACGGAAGGCGCCAAGAATTTACAAAGGTACTGCAACGCCATCTAGCGGTACCGAGCGAGGCACCATGGTGGCAACTGCAGCCACGCAGGCGCAGGGTTGTGTCCCGATGGCACCTCAAAGTGGGGAAACGTCAAGGCCGTGATGAACGGATGCGCAAGGACGTAAAAATCCGCAGGCATACGACATCCGGCCTATAAAAGGCAAGCCGCAACACGCCATTCCTGTTTTTGGGGCGACGGTGCAGACCCACGAGGCAGTGTTTTCTTTTGGTGAACTGGAGGCCGTGCTGAAACCTGAAAAAGGAAAGGAAGAACCAGAAGCCGTTCGAAGGTGAGCATAAGGATATAGATGCAAGGCAGAACTAATGCCGATGTATACATACCTGTATATCCACTTAAATGTGCCGACCAGTGCTTAAATGCCTTTTGTTCCTTGGCATATAGATTTTCCGGCATATCGCCAAGTTTTCGGACAGCGGTGGAACCATACACAGCAGCTGCAGCGGCCGTCATAAGTAGCAGCACGAGCCGCATCGTAGCAGGAGCAACAGCGACAGCAGCAGATCCAGCACCAGCGTCTTCAACGACAGCAGCAGATCCAGCACCAGCGTTTTCAACGGCAGCAGCAGCAACGACAGTGGCAGCCGGAGCAAAGGCGCCCACCCAAGAAGTAGCAGCAGCAATAGCGGCGCCACCACAACGCAACAGCAGACACGTCCGTCTGCGCCATCAGCAGCGGAGGATAGAAAAGCCGGTGAGTCCGTTCCTTGGCCACGCGCCGTGCCTATTGTTCGCGGTTGAGCAGCGACATCAGGCAGAGATCCCGCGCGCCTTACGTCGTGTCGTTTGTATGGGCTGCGCCTGCAGGGTCCCACACGCCGCCCATTGAAGTTTCTGCAAAAGAAAAAAAAGGAAGATAATACAAAAGAAAGAATATATACAGATATAATAAAAACCAAAACAAGGCAGAAAGTGGCACCTAAACAGAGCTTGGCGCTCTATTTAATTCAAAAATTAATAAAAAATTCACACTCTTATACACTTATATTGTACGAAGATTGCCAATTGCAGTAGCGCGCAGTGTTTTATATTAGTCTTATATTTCTATTGCGCCCATGACCGTCGAGAGCTCTCGTTAGGATTTGGTTAGACATTTTTCTATAAATTTTTGTACCGCGCATATTTTTCTCATACACATACACATATATCTATATACATATTTATTTGCCATAAGCATACTTGCATGTTGGCGCACATAAAGAACCGCATTGGCCGTTGGCAAGCCTTCTTTATTTTGTTTTTATATAAATTATTATTGTTCCATATTTACATTGTTTTCACTCACACTCAATCACACTGAAATATATGTATGTTTGTAGCCACATAAACTGAAAATTAATTGTTAATTTTAATGGTCGCACCGTTGGTGATGATGCATTAAAGCAGCATCAGTAGGGGCGGGAGACTCACCTGTGCCATGGAATAGCCCAAGCACGGTCCAAAAATAGGGTATCCAAGAAACATTTTGGCTTTGGATACAGGCAGGGAGGGTACGCCTGGGATAACAACAGCTAAATCCCATACAGTTGTCCGATGCCTCCAATCCCTGTCCGTCCGCACGTATATTATCTCCTTTTACAGTCACCCGTATTCGTACGGATGGCTTGAGGGAGTTATCCGTTTATTTGTTTTCTTGTCGCAGTACGTTTCTTTTAGTTTATGTTAGTTTTTTTGGTTTGTTTACGTTTTGAATTCGGTTTTGTATATTGCGCGTCGAATTTATTGTAGTGATGGCATTTTGTTTATCGATGGAGGAACCGTGTTATCGGTTATTGTACGACTCACGCGGGCATAGGGTTGGAACCACACACCCAAGGAGAATTCCGATGAGCCAGCCGGCGTTGCCCAAGAGGAAAAGCGTAGTCGTAACAAGTAGACACTTTCAATCACTCAAAAGCTTTGTAGTTCATTTCAGTGACCTGAATCGCAGAGAAATTCTGTTATCGAAATACCTACCGCCATTTTCCCATCACTACGGCTGCAAAAAACAACCGCAATTGTAAGCGCTAGAGAAAATCATGTCCACCAGCGCGTCCGTTGACCTAAGCTCTTACCGAGATCAGCATTTCAAAGTAAGGAATAGCAGCGAGCAACCCAAGAACTTAACTCACCTCTGTATCCTTTTCAGGGCTCACGTTCCGAGCAAGAGCGCTCCTTGCGCGATTCTTGCACGCTTTACGTGGGCAACTTGTCTTTTTACACCACCGAGGAACAAATACACGAGCTCTTTTCACGCTGTGGCGATGTGCGCGTCATTATTATGGGTCTGGATAAGTACAAGAAGACACCCTGCGGCTTTTGCTTTGTGGAGTACTATACACGGCAAGAAGCTGAGGCAGCCATGAGGTAGGCAACAACAACAAACACCACACATACATGTGTAAATAAAATATTCTTGTGGAAATTTTAGATTTGTGAACGGCACACGATTGGACGATCGGTTGATACGCGTAGACTGGGACGCTGGCTTCATTGAAGGGCGTCAGTATGGTCGTGGCAAGACCGGCGGTCAGGTTCGAGACGAATATCGCACAGATTACGACGCCGGTCGAGGCGGTTATGGCAAATTGCTATCCCAAAAAATTGCACCCAACACTGACAACCGTTGAGTTAAGCCTGACTAGTCTAGAATGTAAAGCATTATTATTTAACCAATCAATTCTACATTTTGTGTTCTCCATTCTCGTAGTTATAAAGAAAAAAAACTTGGTACATTGTGTTTTCTAATCGCATATATATTCTCTATTCTACGTAGTATTTTCCAATTATTTAGAAAGTGATATATTTTGGCGGAAGACTACCGCACTAATTCAGTTTAAATTTTCTACAAGCTGGGCGAGATAACTTAACGTTCTCGGAAGTAACATGGAGTATCATCTACTTTTTGCCAATATTTTGGGCAAGGGAGCAGCTAAGGCCGGTGCCGTCGGGCTCCACATTCAATTCCTTGACTTCACAATTTTCAACGACCATCGAGTAACGCTTGGAGCGCACACCTCCCAACGGGGGCAGATCAATGGTCACATCCAAGGCCTTTGCAAATGCCGCAGCGGGATCAGCGAGCAAACGTACTTTGCCGGTTGCATTATGTTCCTTACCCCAGGCTGACATGACGAAGGGGTCATTGACAGAGACGCACACAATCTCATCGATACCTTGCTCCTTTTTCAGAGCATCCGCATTAGCGACATAGCCGGGCAAATGAGTCTGAAGTACAAAAAGATTCATTTATTTGACAGAAAAGGTGATATAGAAAATGTAACTTGCCTTAGAACATCCAGGGGTGTAGGCACCGGGAACTCCAAAAATAATTACCCGTTTGCTGCTGGTCAGCTCTGAACTGTTAATCTTGTTTGCAGGTGAATCTTCAAAGAGATCCACCGATGGAAGTTTATCGCCAACCTACAAAGGACACACCCACCAAGAGAAACATGAGTATAACCTTGATTTTTATTCCCCTATGCGTTATGTGCAATTTTCCGCCTTGTAATCAATATTTTTTGCCCGGGCCCTTATGTAATTGCGCAATTCCATAAATTAACATCTTAAATGCCGCACCTTACTCCCAACCACATACCTTAACCATTGCAGCAACTGTTCTGGAGAAATCTCGAACGCTGTAGATGTTTGTCGAGCTAATGCAACGGAGAAAATTGCACACCTTCTTCATTTTGACACTGCGTTTATCTTCCCAAATGGCCACTGCAGTCGGACCAGGGTTGCCAAACTGTTTTTTGTTGCGAATTTTGGAGGCTAACAAAAGTGCATTAATGGTTTCACTATAATTTCACAATTTCAGTTCAGCTGTTCAAATATCAGTGTTTTTTTATGAAATAAACAGAATTACATTTAAGCAATACATTTAGTGTAAATTTGTCAGTTTGACGAGTCGGGAAATGGTTATGGCGCGACTTTACTTAACGCACTATCTGCAAAACGCTCCAAATCGTCCAAGCTTAGACTTCCACCGTTTCCAAACTTCTGTTCAAAATCTACCATAAACTCATTGGTTAGACGTTCTGACTGCTGCTCTGAGTAGTATTTTCGGAAAGACCTGTGGATAGCATCCCTCAACGTATCCGGCTTCATCACTACCAGATTCAGTTTTGTACCGTCCTTAATGTTTGGATAAGAGGAAATCTGTTGGTCATCATTGAGCGGGCGGCCCAGCAGCAACAATTTTTGGCTAGGGGCGGGAATTTGTAGTAGAGCGTCGATTTGTTTCTTTACCTCAAGGACCGTGGATGTGGGCGAGACCTACAGAGCACGCTATTATTACAATGACTGATAGCAACAACGAAAATTTAGTGCTACTCACCTCAAGTGTGCAGTCCTTGCCCTTAAGCACTTTAATTGTGATTTGCATGTCTTTTCTAAATCAAAATAAACTAACTCAATATTTTATTTTATGGCCAATCAACATAAACAAATTTGGCGTTGCCACACGTCATACATGCGGCGAGCATGACAGTTGACCGTGCAGCCGCCCTGGTAAGGATTTAAACCTTTTTCCCTGAACATTTTAGACAATTTGAAAATCAAACTTGTAATAGGACATATGCATTATTAGCAATAAATTGATATCAATTACATCAAATAATGTTTCCCAAAATGATTTATTTCTGCACATTCCTGAACAGTTGCACATCACGGCAACCCTGCCCTGCTGTCAGTCTAGCTGGGTTTCCTTACCTTTTTACCAGGCAACGTTGCGTGAACATTTTACATAAATAATTATTAATTTATTGTTGAACTTACGCTTTGATTGTTGATGTGAGAAGCTGAAATTGGCCGCAGCGCAAATAACACGCGTTGATTTCAATTCGTAAACAGTAAAAGTCTTGTTAATTTCGCATAGAGAATTAATGGCAGCGCAAATGAAAAAAAAGTGAAGCTAAAGCGCAAATATCACATAGCCTCGAGTGAATTAACGTGAATACCGTACGAGTGCTTGTGTGTAAGTGTGATTGTGTGTGTGCGTGCGTGTTAGAATTCGCAATTTACGTAAAAACAGAATAAACCTTTTATCAGCAATAATAAATTTGATGTTCTCGAGCCTGAATCGCAGCAGCAAATTGAACAAGTTCTTGCAGCTACTTGCGGTAAATAAAGGCACCCAAAAAAAAAACAAAAACTATAACAACAAAAACAAGCACCCAACAACCTCTTGACATCCAAGTTGTATATGTATTTTTTTTTATTATTAATTTTTGTTATGTGCCAGTTCTGCTGTCATTGCATATATGTACATATCTATTTGCCTCTCGATGCATCACCGACAACACTATTAATTATATATAGTACACAGATTAATTTTATTTTTGCCCTTGTGAGGTGCGCTCTCTCTTTTAAGTCCCTGGGTTTGTGAAGCAAGGCTCCTATAACAACAATGGCCCAAAACAATTTTTATTTGTGTGGGGGAATGCGACCTGAGCCTCAGATTTCTCATCCCCATTCCCCCCACTCTTTTTGTTTCGTTCATACATACATACACATATATATAAATATATATATATATACATATGTATATATTATGCACGTATGTCGCTCCCGTTCTTAAGTCTGGCAACTCTGATCGACGGCCATTGCTTCGCAACTTGTTGCTCTCATCGTATCTGATAGTCGTCCGTCTGTGTTTTGGAATTTATGTATATTTTCTTAGCAATTGTGCATAAATAATAATAATGCCGTAGCATATTTGTGTTGTGTGTAGGTGTGTAAAATGCAATCGAGACCTTTATAGAGCTTGACATAAACGTAAAATCACATGATCGGCATGTCTTTTCCGAAGCACCTGTTGGCCAGCCCTATTGGCCAGCAGCCTAATTGTAGCTAGAATTTATGTTTAAAGTGGAAAAAGCGAAATGCGTCTCTTAGAAGCCATACTAGCCAAATACATGCTACTCTGTTTTGCTCTGCTCCGGACATTGATTTGAAAACTTGATGTGTGTGTCGTTGTGTAGTTGTAGTACCGTTTAGAACCGGATTGTTAGAAATCAACAGAACAGAAATGGGATAGCATGGCATTAATTTACGCGCACAGTGGGACGCAGTCAAGACTTGTGACAAATTTGGAGCGCGTTTCTAGTTCTAGCGGTTTTTCCTTCTTTCATTCTCCCTCTCTCTTTCTCTTTCTTGTGTGTGTGTGTTTGTGTGTATTTATCTTATACCCTTCACTGAAAAGTCTAAGGGTATATCGTTTTTGTTGTACAAGCTTGTAACACCCAAAAGACAGCATCGTACATACATACATATGTATATGATCAGCATGACAAGACGAATCCAAATCGCGATAACCGCCTATCTGTTTCAATCTCTACTTCCACTGCCTTGCAGTAGAAAATTATTTCGCGTAGAAAATTTAAACCGAGACTTTCCTTTATAGAGGGATACAAATGCCAGATCATACTTGTATGTATGTAATTGATAGGACTATTTTGTCTATTAGAACCAACCAACAAATTATATGGTTCATGAAGTGAAGGGTATATAGCTTCGGCGCAGACGAAGATGATTGCCTAGCTCTTTTATTTAAATACATAAATATAAATGTGTGTGTATGTGTTTGTGCTGCATGTTGCTTGCTACGTTAATTTTCTCTTTGACCCTCCACAGCGATGGTTTTTTGTCTTGTAATTGTCTAATTGAAACAAGCACGGAGATTATTATAAGCAATATTCAATTTCTGCGAGAGCTTTTCGACGCTTTTGTGTGTGCGGATTTCTATAAACCAAAAACAATATCGTTTGGTGGTCTGTCTGTCGCAGCTGTTGGTAAGCAGAGAAATATAAAAAGCTGAGCGCGTATTATGGATAACGAGGCGTTAGAAACAACAACAAACACGACAGCAGCAGCAGCAGTGACGAACACAACAGCGGCAGCAACAGCGGCGACAAAAAACGAAACGGCCACAAATAACAACAACAATAATAACAACAACACCACCACCAGCAACAGTAGCAAAGTCACAGCAGCAGCATCCGCCACTAACGGTATCAAAGAGAATAACAGTAACTTTAGTACAATACCAACAACAACAGCATCAAGCACAGCAGCCACCATACCAATTGTGGTGACCAATACAACATCGGCAGCCGCTAGTGGCGTCGGCGGTGGTGGTGCAACCAACTCTTTGCCGGGCTCAGGCACAGGTGCCGCCAGCACCAACAGCAACGAGGTGAGTATCTCATCATCTACACGTTCTATGTACTCGTATGTATATATTATGCACATATACATATATATGTATGTATGTATCTACACTTATTGTTCGATTTCGGAATAAAAAGAGCGCAACTCAATATATAGCACTACACTTTTAATTGGAATTCGTGCTAAAGATTTAAGTTTCTAAAACTTGCCCAAGGAATTATGTGAGTTATAGATTAGATTTATGCTGGATGAAATCTTAATTTAATTATTATTTAATTCAATGAAATTATTGAGTACCTGCTGTTCCCAAACTTTTATCAGTTAGTTTCAATTACTGATTCCACAAATTTTAATAGTCTTTCATTATTTGCGTGTTAAATGGCCAAGAATTGTATTACAACAAGAATGCGATTTTGAAATGCAGAAACTTTAAAAATAAATAATAACACAAGCAAAATGTTTGCATAGCTTGTCAAGAAACTAATACTTTTTAACAGCTGATTCAAAGAAAAATAAACAGGAGAAGCAAGGTGTTCTATTTTATTAAATTAAACAAATTAATATGTAGTTCCGTCTGAAAGTAAAAACCTTAGGGCAATAATTTTGCGGCCAATATTTTTAAAACAGAGCAGTATTTTCTATAAATAAATCTTTCAACCGGTCTATTGCTTAAAATAGTTTAAACACAATTGTTCATCCCTGCTTTGTCTACAGACAAAGACAAAATAATTAATTGAATACGAATCCATTGAAAATATTTACGTGTGAATATAAGTTTGCGCTTTTATATCTGAGAAGGACGATGCGTATTTGTACATAAAGTATGTATATATGTATGTGTCTCCTTTGCACTGTCCAACCTCTCACTTGGATGTAAATATGCATCATATTGATTTTATGACATGTCCAATAGATGAATATATATATATGTGTGTGTGTTACCTGCCCCTTCCAATCCTCTACGATTTTGTAGTTCCGCTCGATGTGCACAGCTAATAAGTAGATACGATATACATACTTACTCGTATATTGTGTGACATGCATTATAGAGCGATTTATGTGTAGCAAGCACCCAATCTACAAAACAACAAAACTCCTTCGCACTTTCCGCAATGTCGTTCGTTACCTTTCACACACAAACAATATACATAATAGTTATCTAATCTTATCGCTGCAAATGTTGCCCACAGAGGCGAAATAGCCATTTCCAATTAGTGTCCCAATGCTTGTTGTAAATGGCTTGTTTTTGATTGTGTTCTTGTGATTTTTGTGAATCCAAGAGAAATATAGTACAAAATAAAGGCATTGAAATGCAGACCTAAGTCTTCTATGCATGTAGTGTTCCCCAAGTAAGGAATGAACAAAAACCCAAAACAAATCCGAAACCGAAACCCTAGTGCTCATCACTTTGTTAGCCAAAACTACTAAACCGTGAATTGTTCACTTGCTAACATCCTACAGGCAGCCAGACTTAGGCGACAAGGATTTGCGCAAACCAAGGTAAAAGAAAACTAATAAGAGAACGAAAAACTCAAGTTCCATTGAGCGAGCAGCTCTTCGACGAATTCTAGGCCAGATTTCTTTATGCAAGTGTTCTTACCAGTTTTTGTTAAGACTTCTTGAGTTTATACAGAATTTTGCATTTTACTTTTCAATTCAATTTCAATTTGCATTTGTGTTTGACTCTTTTAAGTTGTTCTTTTTCGCTTTTATTTCCGTTGCCCCACTGACGCCTCTGTCGCTTTACCTTTCAGGCTAACAAAGACAAGGACACACCACCGCGCGATGGCCCGCCACCCACGCCGATTATCAAGGGCATAAACTTGACTGCCACACCGCTGGTCCGCAAGGAGAAAAAGCAGATCAGCGCACGCTATAATGTCTCCAAGAATTGCGAATTAACGGCACTGAGTCCGCTTAATGAAAGTGAGTAATACATATAAGTAAATAAATATTTATATAGTTAAATATGTATACTTAAAGGGTGCCTTTATAGGCCTAAATATTCGTTGTTTAAAGTTTCAGAATACATTTAGTTTGTCGTTAGAAAGGCCATTTGTGTTTATTTGCAAAATTTATAAATTGGACGAAAAAAAGTTTTTGTCAATTAATATTCGCATAGCAATGGATTCGATTTTGAAGCATTTACTTTCTAACTTTTTCAGTAACAACCTAAATGGCACCCTTTACGTATGCAAATAATAGATATACATATATGTACGTACGTATGTTTGTTTGTATGTATAATGTGCAGTTGGCGCGCCCAAACAAAATTAACAATAATATTTATTTGGTTCTACTATTTTTATGTACTTATGTATAATTGTATATTTACATTTTGCGCGAGCGTCAGCTGTTTCGGCATTTATTTTATGAATTCATGGGCGCTCGCGCCTTTAATATTTGTTTATTATTTATTAAACAAGTTCGCAAAGGTCATGCGTAAGCTCGCTCATATGTTTGTGTGGGTGCGTGTGTGAGTGTGTGTGTTAGTGGGTGGGTGGTGAATTGTGTGCTGCCCTTCCTATGTGGTGCACTCACTCTTGCGGTACTCCCGCTCTTGACCACCCGCTCACATACACGCTCTTCCACTCTCGCTCTCTAGTAGTTGCATTAAGCCTCTTAGCATTAGCATTAGCGGTAATGCTGCTAATTATTAACGGCACTCAAATCCACAACAACTATTAACACATTTTATTGTATGTGCCGCCGCACTTGCATCATCAACGTTATTCCCTCCCAAGCCATGGTCATCATAGTACTATATAGTATATATGTATATATGTATGTTTATATAAATGTATGGCAGGCTATTATTATTAAACGTTGCTCATTTTCCTGCGCATTGCTTGCGCTCTCCTCTCCTCACCTCACCTCTCTCTTCCTCTCTCGAGCCGACAGTTCTCTCTGCGCATTGACTTTATTGATTTTTCTGCTTTGCCAATTGAGTCTCGGTAGAAGACATTGCCGCACAGTATTAGTTCAATATAAATATCATAATTGAGAAGACTCGTGTAGGGTGCAGTGTGTGCTAAACAATAATTTCTAAAATATTTCATTAACACATTAAATGCGAAATAAAGCAACAAAAATTTGTTAACTCCTTTGTTGTTGGACGTTGGCCGTTTTGTGTGTTGCCTTGTTTTTGTACTCTGCCCAGCACACACTCAACACACTCAACACAATCAATCAATCAATCACACAAACAGTTAATTTGCGAAAACCGGTTGCGTTACGATTTTTCCAATACGATTGTAAGTTTCTACTTAAGTACTCTATATGTACATGCATAGATGAACATATGCATGTACGTAAGCATTGTCATTAAACTTCTAACGTTTTTTTAAGTGTGGGCGTTTAATTTGTTACAACTTGTTCTCAATGCTGTCTGCCCTCCGCCAAACTTTATTCAATAATTTTCTTCCTCTTTTGTTCGGTTCTGTTCTATTCAGTTAATAGGTTCAGTTCGACTCTGTTCTGTTCGTTCTATTCTTTCGTTCTGATATTCATATACTCGATATATATTTTAGTTGCCATGCACTCATACTATAACCAATTCACACGCATATGGCGTCTTTAACATTTTGCATAGTATATCATCATCTATATATATAAAATTCATAAATCATAATATGTGCTTTATAATTCCATTGCAGATGCTATAATAATAATTAACGCTTAGAACAAATTAAGAACTAAAGCCAAAAAGTGTACAATATTTGTTATTAGTACCAAATACATAGTCATCTATATAATTTCTCTGAACATTTAGTGCTATCATGGGCATATAACACCAGAAGACAAAAGTGTGTGTGCGTATGCGAGTGGATGTGTGTGTTTGAGTGAGTGAGTGAGTGTTTTTTTCGGATGAGCAATGCATTGCAATTAAAAACAAGTGCGGAGCACTAATGAAATGGTCCTCGGTGCTATGTTAATGACGGGCAACTTACCCGGCTATAAGCAGCAGCAGCAACAACAGCAGGAGGAGCAACAGCAACAACAGGAACACCACCAAACAACAAGCACGGCGACAAACAGTAACAACAACGAGCACGAGCAAAAGGAGGAGCTCAACAACTTGAAGTCACATCAGGCCGCCATTGCCGCTGGTTACTATGGTCTGGGCATACCAAAGTCGCCTTCATTTCACAGCGGACTAGATCAGCTGGCGGACGAGGCTGAGGCTAAGCAGCAACAGCAACAACAGCAGCAGCAGCAGCAACAAAATAATACACAAGGCAACAAATTTAAATTCAGCAGCGTTGAGGAGCTGAAGGCCAAATTTGAAGCACGTAAAATGCCATTATCGCCACCATCGCCGCAACATCAGCAGCAGCAGCAAACGGAAGGCAACAATACCAACAATTCATCATCGCCTTCGTCATCGTCAACATCGTCCAATTCATCTGCATTATCATCGCTCTCACAGGCCGCCTCATCATCGCTGGCTTCGGCCGCAGCTAATTCCTCAGCATCGGGCTCATCCACAGCCACCTATGGGGGTGGTGCCAATTCTGCGGCAGCAGCATTAATCGCCTCCTCTTCGCCATTTGGCTCACAATCTTCCACGTCCTCATTGTCACAGTCATCGGCGGGGACTGGTGTGGCAGCCACAACGAATGCCGCCACAGTCATGTCAAAGAGTACACCAGCCACTGCCTCGGGTGGTGCTGCAAGTGGTGCCGGCAGTTCTCTGGTATCCACTTTGGCGCAACACTTTTCGGCAGCTACATCCGCCAGCTCGTTACTGAGCACGGCCGCCGCCTCGACAGCCTCAACGCTAACGGCCAACAACAAGGTTTGCCAGTTTGCTTAACAACAACAAAACAACTACACACAGAACCACAGATCCTTCAAACACTCCAAAAACAACACCTTTAAAAACACCCTCAAACAAAAAAAAAAAAAAAAAAAACGCACTTGCCACACATTCTTCCACTGAACACACAATTCTCTAATTACAATTTATAACAAAAGTTCGCCTCATTTGTAAGTCGATGACTGATCAAAAACAAACAAATTCTCCTCTGCTCTCATTTCATAAATAATTGAATCACTAAACACCTTCGACAAACTCTCTAAAATGTGATGCCTCAGTCGCCAGTAAGCGCCGCTGCCGCCATCAAGAATATATTGAATGCCACCAAAAATGTTGGCAACAATGCCACAACATCAGCAACAGTTGTGGCAACAGCAGCAGCAGCAGCAACGACAACAACAGCAACAACAACCAGCAACAGCTGCAACGAATCAAAAAATGAAGAATATAGTGCGACAGTAGCTCAGAATATAGTTGGCGGGATAAGCATCTCATTGGGAATCGGAAATCGTAATATTGGCAACGGGAATTCCGCCAATATTCGACAGAATGGCGGCGATATGTTGTATGAATTGAATCAAACCAGCAGCACTGTTGCAAGCACCAATTTGTCAGCGCAGACGTTGCAGCAATTAACTGGCAGTCCGGGACGGGCTCGAGACCGCAATCTATTTCACTCGCCGACAGCTTCTGCAGCCGTACCATTGCCGTTACTGCGAGGTTGCTACCAAATTTCTTTGACCACAAATCGATGTATAATTTAATTTCCTTCCTAATATACATACTACTTGTATATATGTCTCTAAATGTGTGTATATCAAAAGTTGTGCGCTTATTGTTGTCTTACGTTGCTCAATCATCTTTAGAACTCTTCATTTGTTTTCTTTTATGATAGTAGTTAGAATTCAGTACATTTCTCTACGTAAATATTTTTATTCATATAAATGTATATATGTATAGTATATAATTTTTAAGTTTAATATTCTTTGTATCTATTTTAGTTTTATATAAATGTATGTAAATTTATGTGTGTGTATGTATTAGGGGTTCTTTCGCTATTCAGTACAATAATACGTTTACATTGTCATTCACAGAAACGCCCGCTGCGGAACGTGAAGAGCTATTCCTACAAAAACTTAGACAATGCTGTACGCTGTTCGATTTCTCCGAACCGTTGAGCGATCTAAAATGGAAGGAAGTCAAACGAGCCGCTCTCCACGAAATGGTAGAATTTCTATCCAATCAGAATGGCGTCATCACCGAGCTTATCTATCCGGAGGCAATCAATATGGTGAGCACAAATATATAGGTTACAAGTGTTTTATATCACACAAAAAAAGTCCACCTTCAAAACTTAACTCAATGCAATGGAGAATGTAAATAGTTTGGGAGTTTCGAAGTCTTTATTAACAATTGAATAAAGATTACAATCGAAGTTTTAAGTAAATTTGTAGGTTTTTCATACTGCCCGTTTTCCCAATTTGGAGCTCGAATTTCCTACAGTATTAAAGGAAAACTTTATTCGCAATTCAAGTCCTCTGAACTCCATTTTTCTAGATCCGATTAGTTATAAAAAGAACATTTCGCAATCAAAATGTTATAAAATTCTATATTACTCAACAGTTTTTTTCCAGAATTCTTTCTATAAAATAAATGTATTGATAAAGCAGCCGAAAAACTCCGATGTTAAATTTATTTGTGATTTTCAACGTTTTCGAAATATTCCCCCACAATTGTTCTACGATAAAATCATGTTGAAATATGTTTTTGTCTCTTTGTAGTTTGCCGTAAATTTGTTTCGCACTTTGCCACCATCATCAAATCCCAACGGCGCCGAATTTGATCCCGAGGAGGATGAACCAACGCTGGAGTCCTCATGGCCACATTTACAATTTGTTTACGAGCTATTCCTGCGCTTCTTGGAATCCCCAGATTTCCAGCCAAATATTGCTAAACGTTATATCGATCATCAATTTGTATTACAACTGTTGGATTTATTCGATTCGGAGGATCCGCGTGAACGTGATTTCCTTAAGACTGTTTTACACCGCATCTATGGCAAATTCTTGGGCTTGAGGGCATTTATTAGAAAACAAATAAACAATGTGTTTTATAGGCACGTATTTATGATGAGTATAGTGAGAGGAAAATGAAGATTTCCCCTTAAATCAATTATTACTTCATTTTAGATTTATCTATGAAACGGAGCACCATAATGGCATTGCCGAACTGTTGGAAATCTTAGGCAGCATTATCAATGGCTTTGCTCTACCACTTAAAGAGGAGCACAAACAATTTTTACTTAAGGTGTTGCTGCCATTGCACAAAGCAAAAAGCCTCTCGGTGTACCACCCACAATTGACCTACTGTGTGGTGCAGTTTCTTGAGAAAGATCCCAGTCTATCCGAGGCGGTTATCAAGTAAGTAATAAGCCAGTAAAATATAATGGCAATTATTAATTAAAAACGTGTAATGATGTTACAGAAGCCTGCTCAAATTCTGGCCGAAAACCCACAGTCCCAAGGAGGTAATGTTTTTGAATGAGTTGGAGGAACTGCTGGACGTCATCGAACCTGCCGAGTTTTCAAAGGTGATGGTGCCGCTGTTTCGTCAAATAGCCAAATGCGTATCGTCGCCACACTTTCAAGTTGCTGAACGCGCGCTCTATTATTGGAACAATGAGTACATAATGTCTCTGATAGCCGACAACTCGCAGGTAATACTGCCGATTATGTTTCCGGCGCTAAATCGCAACTCAAAGACGCACTGGAATAAAACCATTCATGGCCTAATTTACAATGCACTTAAGCTATTTATGGAAATGAATCAGCGGCTGTTCGATGAGTGCAGCAAAAACTACAAACAAGAGAAGCAGCTGTAAGTATGAACCGCTTTTAACGACAAAATTAAAGGGACGCACCATTGATTGGCTTTTGAAATTTGTAGCGAACGCGAGAAACTGTCCCAACGTGAGGAGCTCTGGCAGCAGGTCGAGAGCTTGGCCAAAACCAATCCCGAGTGGCCAAAGGTCAGTCGCTATACCGATTGCCTGCAGCTATCCGATAGTCAAATCTTATACGATCAATACAATGAAAATTGTGATCTAACCTACGATAAATTGGATCAGTCGAGGCAGCTAACAAAAACGCCACAGAAGCCGCTGCAGGAGCCACGAGAGGTGAGACAAGCACTTGCCACACTTACCACACTAAACAACTACTAACGCAACAAAAGATCACAAACAAAAAAATAAAAATAAAAAAACAGCAAGAACAAGATCTAAGTGTGTTAATTTTGCGCTCTAACTATAATTTAATGAATGTCTGTTAAAAACAACAAATAATAAGAAAATAATAATCACTCAGTTACAAATACATACTTACATATAATTGTATTCTATGAACTTTGCATTTTCGATTTCTTTTGGTTCTATTTATACATTACTTACATTCCCACACACACCCACACTACTTTCCATTACACTATGCCCATTCCGTCTTAAACAAATACTATTTATAACCAACTTCGTTTCGCACTTAACTATGTTGAGTAGAACCGTTTGTGAAATGTCCTGTGAATTGTTTTTTGTGCCACTGCTAAATATTGGAAATCATTGAGACATCACTATGTTTCCACCGATTTTCAAATGAGTTTCATGTCAGTTTGTTTCTCCTGACTAAGAATAACTTAAGCTTTGTTTAAAAAAAAACATGAAATATTCTGCGAAATTATTGAATAGAATTTATAAATTTTTCGCTTTTCCATTCAGGAAGTAGAAACATTATTACCATTTCCTGTTGTGAGATTTTAAACAAGAATCTATCTCTTCAGCTAAAGAGATCACTTCAAAATTCTACACAATAATTTAAAAGAAAGTGAATTTATCACGGGTTTCAAACACTGTTGATTTTTTAATAGCAATAGTTTCAAATAATTTTTAGATTTACAAAAGATTGAAGATTCTTACACTCCTCAAATGTAGAATATATTTTGACATATTCTATGGATCAAATATAATTTCTCTCAATTGAACTTAAATGAAAATACTGAAAATCGCTACCAAAAAAACAATAATATTTTTCAAAATTGTTTTTAGCATTTATTGAGATTGTAAAAAGAAGGACCTTTACTTTCCTTTTTTTTTTTGAGGTGTTGAACAAGACCCGAACAATTGAATTCGAGATTCAACAACAAATTCTCAATACTGTAGAACTCTGAGACTGAACAATTTTTACAATAATCTTGAACGAGTTGAGCAGCAATGAATCAATCGGTCTGTATTATTCCAAAATTTGTAAATAATCTTTTTTTCGAATTGTTTTTCGAAGACAAGAAAGATTCTTCAGCCAATTACTGCATCAGTATGTAGGAAATTATGCGCATATGGTTAACGAACAAAACGATTTATTCAAACTTGAAGCAAATATGGATATGTGTGTCTAAGAATTGTCGTCTAGGAATCATTATCTAATTCCTCAAAAGTAGTATAATGTCGCACCTGCAAATCATGCGCTAACCCACAACTACATATGTACTCGTATACTATAAGTATATTGGATATCGAAGGAACTTCTCTCTTGTAAAAACATGGTGTATATAATGTCGATCGTCGTTCATGTGTATTATAAACTCCTCCTATATATAGTGTACTCGTATATGGTGTCTCTTCAACTAACCAGCACCAATCTGAATAGTCAAAAAAATCACTCTCAGCACTCAGCACTCTCTCAGTATGAACGATCTCTCTCGATCTGATTTCTGAAACTAGAACTTCCTGTATTAATACACACAAATCGCTTAACTGTGCGGATCGTTTTTGCTATGATCGTCTGTCTGCCTTAACGTTCCTCACACACAGATGCAGATGCGTGGCGAGAGGAACAAGGACAAGCCCTTGATGCGACGAAAATCCGATCTGCCCTCAGACAGCGGCACAGTCCGAGCCCTTATCGAGCACAAACGGGCCGATGAGTACTTGAAATCTTCGCCAGATGTGAACAACTGTTAGGCGCTGGAACGCTGGCGTTGCAGTAACAAAACCAAGCAAAACAAACACATAATTAAGCTTAAAGAAAATGATACAAACAACTACAAAAACAAACAAACAAAAAAACACACTCAACAATATACATTAATTATATATTTTTTAAAGAACACATACATAGTAATCGTTTTGAGCTATAAATGTTTCATGGTTTATTATACGAGTATATTGTGGCCTTCAGCATCTAGGCCTAGTTAGATAGTTTCTTGCTTAATTTCTAGGCTGTTGTGCGCAGCTTAAATATTATACTACTTATATATATACACACACATATACAGATACAGATACATATAAATATGAATAGTTGTTAAGAGCAGTAGTAGAAACAACAACAACAACAACAAAACAATACAGTTATACAATAATGCATACATAGTACCAATAAAAAGCTACAATCCCAATATATTCCTATATAGCTATTTATTTTGAATGCAAAAGCTTCTGCGTCCTAACAATTGCAATCGACAATCGGACAAATCGACGGCGACGGCAATGCATGATGTTGATTGCAAATTATGTTTCTCCTCCATATCTGTATACTTTATACTCTTTGTATACTGCATGCGTTTTAAAGTTAATGGCTTTTTGGTAATCTAATGCGAATTATTCAATAATCTCGTTACGAACTTATCTTCTTACCATTTCAGTGAAGAATACGTGAATTTTGTACATTATTAAATACTATAATATATAGCTTAAGGCGTAATAACTACCAACTCTTGATTGAGCATACCCCTCACACCTATATATTAAATATATATTTAAATATATTACTTATTTCGTCATAGCTATATACTATAATATGGTAAACACATAATACAGAATACAACTAAAGATCTGAAGCAACGGGGTGCCTGCTGCTGATGCTGAGCAGATTAAAGTTTCTAATAAGTATGATAACGAAGATGATGATAAGCCCCCTATATAGGATGATGGGTTATTACATCATCCCTATGCAGATAACTCTAGCTCTCCATTAAGTTGCTTGCTGTTGTACAAGTAATTTATTTAAACAAACAAAGTGAAAGTGGTATGTATTTATTAATAAGTGTGCTTGTGCTTTGCGATTGGAGATGATGCTTAGCCAGAAGCAGGACTAACTCAGAGAGAATCCTTAAGAAAATGATCTTCTGCGATGATGCTATCAAGAGATCGCCCTCTTTGCAATTCAAATATATATAAATAATCAGATTGAAGCGTGTCTGATCCGTATACGTACATATGTAAATTTATATCTTCCGGCTCAAATGGTGAAATAGTTCAAGGACCTCGAACGAACTGAAAAGGCACTTGGAAAAAATTCCCAACTCAGTTTTCCTTTTGGAACAAAATTCTGGAAGATTTAGAGGTTGATTGCGATTTATAATCATATATAGCCTCATTAAGAACGTCTTCTATTCCAGTGTGCCATAATAATTTAAAAATGTGTTGATAATGTCAAAAATACTTCCATTTACAAATTTGTAGATAAACTCGAGAAATGCTTCCCCTTTTGCTTCCAAAGCTTTGTTTGGGCAGACAAATAATTTGCACACAAGTTTGTCAAACTGCATGTCACGTTACTTAAATCAAAAGCAATAATACTTCCTCAATGTACAAATTATTTGCCTGTGTGGCCGTAGCTTTGCTTTCAGACAACCACAATTTAACGCCTTTGAGATAAATTGGCGGAATATTAGGCGGAAATTCCTGTGCGAATCCACCCGATACCGAATTGTCTTCAAATTGTTTTCCAAACATCTCAATTTCCGCCAACCTTATCAAATATTGTCGTCGGCTTCTTGTTATCAATGGAAGCTCCATCGACGACCTTTGCTTCCACAAGCAACTGTACAGGCCAAGTGAAAACAAAAACAGAATAAAATTGATAGGCTTCGTTTAGTTATAGACATTTATATTTATGTATAGAGATGTATTTACACATTTTTGGCAAAAATACATTACACGCGATTAACATCAAAGTTGCAGAACAATAATATGACAGAAATAAAGATAATACACACACACACACTATAATAAAACAAACAAATTTTCCTAAAACAGGAAAAAATGGTGAAATCAAAGTTGCTCTGCACACAGAGCTTAATTTTTCATAACTAAACAAACAGAACAAAAACAAATACTAGCTAACTAAAAGTTAATAAAAAGCCTATAAATGAAATTGTAAATGATAGAATATGGAACGTTAAAAAACGCATAATTTTGTATTATTATAAATAAAAAGTTATAATATCGAGAAAAAAATGTATATATACTTGTATATGTAGTGTATTTTGTACAATCACTCGGCTTATGAATAGAACTTGAATCGTCTAATTAGTTTTTAAAAAGTATACAACTTATGAACAACAAAAAGACATTTACAGCACATCTAATCATAAAGCGAATAAATAAGTTATTCCGAAGACGACACACACAGAATTGAAGCGATAGACAAATCTGGATATCATCGTCATTATCATTATAATTGATTTGGCCACGGAGCTGGACTTGAATTGGCTTGGCTTGGTTTACTGAAACTTCTCTCCCAGGCCGCGTGTTTTGATGGCGAGCTCGGATAGATGTTGCTGCAGCAGACGCTTATTAACCTTCTCCCTAAACGAGAAAAAGTTTTATTTCTGAGCTACAAGCTTCAAAGAACCACCAACCTTAATATCAACGAGACGTATCGTGATTTTTCGGCATCTGTGATCAGTTGTGTAGGGAAATTGGGTGCCGCCATTACAGTTCGCAGCCATACAGCCAATTCTGCCGGATACTTTTTGTTGATGGCCAGAAATATGTCTGCAAACTTATCCACTTGCTGACGCGGTGTCACAAAGCCCACACAAAGCAGAGAAGTGCGCACGATCTCCTCCCCTGTCTTCAACACCGCCTCTGTCATGACTGGATAGTTCCGCGACTGCATTGTGAAATGTGTCACAAACTGTATGCTGGTTCGGATCGGTCCATTCTCGGGCAATGTCATGGCACGCAATGCGTAATATATAATACGATCGTAAGCAATTGTCTTATCATCCAGTGCCTGTGGTATTTTCTTAATGATTTGCGTGAGACTGGCATAAAACATTTCTATGGTATCGGCTATATTCGAGTAGCAATTTTCCGGTGTGGAGTCGAATAGCTTGAAGCTATGTAGGATGAACTGTACGAGCAATTGTTGCATCAGCGCCTTGCAGCTGTCATCCTTGTAGAAAATAATAATTGCGGTCTTCGAGATTTCTAGAGTGGGTGCACAGCAACGTGCCTGGAACAGCGAGACGATGAAATAGCACAGATCCTGCAGCATGGGCCTGAAGCTGGCCTTCAAATTAACGATGGCATGTTTCAACGCACTGCAGGCCGTCTAAAAGGACATAACTTGTATTATTATTGTGATTTATGGCTTTCAGTTGACTACTTTATGACAAATGATGGTTTTTCTTTTAAATAAATAAAATAAATTAAACTTGAAGTTCCACAAAATGGAAGAGTGGAAGAGATTAGACAATATATGTATGAATCTTACCTCCAGCACATCAAGTTCCTCCACAAATAGCTCGGCTATTTGCCGAAATATCGGCATAGTTTTTTGCATCACCATCAGTACTGGTTGTACATTCTCAAAGTCTTGAGAGCCATCACATTCATTCAAATCGGTGTTGAGCGAGGAAAAGAGCGTCGAGATCATGTTGAGTCTGAAAATTACGCGTATGCGTGCCGCTGGTGACTTCTGTAAAGGGAGTAGTAGGGCTAGTATTACCAATTTAAGGGTCCACAATTATTCTGAACTTACAGCTTCTGCTTGGCAAATGGCTTGTAATTCTTCAAAGCACGGACTGACTATCATGTCCAAATATCTGGGAATTTCGTCGGGTGGCAACAGACTCATTAGTTTGCCAATGCTGAACATAAGACGCACCGAGTCTGAGTTTTTCATGCGACCAGACATGAGCGTTGCATGACAAGCGTTGAGCAATGGCTCCGCATAGGGTTTCATTTGCAGTTGACAATCACGGCAGAGCTCCTTGAGACCCAGCGTGGCTTGTGCGGACATGGGTGAGTTGAGACCTCGGACTAGCAATTCAATAGCAGCGGGTATATAACTGGGATTCTCCATCAGCCAGGAACAAAAGGAACCGATTGTTTCGAGCGCAGTCCCCAGTAGCTTCTGATTTAGTTTCTCGTATGGTATTTCGGAGAGTACGCGCATCAATTTTGGTATCTGTTTGGACTCCTCACCGCCAAAATGCTCGGCTACCGATTGAAAGGCGAAAATACAAGCCTCCAGCTTAGTCCAACGTGTAGGATTTGTTTGTAGCTCGGAAATCGCCTCGTCAAGCATCTGTGCCAATATTTCCAAAATATAGTCATGAAGAACATCATAGCAACACATCTAGGAGTAGAGGAGTACATTAAAAAAGGTGCACAAGAACTGGCTTATAATGGCCTTACAAACGTATCGGATATATCCTGTCGATAGCAACGAAAGCATTCCAAATCATCGGAATTCCATTTATCAATAGTATTCTCATCCGGCTGCTCAGATTTTCGCACCAACACACTAGTTAGATGGGCATAAAGGGGCTTTATGAACTCCCAGCATTGCCGTTTCTGCTCCTCTACCGGTATGGCAAACACCTCGTCCTGCAGCATGTACCAAAACGCCATAGCCATATTGCTGCAGGACTCCTCCACAGGGTAGATGCCTGGCTTGTCGGTACATTGCAGTATCTCATGCACCATGCGGCACCATAGAGCGCCCAGTTCTGGATCCGTAGCCGATAGTCCACTGAGAAACAGATGCGAATGACGTTCGACAGCAGACACAAAAAGTGTATATATATTGACAATGATATCCTCATTATTGTTATCCCGCTTCCATTCCACTTTGGTTATTTCCGTGAGCGAGTCCAGGAACATTTGGATGAGCACAAACGCCGACTTGGGATAATTGTGGCAATCCGGCTGGATAATAATGTAGACCAGGGTCTTGAGACAATTCTCAGATAGCTCGTTGTCGTCAGCAGACATGCAGCCATCGCCGTCAGGATTACGAACACAGGGCCAATAGCACTTGTTGACCACATCGAGGAGAACGGCTGTAGCGCTGGAGCAGGCCTCAATGCAGTAGCCAATATTTCTGCAATATATTAGAAATATCTCAATCCCAATTGGCTATGGTAATGACGTAGTTATACACACTTTATCCAAGTACCGATGCACTTAACAGCGCGGGACATATTGTTGTAGCACTCCGAATCCCACTCACGGTTCAATTGCTCCTTTAGGTAATTCTCAGTGGTTTGCATCACCAATGGAGTGCGTTTGCCAATCTCATTACGCAATGTGACGCGCTTCACCGAGGTATGTACGGCTTGCGCCTCCTCCGGTATTGCCTGCAACACCTCCAGCATGATCCATATCTGCATGTCGGCGCTGACATTGGGAATGCGCTGATTCTGGAACGTGTCTATCACCTCCTCAACGGCCATAGGCCATTCATTCAACATGTGTACGATGTAGGCACTCAACTGCAATTTTCAAACATATACACTAAAGTAATTACGAGGATTGACATCTACCCACTGCTATGCACAAACGATTCAGCACTATCTTTGGCCCTCCAGCAAATTGCACAATAGTTTCCAGTATTTTCTGCTTCAGTTCCTCCCGATTCTCTGGTGGCACCTCATGCCAGTGTTTCATTAACTTCGAGTGCAACGTAATTGCGCCAAAAAACTGAACCTCTTGGCTCTACAAAAAGTTAATCATTTGCTTGGTTGTTTCAAGTGCTGAATTTTTCTTCTCTCACCTTGCCAATCTGCATTAGCTGCCAGGAAAATTGCCATGCCTGTGAGCTGTTCTCCGCCTTTGTGAGCCATTCGTGGGTTATCGCCTGCTCCTGTGTGGTTTTGGAGCTGTAGAAAACAACAACGGCCTCCTCTAAACGTGCTATATCTATGGCATCCATTTGGACTGTGTTGGCGGCCAAGCGAATTTGGCTGCTCAGATTTCAAGTTATCGTATTTAAAATTGTGTATATGGCAAATTTGTCCCGAATGAATCGGCCCGAGGCCCCTTGATTATAGAGCAATCGGATTCGCAACGAAAAGTTTTTGCTGCCTGCTCTTCTTCTTTTCTCCTATTGACAGTTAGTGATGTGTGGTTTCGTTCGGCACAAGTTCAATTGAACGGAGTCCAACCGCAGAATTCAGACATTAATAATTAAAGCATAATTGTTTTTAAAAGACATATATGCGTTGAATGTATTTAATTTTTCTTTTTGGCTCACTGCATAGTTTAATATAAGATGTTTTGTGACTACTAAGTAGCTGAACTACTCTTCATATTTAAAATGAACCTGTACGGGGTTGCCCCATCTGTCAAAATTCGAAGCACAATTGCTTGACTTAATTCAAATATATGTACATATGTATTTTCAGATTTCAATTCATTGCTTTCGCTTTTTCATATGTATGTAAAATTTTCAGCATTATGTAATTCAAATGTGTATGTAACAATAAAAATAAATAGGCACTTATTTATATATGTACAAAACATCATTAGAAACTAAAAACGAGCTTCCAAAAACAATATTTCAGCCTAGAACCCTGCGCCTGTATGAACTCCTTGCTATCCCGATCCACATAAACCGTGAGCTGCTCATTTTCGCAAAGTGTGGAAACTTTTATTGCTGATTCAAAGTTTTTAGTTTTGAGCAGATCGCGCTTTACGACACACCACTTCAACGTTGACAAGCTGACATTTTGCAGCTCCAGCAACTGAAAGATACTAGCAATGTCCTTATGTTGAACTGCTTGAGGCACAACCACACAACTCTTGACTAGATCGAAGTAGTTTATGAAGTTGGCGCACTTGAAGGGAGACAAATTACATGTCGCCTTATTGATCCACTCACATGTTTCATTATCTTCACAAATAACCCACAGCTTTTGCTCATGCAGAGTTATGGAGGCCTGATCATTGAAATTTAAACGATTGCTAGCTTCGGAGGTCTCAAAGAGTTTATAAAAGTGCACCATTAGACGATCAAGCTCCGCCTGTTTTATGCCACCGAGCTCGTTAGTAATAATCAAAGCATAGCGACGATTTTCTGGTGTTAGATTTAAATATTCTGGTATTTCCGATGGGTGTTGAAGTGAATCTTTTGTTGGATTCATAGGAGACGGTATTGTAGCTGATTCTTTCACAACATCATTTTCTCTTGGTAGATTTATAGGAGACGAATTTGTGGCTGATTTGTTCACAACTTCCTTTTGCTTTGGTGGATTTATAGGGGGCGATATTGTGGCTGATTGCTTCGCAACTTCCGGTTGCTTTAACGGATTTATAGGAGACGAAATACTGGACAATTCCTTCGCAGCAACCTCCGGCGTTATGAGGAACCTGAAATGTTCGGTACAGTAATGTATAATAAATATAAATTAAATAAAACTTATATTTTATACCTTTTAGGGGAGACCGAGACTCTGTTCTCTTCGACTTCCTTGCGCTTTCTCGTACTTTGTGAGCGATGATTGCCTTCATCATTAGAGCTTTCGGAGCTACTGCTGCTGCTGCTACTTTGATCATCGCTCGAATCGGTGTTTGTTGAGTGCCAAGAGTCCTCCGAGTCAGGGATAACTTCTGTATACTTTGGCAACTGATCGATTTGCCGCTTTCTGTCAGCAACAGGCGAATTAAAAAAGTCAGTTTGCATATCTCCTTCGCTGTCAGTGTAGAATTGGAGAAAACAAGCAAATTCTTTTTTATTATACAAATAAATTGCGGCCCCATTGATGTTTTGCAGATCTCGCAAGATTGCATCCAATTTCTCGTTGTCACCCAATATTCTGGACAGGGTATGAATTTCCTGATTCTCGACAGGAATATCTACATAATCAATCACTCGTTGTTTTAGCGCCAGAACATCCAAATTCTCATCAATATGAAAAATATGGGGTGCCTAGAAATATAAAAATGTTGTAACATCGCTAACGGTACAACCATACCAGTTCAAGCTTACCCCTTCAGCTTCAAGCTTAATTTTAACAAACATAGCTTTGAAAATTCGCTTCTTGATAACAAAAAAAAAAAACAAATATATAATTTAAAATAAAATAAATTAAATGCGTGTGTCTCCGCACAACCACCACTCAGCAGAAATTAAATTCACATGTACCAAAACAGTTATTGATAGTGCTGCCATATCGCTACCATTTCTAGTGCTGGTCAACGCAACACCTGAGTTGTCATTTGCAAGGTGTCGAGTCGACGACGTAAGACATTGGTGACTAAATTGTATTTCGCATGGAAAATGATGCACATGCAACGAATAATGTAAAAAAATAGTGCAAACTAGTGTCATACGGGTTACAAAAATTGCCGCCGCCGCTTTAGCATATGAATTTAGTTAGCGTGCAAGTTGTTTACATCACAACGTAAACTTAGCGCACAAGTGGCCACGGCTGTCGTTCTTGTTAGCAAAATAAGAAGGCTTAACGAAAATGTCTTCTTCGGCCATATTTGTGCTGGACGTGAAGGGAAAGGTGCTGATATCGCGCAACTATCGCGGCGACAACATCGACATGGCAGTGATAGATAAATTCATGCCACTGCTGATGGAGCGCGAGGAAGAGGGCTTAATCACGCCCATTTTGCAGACGGCAGAGACAACGTTTGCGTATATAAAGACGAACAACCTCTATATTGTATCCACCACGCCGCGCAACAAGAATGTCAACATAGCCCTGGTCTTTGTCTTTCTGCACAAAATCGCACAGGTGTTCATAGAGTATTTCAAAGAGCTGGAGGAGGAGTCCATACGCGACAATTTCGTCATAATATACGAGCTGCTCGACGAGCTAATTGACTTCGGGTATCCCCAAACAACAGACTCGAAGATATTGCAGGAGTACATAACGCAGGAGGGTCACAAGCTGGAGCTTCAGCCGCGCATACCAGTGGCTGTGACAAATGCCGTATCCTGGCGCTCCGAAGGTATTAAGTATAGAAAGAATGAGGTGTTCCTGGACGTCATTGAGTCTGTCAATCTGCTGGCCAATGCTAATGGCAATGTGCTGCGCAGCGAAATTGTGGGCGCAATCAAAATGCGTGTCTATTTGTCGGGCATGCCGGAGCTGCGTTTGGGCCTCAACGATAAAGTGCTCTTCGAAAGCACTGGACGCGGAAAATCAAAGTCTGTCGAGCTCGAGGATGTTAAGTTCCATCAGTGTGTGCGTTTGTCTCGTTTTGAGAACGATCGCACGATATCGTTTATACCACCAGATGGAGAGTTCGAATTGATGTCCTATCGCCTCAATACACATGTAAGGTCCCAAGCCGCTTATAAACACATGCATAGCGATAAATAATTGATATTTTTTTTTATTGCAGGTTAAACCTTTAATTTGGATCGAGTCGGTCATTGAGCGTCATGCGCATTCGCGCGTCGAATACATGATCAAGGCAAAATCTCAATTCAAGCGTCGTTCGACGGCCAACAATGTGGAAATCGTTATACCTGTGCCACCGGATGCAGACTCACCAAAATTCAAAACAACCATCGGCAGTTGCAAATATGCACCGGAGCAGAACGCCATAATTTGGACAGTTAAATCATTTCCTGGTGGCAAGGAGTATTTAATGCGCGCCCACTTTGGCCTGCCCAGTGTGGAGAGCGAGGACAATACGGAGGGCAAGCCACCCATACAAGTGCGCTTCGAAATACCATACTTTACTACATCGGGCATACAAGTGCGTTACCTTAAGATCATCGAGAAGAGCGGCTATCAGGCATTGCCTTGGGTCCGCTACATCACGCAAAACGGCGACTATCAGCTCCGCACCAACTGAGTCAAACTCGGCGCCCATGTCGTTAAGCATTCCATGCTTTCAAGCAACTTTTTAACAGCTGCCAACACAGCGGACGCCTCGTTCATCCTTGTTTACGCCTAGGTATTAACATATGTATGTATGTAGGAGTGGTATATTTAGATAGCTTCACATTGCGTGCCCGATACATATATTCACACCAACACCTTATTAAGTATGAGTACATCATTAAAGTCAAAGTATAATTATTGTATTGTTTGCGTATATGTATGTATATTATATGTAAATCAAACTAATAAATTTTAACACCTTTTTTCGAAAAAAAAAAACCTGTGTTAAGCAATATCAGCAGAGTATTTGAAGTTTTTGGGAATACGAGAGAGAACAAAAAGGCGAGTCCACAGAACAGAGAAAACAAAATAACAAATATAGGCATTGTAGTGATACCAATAATTGAATCTGAAATACAAACGACTATGCATTTTGCGAGTGAGTTTATATTATTTAAAATCTTTGCATAATTGAAGTCGATTTAAGAATTTTAAATTATTAGCTTTCTAAGTAGTGTGCATACCCCTAGCTGGTTACCACTAACTAATTACTTCAGTAGCTGCCAAGACTGTATTTGCTCTTGACTCTAGAATCAATTTTTTGTCGTATGATTTAAACAATTTTTTATAATTTTGGATTAATAGTTTATTTGAAGGATCGAGAAATAAAATACGTACACAAAATTCCGCCCTGGGCATATTTAAATAGGTGGTTCTGATGGACTGATGTCTCTCTAAATTATATCCCCTTTTAAACGAAACATCGTATATGTCGCACCTTAAAAATTCAACAACGAAATTATATACAATAATTATATATTTTAAGTCAGTTTGCGTTTGAACTTACATAAATGGTCTGACTAATATGTGGATTTTCCGGTCACTCAAGCAGTACAATGGACTCAGCAGTGTAGTTCTGGAAGAAGGAATTGAGATAGGATTGTAGTTATAATTATAATTAATATTCCTATGTATTTATAAAGCTTACTTATTTTCTGTAGGCTCTTTGAGTATTCACTGCCTTCTTCCGGCTTATTACATTGACCATAATTATCAGAAGTGCAATCAAATCGATTTAAATGATGCCGAAAAGCAAACGAAGTGCAATATTTACTTTTTATCGACTAATCTGGTCGATCTCGGTCTGAGTTCTATATTACAGATGTCATCTGGCATCTTGTTCTTATGAACTAAACGTACGTGTCTTACGAAGGTATATTTTCGATCAAATCCACGGCCACATAATTTGCATGAAAAATATTTGATTTCTGAATGCCTACATTGCGCACAATAATTCCCTCTTTTGGGGACTTGACTTTGCTCCGCTGATGTTACATCTTCATTTTCAATTGGATTTAAGTTTTCACTGCCTTCTTCCGGCTTATTACATTGACCAGAATTGTCAGAGCTGGAATAAAATCGCTTTAAAAGATGCCGACGGGCAAACAAAGTGCAATATTTACCTTTCATCGTCTAATCTGGTCGGTTGCGGTTCGACTTCCATATTACAGATGTCTTCTGGCACCTTGTTCTTATGAACTGATCGTATGTGTCTTAAGAAGTTGTATCTTCGGCCAAATCTCCGGTCACATAATTTGCAATAAAAACGTTCCTTTACGAAACACCCACATTTGTCACAAGAACTCTCGGTTTCGTGGACATAACTTCCCTCCGTTGTTGCTACGTCTTCAGTTTGTAATGGATTTAAGTTTTCACTGCCTTCTTCCGGCTTATTACATTCCCCAGAATCGTCAGAGCTGCAATAAAATCGATTTAAAAGATTCCGACAGGCAAACCAAGTGCAATATTTACGTTTCATGTACTAATTCGGTCGATTGGGGTCTGAATTCCATTTTACCGATGTCATCTGGCTTCTTGTTCTTATGGCATAATTGCATGTGTCTTACTAAATTGTATGTTCGATAATATCTAATGTCACATAATTTGCAAAGATAACGCCCGCTTTTTAAATGGCGGAGAAGGTGTTTTTCGTAAGATTCGCCGCTGGAAAATTGTTGCCTACATTTGCCACACAAATATTTTTTTTCTGGACATTACGGTTCCCCGTTGTTGCTACGTCTTCAGTTCGTAATGGATTTGAGTATTCACTGCCTTCTTCCGGCTTATTACATTCACCAGAATCGTCAGAGCTGCAATAAAATCGCTTTAAAAGATGCCGGCGGACAAATGGAGTGCAATATTTACCTTCCATTGTCTAATCTGTTCGATTGCGGTTTGACTTCCATATTACAGATGTCATCTGGCTTCTGGACCTTAGGAGATGGGTCAGACATTCTGAAAGAAATTTGTAATAGGAGATTACTGTTATCTTCTGCCCTTTTTCGGTCTCATTACTTAAATAAATAAACTTACTCGTGTTCCCTCCTTTCTTCATTCAGCATAGTATGTTTTCTAAAAGAGACGCGAATAAAAAACTGTTCTGGCTAAGGATTACGCTGAATAATATTTACGCCTCATGCTCTAATCTGGCCGCAACCGATATAAATTCCATATTACAGTTGTCATACGTGCAAGGAATGGACTTCTTTTCCTTATGATAACGCATGTGTCTCAGTAAGTTGGAATTTCGACCAAATACCCGGCCACATAATTTACAATATAAACGTCTTTTTACTAAACTGCCACCACAATCCTCGATTTTTTGGACATTACTTTCCTCCGTTGTTGCAACTTCTCCATTTTGCAATGGATTTAAGATTTCACCTGAATTGTTAGTGCTGCAATAAAATCGCTTTTAAAGATGCCAACGGGCAAAGGAATGGAATATTTACATTTCATCTGGCGTCTTGTCCTTATGAACTAAACATATGTGTCCTATGAAGTGGCATTTTCGTTCAAATGTGTGGCCACCTAATTTGCAATAAAAACGTGCAAATCGATTGTTTTTCAAATGTCTTCTGCAATAAACTCGTTTTTTAGAAACTGACGGGAAAACGAAGAGCAATATTTACTTTTCATGCTTTAATCTGTACGTTTGCGATGTAAATTTCTCATTACACTTGTCATGCCTACAAGGTAATAACTCCTTCCGCTCATGAAAGCTACGCAAGTGTCTTGCGAAATCGGATTTTCGATCATATTTAAGGTCACATAATTTGCAATGAAATCGTCCGTTTGCTAAATGCCGGAGAAGGTGTTTCTCGTAAAATTCGGTGTTGTCGAATTTTCGCCTGCATTTCTCACAAACATGTTTTCTTTTTCGGATTCTCCTTTGATGCATTGTTGCTTCTCCCACAATTTGTGGTGGATTTGAGTGCCCTATGCCATCTTCCGGGTTATCCCATACTCCAATACAGTCAGTGCTGCTGCAAACAACTCACTTTTTAAAGATGCCAACAGGAAAACGCAGTAAAAAATTTACCTTTCATGGATTTGACTTCCATTTGTTGTGGCTGGATCGGGACTCTTACCACATTCTCCCAGTTCATAAATTTCAAAACCAATATTAGTCCTATTGGAATTATCATGTACGTTTTTCAATAATCGCAGTTGAGTACTAATGCAACGTTCCCGGAAGGCAACCGCTTGGTCCAAATCAAAGCTGCACGGAATACAAATTTGATCTGGCATATTGGAAATGTCCTCCAACTTAAAAATGTGTACCATTAATAAATGTAAATTGATAAATAAAAATTAAAAACCAAGCTTACCCATAGCCCTGTCAGCGATTCTATGTGATGCCTTAAAACACCTCCGCCTTTTACAAAAATATTTTCGGCACCATCATATATAAATTCACCGCATAATCTGCATATGGACTGGCATGCCATATAATTAAGGCTTTCATCTGTCAAAAGATAATTAAGCGTTTGCTCTGTTGAAAAATCCATTTCGTTTAGTCAATTCTTATTTACTTTGGCGTCTTGCATTTTAAATCGATAGGTTGTATGACTAGGGATGTAAGTCGAAAGGTAAACATCAATATTGATATCTCTTTATAAAAAATCGATACATTGTCGACACTTCGCAAAAAAAAAATCGATGCATCGATGCTTTGAAATATTAACGTTCTATAGAAAAAGAGGCTCTTATTAGGATAAAATCAACGGAGGTTTCAAATCAAAAATGTTTCTATATTAAAAGAGGCTGTGATAGAATTTGACTTAATATTGTTAGCCAAGAAAGTTATTGTAATCGTGACTCCTGATGAATATTACATCAATAGATGTTTGTTCAAACATCATACTTCATTGTATATATTGTTAATGATTTGATCTTCACTTTAATTCGTTAACAATGTCACACCTAATATGCTTAATATTTTGTTTTTAAAACTATATAATTATTTTATTTTTAAGGAAACTATAAAAGTTCATCGATGTTTTTTGCGATGTTTCGGCTATGTATCGATTTTTTATAAAGAGACATCGATGGACATCAACAATGTTTTCCCTTCGACTTACATCCCTAGTGCGGCTGCACGAGCTTTATCGATAGGTCATACAAATTATCGACTTAAAATGGAAGACGCTAGAGTAACACAAATTGACTAAGCGAAATGGATTTTTCAACAGAGCAAAGGCTTAATTATCTTTTAACAGATCAAAGCCTTAATTATATGGCATGCCAGCCCATATGCAGATTATGCGGCGAATTTATACATTATGGTGCCGAAAATATCTTTGTAAAAGGCGGTGGTGTTTTAAGGCATCACATAGAATGGCTGACAGGGCTATGGGTAAGTTTTGTTTTTAATTTTTGTTTATCCATTTAAGTTTTGTTTTTAATTTTTGTTTATCCATTTACATTCATTAATGGGACACATTTTTAAGTTGGAGGACATTCCCAATATGCCAGATCAAATTTGCATTCCGTGCAGCTTTGATTTGGACCAAGCGGTTGCCTTCCGGGAACGTTGCATCAGTACCCAACTACGATTGTTGAAAGACGTACTTGATAATTCAGAAAGGACTAATATTGTTTTCGAAATATATGAACCGGGAGAAAGTGGTAAGAGTCCCGATCCAGCCACAACAAATGGAAGTCAAATCCATGAAAGGTAAATTTTTTACTGCGTTTTCCTGTTGGCATCTTTAAAAAGTGAGTTGTTTGCAGCAGCACTGACTATATTGGAGTGTGGGATAACCCGGAAGATGGCATAGGGCACACAAATCCACCACAAATTGTGGGAGAAGCAACAATACATCAAAGGAGAATCCGCAAAAGAAAACATGTTTGTGAGAAATGCAGGCGAAAATTCGATAACACCGAATTTTACGAGAAACACCTTCTCCGGCATTTAGCAAACGGACGATTTCATTGCAAATTATGTGACCTTAAATATGATCGAAAATGCGATTTCGCAAGACACTTGCGTAGCTTACATGAGCGGAAGGAGTTATTTCCTTGTAGACATGACAAGTGTAATGAGAAATTTACATCGCAAACGTACAGATTAAAGCATGAAAAGTAAATATTGCTATTCGTTTTCCCGTCAGTCTCTAAAAAACGAGTTTATTGCAGAAGACATCTGAAACGTGTTGTAAATTTTTATTGCAAATTATGTGACCGGAGAATTAAACGAAAACATGACTTTGTAAGACACATACGTGTAGTTCATAAGGACAAGAAGCCAGATGAAAGGTAAATATTGCACTTCGTTTGCCCGTTGGCACCTTTACAAGCGATTTTATTGCAGCGTTAACAATTCAGGTGAAATCTTAAATCCACTACAAAATGGAGAAGTTGCAACAACGGAGGGAAGTAATATCCCCGGAACCGATAGTTATTGTGACAAATGTGGGTGTTTCGTAAAGGAACGTTTTCATTGCAAATTATGTGACCGGAGATTTGCTCTAAGATTCAGCCTCGTTAGACACATACGATTTTATTGCAGCTCTGGCAATTCTGGTCAATGTAAAAAGCCGAAAGAAGGCAGTGAAAACTTAAATCCAATTCAAAATGAAAATGTAACAACATCGGAGCAAAGTCAAGTCCCCAAAAGAGGGAATTATTGTGCGCGATGTAGGCATTCAGAAATCAAATATTTTTCATGCAAATTATGTGACCGTGGATTTGATCGAAAAGACGACTTCGTTAGACACGTAGATATAGTTCATAAAGACAAGAAGCCAGATGACATCTGTAATGTAGAACTCAGACCGCAATCGACCGTATCAGTACATGAAACGTAAATATTGCACTTCTTTGGCCCGTCGGTATCTTTTAACGCGATTTTATTGCAGCTCTAACAATTCTGGTGAATGTAATAAGCCGGAAGAAGGCAGTGAATACTCAAATTCATTACAAACTGAATACAAACACGAGTAAGTTTATTTATTTAAGTAATGGGTCCGAAAAAAGACAAGATAACGTACCTCCTATTACAAATTTCTTTCAGAATACCTGCCTCATCTCCTAAGGACAAGAAGCCAGATGACATCTGTAATATCAGTCAGACCGAAGTCAGACCGCAATCGAACAGATTAGACAATGGAAGGTAAATATTGCACTCCATTTGTCCGTCGGCATCTTTTAAAGGAGATTTTATTGCAGCTCTGACGATTCTGGTAAATGTAATAAGCCGGAAGAAGGCAGTGAATACTCAAATCCATTACAAACTGAATACAAACACGAGTAAGTTTATTTATTTAAGTAATGGGACCGAAAAAAGACAGAAGATAACGTACCTCCTATTACAAATTTCTTTCAGAATACCTGCCCCATCTCCTCCTCGCGAACGTAAACTGACATTTAAGACAGAAGCCAGTGAACACTCAAATCCATTACAAACTGCAGACGTAGTAATAACGAGGCGAACTCAAATTCGCAAAAAAAAATATTTGTGTGGCAAATGTAGACAACGATTTGGCACCCGCGAATCTTACGAAAAACACCTTCTTCTGCATTCAAAATATGGACGTTTTCATTGCAAATTATGTGACCTTAGATATGAGCGAATACGCAATTTCGAAAGACACATGCAATTATATCATAAGGTCAAGAATCCAGATAAGACCTGTAATATGCAACTTAGACGGCAACCGAACAGATTTGTTGATGAAAGGTAAATATTGCACTTCGTTAGCCCGTCGGACTCTTTTAAATAGTTTTTATTGCAGCTCCGACAATTCTGATGAATCTGATAATCTGGAAGAAGGCAGTGAATAGGGATGTAAAAAAAAAAACCATCGATGTATCGAGAATCGAAGATGTGTCGATGTTTTCTTTTGCTTACGATGTATCGTCGAACTGTCGATGTTTGTCCAAATAAAATTTATTTTTAATAAAATTGATCGTTTAGTTAAGGATAATAAATTATAAACATTATTAAATGGCTTTACCATTTGGGAATGTGCATATTTCACATATCCTGAAAAATGAAGAAAAAACATTAATATATATCTTTCGAAAAAAAACAAACGTCTTCATCAATATTATTTATAACAAACCCCGTTGGGTTAAACCCATGGACAAATACATAGAATATTAACAGCTTAAGCTTAATAAATGCACTTTTGATAGAGTCTTTCAGTTGTTGTCTCCAGATTTGAACCTCTTGTTAGTTTCTAATGTTTAAAGTTCTTTAGCGGATAATTATCCTTATGGGCCTCCACATGTTGCTCCAACTCGTTCATCTGATCCTGCAAATGCGTCGGCATTTCAGCGTAAACCCCTTCGAACATTTCACGCCAATTGGGCTTAAGTTTCTTTTCAGATACGGCGATTTGTTTCAGAACCTGCTTGCGCACATCCTTGACGTATTCATTTTCTTTGGCCTCATTGAACCAGCCCTTGTGCACCATATATCGCTTCAGCTTGGATATGGGGTGCTCCACCGAGTTCCATACTTCAATTTCATCTGCCGGGCGATAGGCGGTACTGTCGTCCGATGTGGAGTGATGGCCCACACGATATGCCATAGCTTCAAGCACAATCGGCTTATTCTCGCGCAGGACAAACTCACGCGCCACTTTCATGGCGTTATAGACAGCAAATACATCGGTGCCATCGCATCGAATGGTGGCAATTCCATAGGCTGGACCACGTGCTGCGATGCCATCGCCATTGTATTGCTCGTGGGAGGGAGTGGATATAGCAAAGCCATTATTTCTACAGAAGAGAATCACAGGACAGTCTAAGGTCGACGCAAAATTGAAGGCGGCATGCGCATCACCCTCGGATGCAGCGCCCTCACCAAAATAGCAAACCACACAAGCATCATTTTTTGGTCGGCATTTCAAGGCATATGCAGTTCCAACTGCCTGAGGCATTTGTGTGGCTAAAAGGCAATTCAAAACATTATACTTTAGTGAGCCAAAAATATGTGGACCACTTACTTAACGGACTGGAGATGGTGACAAAGTTGAGCTCCTTTGAACCATAATGCACGGGCATTTGCTTGCCACGTCCAACGTCCTCATCATTACCATAGCACTGATCAATAAACTGATCTATTTTAAATCCACGCCAGACCAAAACGCCTGCCTCACGATACTGCCCATAGATAATGTCACGCAATTCCAGCGCAGCGGCGCTTCCAATATGTGAAGCCTCCTCACCAAAGTTGGTCATGTAAAAGGAGATGCGTCCCTGCCGCTGCGATTCATACAGAATTTTATCCATTGTGTTTAGGAGAACCATGTCGCGAAACATTTTCTCCACCACCTCCTGTCCAAGTCGTGGATCCTGAGTGGGATCGGCTATTTCCCCCTCGCGATTCAACACACGATAAATTGGAATGGGCGCATAATCCTGCGGCATCGTCAACTTTAATTGATTCACGAAAGGTGCTGCTCTGGCGCCTGGAAACATGGCCTGTCCATAGTTGCGTTTTCCCTCTACCAGAGCAGTGGTCTAAGAACGGTAGCATGCCAGTGTATTAATTATTTAAATTCATTTAAATGTACATACCAGCCTATGTTGTCGCAGTCTCGCCGCCCGGGTGATTATCTTGGTTGGATTCCGCAGGAACAGCATGTTTAATATTTACAAATTATGCGAACTTGCGTAATTGACAATGTGTTCTGTGTTGGTAAGTGTTAAAGGTGTCAATTGCAGGGGTCCGGCAACTCTTGGACTGTTATTATTGTTTTCGCACAATGCGCATTGCCGAGAAGTCCAATTGCATTACAGAATCACAGTTCTGGCATGGAATTGCAATTTTGATATCAAATTACCACGCGTTGAACAAACAAATATTCCAGGTGCTAATTACACAGGTAGAAAAGTTCCAAAATGGCCAAAAACTTAATGTTGATTCTAATGAAGAGGAACTTCAGCTGCAGCTGCAGAAAGAAACACGCACTTGCGAAAGCTTTAAAATCCTTTTCAAATTGCTGACAAAAAAACTGGCAAATAATGTCCTGGCCACAGGAGTTGTGGGTAAATACATGATACATATGTATGTATGTACATATATGCTAACGACATTTAAATGAATTGAATTTGTTTGCAGACTTCAAGCAACGCACATACGAATGTCATTTCCCGAATGAGTCCTTTGATGACTTTCTGGTGCGCTGGCATGAATCAGAGCTCGAAGTCAAGATGCTGACAGAACGGCCAGCTGCTAAACAAGGCAACCGTTGGGCTGAGTTTGTTTTACTGCCCAAGCTGTTGAGTTGGTCGCAGAGCAAGTCTGAGGGGACAGGTCAGGCACAGCCAAGCAAATCCTTGAAGCTGGTCGATGTGGAAAAGTACAATGATCTATACAAGGCCCTTAAACATCGCCATGCACAGCGTTTACTCACAGTAAGTAAAGAGACAATTAAGGAAACACAATGTAACAAATACGACAATTTCAGTACTGGCAAGAGGTCAAGGAGTCCACAGATCCCTTAAAATTCATCTATGAGGACTTGGCCATAGCCGCCTATCTAATAACGCTGTGGAGCTGCACGCAAAACGAGCCATCTGCGTGTGTATTTGCCGATTTGGGCTGTGGCAACGGACTGCTCGTCCACGTGCTAAATGCAGAGGGCTATAAGGGCTATGGCTTTGACATACGCAAACGCAAGCTGTGGACGCACTATCCAGCAGATATTCAACTCTTTGAGCTGGCAATAGAGCCGAAGGCTGTCAGTTTGCCATCGGATGTAAATTGGTTGATTGGCAATCACTCCGACGAGCTATCACCCTGGCTGCCAGTTTTGGCGGCTCGCCTTCGAACCAAATACTTCCTACTACCCTGCTGCCCTTTTGAGCTGTCGGGCCTTAAGTTTCAACGTCGAAATACCGGCATAAGTGCCTACCAGGACTTCTTTCAATATGCGCGGCAATTGTCGGAGAAATGCGGCTTCGAAACGCTCGAGGATCGGCTCAAAATACCAAGCACCAAGCGAATGGCCTTAATCGGACTAAAATGTAGCAAAACATATGCAGATATCGAATATTATGTACAAGAGGAGCTGCGTAAATATGCGACAGGGGATGAGGATAATGGCATGTCCGTAAGACTGCGCGAAAAGACGGAGTTAGTCAGAAACTGCACCAAAGTGGAAAGAACCATTCTAGACTTTTTGGTGCTGAAAATCTTCAAAATGTTACTGGATAATAGCAGTGGCAGTGAAGCCGCTACCTGGAATCCTGGAAAAAAACTTAGCATGCGCGAAATAGCCCAGTCGCTGACCCGAGAAGAGCTGCGTGGCATTAAATCAGAGTGCGGCGGCATTAAGACGCTGCTGCGTAACAAACACGAAGTGTTCCAGTTTTGCGGCAGCGATCTGATAGGGATCCGTCAGCCCATATCCTGTGCGGGTCTGCATGCCAGCAAGGCCCACACAATCAAGCGACGCGCTTGCTTTTTCAAATTAAATCATCCGCAGGGTTGTCCGCTAAGTGACGAAGAGTGTTCCTTTGTACATTAGTTGGAAATAGTTTAGAAACTAATAATAAAAATGAAACATCTTTTTCAGAATGATCGATCTTTGTGTATTTTTTTTTTAAAATGTCAAAAGGGAAAAGAAACAAAATATGGTTTTACAATTAAATTATCTTTTGACTAAGGGAGAATTAAACTTATAAATTGAATTTGTCCTTAAATCAAATCTTTAAGATCAGAAAATAATTTAAAGAACACACCTCATAAAAAATATACATAGTTCATACTTTGAAAATGAAATGAATATTTAAAATGTATACCTCGTAATAACAACCAATATCTGTAAAACTAGTTATTTTAAAAGAATTATGTCTTCTAAGTCCATCCATCTAAGTAAATAACAAACGAAATGAATTTCAATTTTAATATATTTATGGTGCTTTGTTTTTTTGTCTACAATTGTTAATTGGAATTGAAGTATATAATCGTATTGTTTTTCTATAAATATGAAAAAATTTCATGTTCGTCTGTTAAGCATTGTTTTTAAACTATTTTAGCGGGAGCTGTCGGAGCTGTTGCTGCGGCGACGACGACGTATGGGTGAACGTGAACGACGGCGCGGGGAGCGACGACCGCGCGGCGGTGATGGTCGACGTCCACCTCGATTGTTAAACCGATTGAATTGTGGGGGGGACCGCCAACGACCACCGGGAGGACGACGCATTTGGGGCGATGGACGCCGCATCGGCGGTCGCTGTTTCGGCACAATAACGGGCGATACTGTGATCTCCTGGCCATCAATTTGTCCGCCATCCATGTGCTTCATAGCCGACTCACAGTCCTCAGGCGTGCCATACTCAACAAAAGCGATGCCGCGTCCGAAATTCGGATGATATCGGTCGGTAGGGAACTCTACGTTCTTTATATCGCCAAAACTGCTAAATATCTCCAAGACATGCTCCTTCGTCACGTTCCGGGTCAAACGACCGACATGTATGCGCACCGGCTTTGGTGTCGGGGACCTCGACCGGGTGCGAGAACGTGAGCGTTCTCGGCGTTTTGGTGGTGGTGTGCGTTCTGCGGAGCCACGACCTCGACGTCGGGGCGAACGGGAACGGCTGGCGGAGCGGGAACGCTCGCGTTTTATATTATTGCTCTCGGTGGCGCGTTCAGTGGAGCTGCGACGCACTCGATCTCTGGAGCGGGTACGACTGCGTGGCAAGCGTTCCCGTTCAGTGCGCTCTCGGTCTCGTTCGGTATCTTTGCGGGCCTTGCTAGTGGCACGGGGAGATTTAGTTACCCGTCGTGGCGAACGGGACGCATCCTTAGCTGAGGCACCGACGCGTCGGCGATCCTTCTCACTTCGATCCGAATCGCTCGACGATGAAGACGAAGAGCTGGATGAATCACTAGAGCTGCTCGAGCTTGATCGTGAGTCTGAACCGCTACTACTGCGTGAGGAGCTGCTGTCAGATGAGCTGTAAACGTTTACATAAATTTCAATAATTATTTATTGTATTATAAACAATTACTGTATGTACAAACCTGCTTCTGGAGTCGCTGCTTGAGGAAGCAGAGCCACGTCGTTTGCGCTCTCGCTCCCTGCGAGTCGAGTTGGAAGAAACCGCCTTCGCGTCCTTCTCTTTGTTATCCTTCTGGTCCTTCTCACCCTCAGCAACGGGAGAGTGGGCACGCGCCCTAAAATGGTTCAATGAAAAATTTATGATAATTAAGTTGTTGTGCAAATAAAATTCAATTCTTACATTTCGAGTGAGTGCTTTGAATTTTTCCACGAAGAGAGCTAGTCAAATTAATAAAACAACAATAACGCCGCAGCCGGCAAAATTACTTCTTAAAATTTACTTCACAAATTGTAAATGGCGTTGGTTCGACGTGAAAACACAGGGTGTGTAAAGTACAAGATATTGGTTAAGTGGACAGCTCTGAATACGTACATTGTTATAGTATTTAAATACAACAACTATGAATTGTGCTTTTAAATCTGTGTTCCCATTTATCTTGTTTTTTTAAATAAACGTAAATTTTCTAACTATTAAAGGAGTTTTGCTTACAAATAGGATGACCTGAAAATACCGAGTATTTTATGTTTTAAAATACCAACTGTGTATGGTTATTTATTTTGAAATTTTGGTCATACTCATTGTCGCGACTAAACTTTACAGCACTGTCTGTATAGAATATCTTTTGTCAGGTTGGTGGATCAAAAGGTAAACTCCCATAAAATTGAAAATACAAATTTAGTTTTATTAGCCAAGTGCAAATTGTATTTGCTGTGGATTTTTATTGCGCTGTGTAACGTAAATTGTGCTTGTCGTTAAAGTTGTGAGATTGCATAAAGCCAACGATTTTAATGCCAGTTTTTATCTGAGGTGACGAAGTGGTTGTCATTGTGAATTTAATATACATATATACATTTATATATGTATGTATGTACACATATATATGTGTGTGTATACATACATTGCTTTTGTGTGTGTTAACTTGTGTGTTGATTTTGTTCGAGAGCGGTGGGGAGCGGCTCGACAGCCACTGTGGGCACAGAGTTTCGATTTTCCATCCATATATACATATACTCGCAATTGATACTCTCTATGGGGTCCCACAGCCAACAACAGCAGCAAAGAGAGAGAGGGAGAGAGAAGGAGAGAGAACACCACACTATCAGCGACATTTAAAATGACTTGTCTGAGTACGTTTTACCACACTACGTCTTTGTCTGCCGTGCAGTCGTGATGGTATCCTCGCGGTGGTGTGTGACAAAATTAATTATTTTTCATCATTTGTTTTTCCGTTGTGTTCGTGCTGTATAAACAATTTTACAAAGGCCTTTGTGAGTGTGCGCGCGTCTGTGCGGATGTTTGTGTGAGGTGTGAAAAGTGCAAATATGCAGGCTACATAGGTCAGCTATCATTATTAGCTCCATAGTGCGCGACAACGACAAACATTCCTACATACATACCTATATACTTTGGAACGTAATTGTTATTGCAATCAGTATACATAGTATACATATTCACATTCACATAATCAATGTGTAAAAAAGAGCAGTCTCGTCACTAAAGTTGACTGCCATGACTACGCAATAGCAACAACAAGAGACGCACACAAACACACATACTGTCGCAGACATATGGAGCGCTAGGTGGGTCCTCTCTCTTTTTGCGCTGCAGCCATCTCTTCATGTACGTGTATATGTGCTTTAGTGTTTTTTGTGTAGTGGTGCGTTGCGGTGGAGCAAGCAAAGAAAAAAACCAAAACTCGTATATTTTCTATGTATATATTTTTTTTATAATTTATTGTTTCAACTTTGAAAGGGTGGCAGTGAGCGTGCGTGTTAGTGTGTGTGTGTGTTAAAAAAAACCACAGGGCCAACTTTTTACGACGCCACTTGCGTAGATTGCCCTCATGTTTGCCCCATCCCTCCGCAAGGCATAACAAGCCACACCAGCTCTCGCTTTCTTCTGCTGCGCTGCTATCGTTTTGTTGATCGCAACGACCCAAGCACGCACAAACACATGCAAGCATACACAAATACATATGTATGTTCATGTATAGACGCACTTACAGTTGCGGTGAAAAAAATAGCATTGAATTTTTATTTCCCATATCAATTCAAAAAATATGCTGATCTATAAGAATTGTAACTCTTCTTATATATTTTGTTGTAAAAACGTTAATGAATTTAAAAATACTGCCATTAATAAAAAAATATATAGAAAAGGCCCTCCTTTGTTGGCAATTGTTCGGCTTTCAACTTACTGCAGTGCTATTTTTTTCGCCGCCACTGTATACATATGCTATTCCGCACATGTGTATGTACATACGTGTATATGTAAAATTGTATTTTGTTTGCAGGAACTGAACTTGGTATGCTTGTGGCGGTTTCTTTGGCTTCATTATAGTCTGGAAATCGCCACAGTCGCATCCATTCCTGCAAACAAATGTCAGTCAATGACTCATGCTCTTACTGTTGTGAACAAATAAATCACAAAGAACGACAACAAAAACAGAAACCACTAGTTATACTGCTGTGCATTTGTAAATTTAATTGCCTGCTACTTTTATTTACAACTAATTTACATAACATTGGCATTAATACTCTCTCATTGGCAAAAAGCATTGCAGCTAAACAAGGCTTTCTTTTTTATTTACATACATAAATATACTATATTACTTTTGTACAATGCTAACCGAACTAAAACGCATTTAAAATCTGAAATTAATAATCATTATTATAATTATAATGCCTCAACTCAAGTAGTTTCAACTATGAATGTAATAGCAAATGTTTTTTACTTTTATTTTCTTTGTTTTTAGCATACATATTTTATTGCTGGTTTTGGTGGTAAATTGTTGCATTGTTAATGGCTGGCCAGACGTGGTCGCTTTATAACTCGTATACTTCTCTCGTATATGCTCGAAATACCGAATCATCAAAAGTGTTTTATTCACATATACCTAATTGTCTCTGTGCCACATGTATAAATAAACAAATATACATATGCATACATAATATGTATATAGAAAAGCAAACAAACTAAAAACAAAGTGAAATGTATACTACATAAGACTGCGCGCGTGTATAACTGTATCTCTCTCACTGACCAACTGCAACTGCATAATACAAAAACCAAAAAAACAATAAACTGCACACACCTCCAACCACAACTCATATGTTAAAAAGAGCGCGTTCCGAACCGAACCGAATCGAACCCAAGTAATGTTCTCAAAGATCGCTCGCTCGCTCGCTCTCGCTCGTCCATGCAACTTATTCCTCGTATTCTGCCTACTACAACTACCAACTCTCTTCTACTCTGCAACAGTCTGGCGCTCAGACGGCTTTAGTTCGTAAGCTTGTTTTGTAAATTTGTTAAACATATTTATCAATATACATACTTATATATTCTGTTGGGAAAAAGAAATCATTTTTAAGTAAGTCACCTTTAGTATGTTGTAATTCGTAAAGTATTGGCCAAACAAAGAACAAAATTGATTTCTTTTTTGCCAACCCAATATACATACTTATATATTACATATATATCTTTAAATATTTGAACTAGTCATATACTTGTATTTGTCCTTTGTTTTTGGTTCAAATGATGCTCTAACCCTCACACACATAAGCCTCAAACACACATACCAACACACACTGAAACATAATGTCATAATGTTTATTGCACAAGTCTGTTTTAATTTATGCGTAGAATAATTAAACTTATTATTATAGAGAGCACCAGCATATATTTTTTACATATAATATTTATAAACTGCATACATTCTACTATTTGCAAATACTATGCTATAAACAATAAGTATACAAACATACTATATATAATCGTTAAGTATAACTCTCAATTGTACTAACTGCTGCCTTACGCACTTCTAAAGTGTACAAAAATCTGTAGTCATTCCCAAAAAAGTAACGAGACGGGAGATGGGCACGAAATGGGTTCATTTTTTATAAGTCCATGGGAAGTCATAACAATAAATACATTAAATAATGTCATGCCATATTCTAAAACAACAGTATAACACAATTATATTCCTTTATACTATAAAGACACAAGATGGACAAATAATAAGGGTATTTTCTAAAATAAACACGTTCCATTTCGTGCCCATCTTCAGTACACTAATATTGTTTTTGTTTAATTTTAAATCCATGTTGCATAAAATATGTATAACTTCTCTTTTATAAAACTCCATAATTCGTGAATTTTAATGTGATAAAAACTAGTGATGTATTTGCAACTCTCTAGTTATCTACATTTCAAACGAAAATAGTTCCGCCAGTTTTCCATATCAGTTACATCATATAATTTATTAGAAACCGTAACGGAATTCTGAGGGGATGTGTAAAAGGTCTTTAATATCAGCTATGTTTAATAATTTGAGGATCATTTATAATTGACAATATACATTTGTATTTAAAAAACATAAAATTCATGAATTTTTGGTTATAATTAAACGTACTTTGTCCTTATATACAACATATATTTATACTTACATGTCTGCAATGCAGCTTTTCCCATTTGTTTTCCTTCCTAGTGCGTTTGTATATGAAATAATACTAGGCGCAGGTGCTGGTCAGACTGTTCCTCGCAAAATAATTTAAAAAAAAAAAAACAAAAATCAAAACGTAATTAGTTAGAACTAACCAAGCACGTACCTCATTCAAATTCATATATTGACAACTATTAAAGCTATACACTGTTTTAAAAACCAAACTGAAATTGTTGCTGTTTTATTTATTACAACACACACTTGAAAAATAAAAATATTACTATATGTAAAAATAAAATGTAATTTTTTGCCATAAACACACAAACATACACACATTTTCTTTTTAAGTAAGTATATTAATGCCAGCAATGGTTGCGCCTTCCTCCTACACACACACACACACACACACAACACACATGTATGTATGTATGTATGTTTGTTTCTCTTTTATTTAAGCATGGCTTGTCTGGTTGTTTGCTTTCTGTTCTGGACGCAGCATAAAATGGGCAAGGCTTAAGTTACGTGCAGACATGCAAATCATTTTCGCATACATTTGTGTTATTTTACAAGTAGGCTTTGAAAAGTAATTCCAAAGTGTGTTGTAGCAGAAGACTATATTAAGTGTAGAATTTGTATTGGTTTTAATAAAGTAATATGATATTAATGACATACTTGTGAAATTAGGCAAATCTGTGTGCAATTTATTTGCCTGTCTGACCATAGCTTTACACACATGTTGTAGTAGCGCTTACAATGCCGTTAAATGAACGCATACATACATAACTCAAGTTTGATTAGAAAAATGTTTCCTTCTCTGTTACAATTTACAGCTAAATTAACAGCGCTGTAAAACTCTGCCATGAACTGCAAGTAAGTCAGCCACAGCAAGCAAACCAAAAAGTAAAAACAAAAAATAAAAAAGAACATATAAGAGAAAGAATAGAGCAAGACAGTGTCTAGTGGGCACACAAGAGTTTAGCTCAGCGATTGAGAGGCAGAGAGGGAGCGAGCGCGTCTCCAACGGAATCAACAACAACACAACAAGGGAGCCAACGCATACTCCTCTCTCAGAATGCTGAACTCCAATCACTCGGGCAGCACACGGCGTCCTTTCTCGCGCAACTCATCATCGGCGCGTTCGCATCGTGGCCGCATGCTCTTCTCGCCACATCCGCAGCAACAACAACAACAACACGGACTGCAGCGCAGCAGCCTTGGTGCTGGTCACTCGGGCAGCGGCGTGGGCGTGGGCGGAGGAGGCGGCGGCCTTGTGCCCGGTCATAGTCCCTGGTGCAATGTAAATCTCAATCACAACAACAACATTAACAATGCCAATAACAAAGATGGTCTCGATGGCAGAAATTCGAATTGGTAAGAGCTGAGCTGCTTGTGTTAGATTTTTTCTGGTAACAACCAATATTACAACAACAAGTACCAACTGCAAATTACGTTAGCTTTAAGTGACAAAAAAGCGAATTTGAAACCCCAAAAAATAACCCCAACCCTATTCCTGCCGCTCCTACACCTAAATTTTTAGCCTGAATCCACCATATGTATTAACATAAATATCCTTGTAACTCGTTCCCATTCTTCCTACAACTACTATAGAAAAGTTACTCTGCTCTCTGTCTCTCTTTATCAATATCTCTTATTTCAAACTACACCTTCAACAAATGAAAATCGCTTTTAGGTTAAAGGGAGAATTTTGTAATTAATCGCGTAGTACCCACAAAGTACAACAAAAATACATAAAAAATTGAACTAAAGCGCAAAGCCAAAGTTTTTGTTGGCCTTTTAACCGTTGAATTTTCGAAGCACTAAATCATTAAAAACCTTAGGCGCTTCAGCAATAAAGCACATCAGCTGATTTGATAAATATTTAATAATTAAATTCATTTTACTAGAAAGCCCAAGCATGGTCTAATTGGTCGTTTCCTGTGTGTGTGTCTGTGTGTAGGGGTGGCGTATTAACACAGGAACCGTTCAATTAGACGTTCTCTGTTAAATTAAAGCTCTGTAAGCTTAAATATTCATTAGTTGATCAGCAGGCACTGTAAAGAGTGCTCCTGCTCTCTCTCTCTCTCTCTTTCTATTGCTCAGCTGATGTCTGTAAAATTGCTGAAATGCCGTTGCGTTAAAAAAAAAACGTATACGCCTGTTCATTTGTAATTTTTGTTACTTTTTCGTATACATATACATTATTTATGTTTTGTTTTTGTCGATTGGCACCATTTCTACCTATTCTACTTACTAATTATCGTTGTATCTATCTGCATTTACATAAACAACAACAACTACAACTCTCGTTTTGTTCGAAAACATTCTTAAATGTACATTTTCCTAACCGCTTCTATTTGCAAATACTATTTTTAAAAACGACATTTTCGTAGAACCTACATACTATATCCATAATTTAAATTATATGAAAAGAATTCAAGCAAATGTACTATTATAATTACTTAACTTAAAAAGTAACAACTTAAAATGTTTACATTAAATGAAGATTCCGAAAAACAAACAAAACAAACCAAAGAAAAATGCATGAAGAGCACTTGAAAAATGGCAAACAACTTATTACGTAGCAAATTTCTTATGTTTCGTAGTCGTTTTTTGGTCTTACAATAAAACTAAATTACAAAAAAGCTTCTTCATTTTACGTAAAGCGCGCTTAACGGACTACCAAGCATGCTCATCAAACAAACATAAAAAGGGAAATCTGTGTACAACGTAGTGGTAAATACTTTAAATACCGTGTTTTGCTTTTTATATATTTACATACATATAATATACATAGTTAAAATGCTGCGTGTATGTATGTAATTCCTGTACAAATATTTGAATGGTTTTGGTTTTTGTGAATTAAACAAAATTTTGAATGCAGCGTTCAAACAACAGCAGCAACAATAATTACATCGTAAATGTGGAGCTTACCAGTCATACAACAACGTATAAGCACTCTCTTTGCCTCTCTTCCTCTAAATACTTGTCTTCCTTTGCCTTCCACACCACCACACAGTCGCGCGTTTAGTGAGTGCAAGTGCTTTTCATGCATCTACCTAGAAATAAAAGCGTAGAACAGTTATTCAAAGAGAGAGCTCTTAGATGGCTCATTTCGTCAAATTATTGTGTGTTGCCAGCTATAATTATTGGTTTAATTCTGTTATTTTTGACTCTTCTCATTTAACGTTTAATATTCGAAATTATACATCTAAGCGCCACTTAATCAATTGCAACACAAAATTGCTTACGTCATCTCTTGATTTACAAGTTCTCAACAATTTTTCAAATATTTTCTGAATGCCTAAATGAGCGGTAATTGCTGAGCCAAATTGTTAAACAAAAATAGGCAGTTGCTACCCCTACAAGAGTTTTTTACTTACTATATTTTTCTTTACGTTATATCTTGAACAAATATTTTTTACAAATTAAATTAAATTTGCGCATAGTTTTGCTTAAACGTTTGATGCTAAACTATATTTGTAAACAATGCGATGGAATACATATTAAAAAAATAAACCGTGAAAAGTGCAAGCCAAGTAAATTTAGTTACAAAATTTCCTCTTTATCCAAACCGTACAAGTAAAATAGTTTGTAATTTTTTCAATTCAACATTTTCTGAATGATGCATTTTAGTTGAGTTTATTGATTGATTGATTAATAGTCTGATTGATGTATTTTGCTTAACTGCATTAGGTCCGTATTGTGCCTAAAAGTTGTAAGTTCTCCCCACCCTCCTAAGTGGGTTGCGTGTTTTGCAAATGGATCAACAAACTCAGCTTAATGTTTTACTTATTTATTTGCATTTTGCACACTGCGGCTTAGAATGTTTAATGGAACAAGTTTGATGTACCTACTAGAAATTCCGAAATACCAAAAAACCAAACAACAAAAAAAGCGAAACAACAACTTTTCTTACATTCGTTCTGATTTAGTTTTGTTTTTCTTCAAACATCTCCTTTCTTTAGTTTCAAATCAATTTCCTACTACAACTTAACTATATCTCTATATATATATATAATTATTGTACATGTGTGTGTGTGTGTGTGCTCTACTAAGAGTTATACTTATAACAAACAGCAAGAACAACAATAAGTACAAATTTATGATATTTGTCACACTCTGTTTACCAAGTAAAACCAACTACCTACTTCCTATCTACAACCATACATATGTAAATCATTTGTCCAGCAAATAGTTGTTTGTGTTTCTATTTTTGACGTATGTACGTATGTCTCGTAGTAGCTATATAGTAAGAGTATCAAAACTAAATACAACTTCACCTAATTGCGCTTACTCTGCCCTTGGAACGGGGTTACGAAGCTTGTGCATTTATATTATATGTAGCTTGTAAGCTTCGAAATTGGCGCTTAGACACGCCCACCACCGCCCACCACAGTCCACTGCAGTCAGTACCCCGCCCTAAAACTGCAATTCTCTCAATCAATCAAGTCGCTATCACTTTGTGCATCGTCTAAGCTTCGCATGCTGTTGTGCTTCAAATATTACTAGTACGTCGGCGTTACGTGTTCCTCCCCCATTCAAGATCTCAGCGCTAATTCCTCAGAGCGCACGCACGCGCTTGCAAACTAAAAGTCAAAGTCATATCTGTGAGAATGTCTTAATGAGTCCAGGAAAAGTAGAGTTCCTTGATAGGAAACAGCCTTGTAGATACTCGTTCTCATAGGAAATTTTAAAGAACTGATTGTGAAGATTGATATTTCGGGCCTGCAGCAGATATAGTTTACTGATTCTTATAAGACTCTATCATTTTATAGGCTCTATTCTCAGGATTAATAAAGGTTTATATATCTATAGTATAGATCTGGCAGGACGCTTTTGATTAGCATTGAATAATGAAATGAAATAATGAATTATTTAATCGATATAGTCAACCAATTCCATAGCCACCTTAATGTCGTCTTAAATATCTTAAGAACAATTACTTTTTAATCGATAGTTGCCATAGAATCCATGTACAGTGTATATGTATAGGATATGGGGTATCATTTTGATCATCTTAACATAATATGGGGATATGAATATAGTGATAGTTCAATGGAAGGCTTAAATTATATTAAACTACCTTAAGAAAGTAGTCGAATATATCGTCCAAAATAAAGATATTTTTCTGCCTTAAACTATTCTTTTAGTAGTGTGCCTCCAATGTTTAGAGAGTGGAATAAAAATAGTTACATTACTATATATTTTAAATTATCTGTAAATATTGAAAACAGCCCACTTGGGTCCCTTTCCGAGCTTTCAAAGCACAACGACTTTAACTTTTAATCTAGTATCTAGGTTTCTTTAAGCTACTAAGGCAAAATTAAAAAGTAGATAAAGTTTTTAAAATGATTCTCAAATAGTTTTTTTTATAGTTTGTACAGCTAATTGGGATCTCAGAATTTAGAGATAATACATATAGGAAGTCTCACTTAATTTAAAGTCATTTACTCATTAAGACATTCTTCTCGAGAGTTTTTGGAAGGACCTCATCTTTTAATATATTTGTTTTTAAAATTATAATTTGATTTTCCTTTGACTTATTGTCAGCATGTTGTGGAACTCGGCACTCTTTCTACATTGTATCTCTCTCCTGTGTTTTAGCTAAATATTTAGTAATAAAATGGCGCAAGTTTTTTAACCTTACATTATGTAATCACGTTAAATTTTGTGTCTCGTCATGCGTAAAAGTAAAACTATTAATTATACTATATATTTGAAAAAAATTTGCGAAATTAATGTGAGCGCCAAATTTGTTAGCAATTGGATTTTGTTGTTGATTTTGTAAGCGTAGTGTGCATAAAATGTGAAAAAATAAATAAATAAAACGCAAAATTTCGATCTAAAATGCATAAACAAGAAAAGATGTGATATCCATATGAAAAGCAAAGTTAGTACGTACTCGTATTTGTTTCTTCTAAAAACTGCATATGTGTGTATATATAGAGAGTTTCCTACCACAAGCGCTACATATACACACCTATAACGTTCTAAATACTATATATATATGTGTGTATATATTGATATTATATATATATCTATATTAAACTAATAATCTAATTATTGCATTTTGGCATTTACATATATATATTATTTTTATCTTTTTCGTTTTTCTTTCTTCTTCATACGAAAAAAAAAAAAATGCAAAATAATAAACTATATAATACCGTATGTATGCTAACCACGGCATATATGCAAATACTACCTACTACATACTACCTGTACATGTATATGCATAAATAATAACTATATGGGTTGTGTTTATAATACTACTACTACCACTGCTACTGCATTGATTTGATTGAACAAATTTTCAAATGTATCTCGTAAACCGAACATATATATTATATATATACTATATTTATAACTTTATCTTGAAACCAAAACAAAAAAAAAAATAATTACCAAACGCAACTGCAAACCTAAATCGAAAATCCAGCGATGTACAAACAAGTAATTCTAGCGGAACTTGTATTTATAACAATAGCAAATCGCATCATCACAACAACTACAACAACAACCACAGCCACAATCACACCAACAACAACAACCATAGCCAACAACCACACCACCTACATCAACAAAGCTATAACAATCATCACCAACACAGCTACCACCACAACCACCACCAACAAAATCATTCACCGCCACTACCACTACCCCTACTAAGCAATATCAATAATACAAGTAACAATAATACCAATAGCAATACCAATAATATTAGCAGCAATCGTTCTCCAATCAACAACAACAACAACAACCACCACAATCTATATCACAATTACTTCCATGCTCAAGGCCCCCATGATAATTGCCACAGCGCACCCGCCTTCAGTTCAATGTCCGTGTCCGTTGTCAGAATAAATCCCGCCAGTTTATGTCTAACAGTTGCCACCCCCTCCCCCACTGGCCTGCACAGGCGCTCACCACAGCTAGTTAGTGTACAGCTTCCATCGCCAGCACCACCACAACCACCACCTACTACTAACAACCTTTCTCCCAACTATCCAACTGATCTGCCACATAACCAGCTGAATCATTCCAGTCACAACCACAGCCACAACCATAATTACAACCAACAACACCAACACAACAACCATAATTTACATCACAATCAATACTTACATCAACATCAAATACAACAACAACAACAACAGCAATTACAACAACAGACTAATCGCCAATCCCTCCCGCTAACACGTACGAATTCAAATTCAACAACTGCAACAACTTTAAATTCAACCTCTACTACAACAACTACAACAACAAATAGTAACTCTACTGATGTTGTGAATGTAAATTCTTGTACCGATATAATTCCTCATGGTTCGCCACACCAACAACAACAACAATCGTGTTCACTTTCGCCACTGACGACAACAACTGCAACCACAATTCCCACAACGCTGACGATGACGGCCTCTCAACGGCAACAACTACAACAACGACGATCTCAACAACAACAACCACACCCACAACAACAACAACAACCACAATTGTCGGCGGCGACACTTCTTATGATAAACAACCAAATGACTGAAAACCATATTAATAATGCACCCATCAATAGCAATAATTCGCAAGGACCGCCGCAGAATCATCATCAGCGTATGTACAACAACAATAATAGCAGCAACAACAACAACAACAACAACAATGGTCGTAGCATTGGTTCAGGGAATGGCAATGCGAACAACAACATCAACAATGGTGCCGATTATATGAACTATAGACGGATTGGTAATGGCCTGCCACGCGACTATCAGCAGCAACAACAATTGCAACAGCAGCAGCAACAACAACAACAACACCATGGGCCCAACTTGGGTGGTAATGGCCATAATCGACGCCATCAGGGAAATCATCTTAATGGCAGCTACGATAGGAATTTAAATAATGTAAGTGATTAAAGTGCATTACAAAAATCTCAAATTCTATATGAAATGGAGAAGGCTGAGCGCTAAAAAAAAGAGCTCTGCTTAAAATTTCACGAATTTGTGTGCAAATTGTTTGCTTGTCCGACCAGAGCATTAGTTTTCACACATTTCGCTAAACTCATGCATTTCAGGTTTTCAAGATAACTAGCAATACGCTTGGGAATATAGGTGTAGGGCGTTTATTTTTATTTTCCTGAACGGAAACGTACCACAATATCTTAAGAGATGACAATTTGGATCAAATTCTCGCCGTTTCCTAAACAAAAGTTTTGTTAATACAACGATTTTTGTTTTCTAAAATTGTTCCAATCTCTAAGCTGGCAGTTCGCTGATGATGAAACCCATAAATAAAGTAGAAAAGACCTAGAATTGATTTGTAATAATAATCTAGTAGTGTTTGTTAAAACTCTGACTTTTTTTTGGTAATACAGAGCAATAATTTTTGTTGTTATTTGTGCGAAAGCTATTTACTGAGGTGGTCAGATAGTTTGGCCGTCTTGTTTCAGAGATCTTTTCTAAAATATCTATCTATCGCTTTTATTTTGACACAAGCTGGACAATTTTCTTTATCTTGTACTTAATTGTTACATTTTCTTAAGCGGTAAACCTTCTATATGTAGATTTCACTCGGAAGTTTGGAAATAATGTCAGCCGATTGACTTTCATTTCCCCATATATTTTCTTATTAAGTTTAGTTAGCGTTCTATTTATACATTTTACAATTATACACAATGCGGTCCAGTACCCTAGGTTCAGTCTTTAGTTGTATTTTATTGGCATTTATACACTATATCTATAGAGGCTTAACATTCATCATTGGTTATCTCGTTGTTCCATCCACTATCAAGCACTATGACAACGGCCAGAATATGCGTAACTTGGATCAGAATATGGACATGAGATCGGAGCGCAGCTATGGTGGCGGTACCGATAGCGGATATAGCTTTATGCGCGGCGGCGGCTATGGACGTAATTCCCATTATCAACAGCATATGGGAAATGGCTACAACAACAACAATGGAGCCTCTACCTCGGCTGCTGGTTCCATGGGCGGTGACCTGCCCTCGGGCTCAGGACTGTCTGGTTCGACGCTATCGCTAAATGCGCCCGGCGGTCTCAATTCGGACAGTCCGTCGCGCAAGCGCCGACGTATTTCCGGACGACCCAGCCAATCACCACCAGCCGTTTGGGATACGCGACGCTCCCAGCGCGTTATGGTAAATAGAATGGTATTTAAGCCTATTATCCTTTCCGAATTCGAACAAATCAAAGAGGCCGACAAGCTTTGTAGTTTGATCGAGCCTTAGTCTTTTATTAAATAAGCTAAACCGTTCTTGATCGAGTCATTCCGATGACGTTAACTTTTCGAATTCGCAAACGACAATAGGCCTGATTCATATATATTTTCCGATATTAACTGAAATGTATTCCACTAACAGATGCAGCAGGGCAGTCCGCCTCTGCGCCGTCCCCGGCTGCGCGATGTAGCCACCTCCACGCAGCAATATGCCCCGCACCACGGCAACAACAACCACCAACAGCAGCAGCAGCAACAGCCGCCAAATTATCACCATTCAATGCACCACCACCATCAGCCGCCCCACTACGGGCATCATTCGCAGGCGGCCCAGCAGCAACAGCAGGCGCCACCGGCACATCGCTCACTCTGGGAACTGCCGGGCAATGCACCACCCACGGGTGGCAACTCTGGCGCCGCCAGCACAATGGGCGCCATTCTGCAGCAGGTGGCGTCCGGTGCGCCACCACAGCCGCCCAGCCATCAGCAGGCAGTGGCTGCACCACCGCCACCGCCGCCCACCTCGCTCATGGTTGATCTCAACCAGGTGCCCGTCAGTCTGGCGCTGCGGCATGAGCCCATCTGGGCCTCATTCTGTACCTATCCGGTGCCCCCGCAGGCCCGTCTAGCGCCCTGCCATCTGCACGGCATTTACACGCAGCCCTTCTCGGCCGCACCCGCCGGTCTGACAGCCACACCTTTGCAGGTAACCCAGGTGCCATCGGCCACCCATGTGGCCGCCGCTGCTGCCGCCCAGCACATGATGCAGCAGGCCCAGTTGAACCAGCAGCAGCGCGCAGATGTTACGGTCGCTGCTGTCGCGGGGCTGACCCTCGAACCACCCAATGCCCACCATCTGGATGGACATCAGGCAAATGCCACAGCCGCTCATGCGCATCAATTGCCTCCAAGTCACATACATATTGCTTCAATGAGTGCGGCCGCTGCGGCAGCAGCCACTCACCATTTACATTCCACGGCCGCGGCTGCGGCCGCCGCTGCTCAGGTAACTCAGATGTCGACTGGACCACAGCAGATCATTATATCCTCTGAGGTAAGTTCGAAATACCCTCTGTTTTGTAAACAAGCCCATCAACAATATAATAGCGTTTACACCTGGCGACTATTTTGTGCGCAGTTAATCATTTTATGGCTACAACTTTATGGCGGTCTCTTGAAAATCCACAGACCATCAACAAGAAAACTCATGACGAAGTTAAGAAGAATTATTAATTCTGAATTATTTAATTCACATTTGGGATAGTTTTTAGTGAGGAAAGGTAGATTTCATAATTTTTCATGGCCATAGTTGGGCTATATAATCTAGATATAAAATGTGAATCTAAAAATGGCATTAACTTGTGACTTTGATCTAGAGGGGTTTCCCTTGTCATACAGTATTCAGAAACAAAGAAAGTCCAATTTTGGAAAATCGTCTCTGTTTTATGAAATCCGGAAATCAAAGTTCACACAATGGCTTATAACTTCTGAACTGATTGTGTGTGATCCATAACTCAAAAGCGAAATTCGAAATAAATTCTGTAACTTGTGCCAAAAGATTTGACGCTTAAATATATATTCTGAAGATGTTTTTCAATACCTGCTCTGCTCAACCGCTCAAAAAGCTCTTCTTCTTTTGCTGTTTTTCGCATGAGGAATAAAGTCCAAAAGTAACAAAAGTGAAAAGTACTTGGTGTTTGATCCTAGAGGATCCCATCTGTTGCATCATACCTATAAAAATATTTCTGAATTTCTTTTTGATCATCGATTTCTTGTAAACAAAACTAAATGCGATGAAAAAGTAATCGCCAATGTTTCATCGACAAGAGTAATAGGATGTGTTTTGAATGTATTTAGGAGAAGTTGTTTAGTTGGTATTGCAAATTCTTGTACTAAATAACATTTTGTTGAACACAGCGACGCACATTCCCGCCCCATCGGCGCCTACCGCGCTTCTGGCCGCCCAACCATCGGCATGTGTTGCCGCCACAAACGCTGGTGCCGCGTCAGGCGCCAGTCCAGATCCAAACCACCGCGGGCATTATCAATCCTGGCTTTTTACTCAACTTCCTGTAAGTGCTCTCTCTGAATCTTGGCTAAAACTATTAACTATATGTTGAAATGCTTTGATTCCCTTTCAGCGCCATGTTCCCGCTCTCTCCTTACAATCAACATGAACTGAACTCGGCGGACACCAACGAAACGGAGAACTATGAAGCGTTGCTCAGTCTGGCCGAGCGTTTGGGCGAGGCAAAGCCTCGTGGCCTCACTCGCAATGAAATCGATCAATTGCCCAGCTATAAATATAATCCAGAGTCCCATAATGGTAAGCTACGGTTATACATCCACTCGATTCCCTCAAATGCATCCATTTAATCCAATCTTTCCTTCTCAGGGGATCAAACCTCATGCGTTGTGTGCATGTGCGACTTCGAGCTGCGGCAGCTGTTGCGCGTGCTGCCCTGCTCCCATGAATTTCATGCCAAATGTGTGGATAAATGGTTGCGAGTGAGTTAATCATATTAATCAGATATATACATACTTCTTTAGAGCTTTGTAGGAAATATGGTTTCAGTAAATAATGTTGCCGGTGTGCTTTAAAGTCTGAATTAAAGAAGAAAATGTAAGACGTTTAATATGTTTGTTCTGATCAAGTTGATTCGGAATATAATTCTAAAGCAAATACGTATACTAATCTCTATTTTAGTCCAAAGTATATTAGTAGTGGGAATCTTTTAATATCAAATATTTCAACTAAAGCAAGCTGTACTCTGTTATTTGAAGCCGTGCTTAATATTTAATTTAATCAGATCGAAAAGGTACTAGATAAAGACGGTACTAGATAAATAATTTCTACTTCAGTTAGGTTTTGTAATTTCCGGTATAAATATGGTTTTTAGTGGACTTGTTAAAATAATAATAATAAATTTTTTTGTTTGTTTATACTATTCTTAGTACTTCTAAGGTACTTTAAGTATACAAGATGGTTCCTAAAATAATTAAATTAGGAAAGACAACGATGAATTGACCTCAGTTCTCTATAAATTAAAGCAATGCTCATTTAATATCAGATCAGTTCGTTTATTGTTGAACTTAAACGAAGCCAAAAGGGTATGTTAAGAAATTTCATAATGTAGGCAGAATCCATATCTTATTATTGAGTTGATTATATTTTAGCGGAGCAGCTGCATTTGAGCACGTTTGAACGTCTGTATGAACGTCAATAACTGTAAGGCCATATCGAGTGACATTCTAACTCATTTATTTTCTTTCCAGTCTAATCGCACTTGCCCAATTTGTCGTGGCAATGCTTCGGATTATTTTGATAGCGCCGATCATCAGCAACATCAGGCGCAGAATTCAGCAGCAGCCACCAATGCGGGCAATCCGAACAACAGCAACAACAACAATAATATTAATAGCAATAACAACAATAATAGTTCTTCATTGCCAGCAGCCGTTGCAGCCCAGAATCTAATCCCAACAGCAACAACAGCCGCTAGCACCCAACAACAACAACAACAAAGTCAAGCCGCTTAGGTGCCTCAGTATCGTATGCGCTTTCTCAACGTCCAGCTTAGCACCTCAGCCTAGCCAGGAGTGGAGCACATTTTGCCTATGCATTACACATTTAAAGATCAAACATTAGCATACAATATATACAGCATTATATAGAATCCAGGAGACGAAGTAGAGAAAGAAAAAGAAGAACACAAAAGTAACGCGCAACGAATCCAACTGCCAAATCGCTTCCCTTTTTACCAGCAACTTCAATAGCTTGTCGTAGACGATAAAATAATAATATTAATAATATATATATATATATATTAGAGGTTAGGCGCTAGGTGTATATGTAAGTAACATATTAATATACATACTATATATACATACTTATAAACAAATATACCACCAAGATTTCACATTGATGAATGAACATAGTTTGTTAAATGGGGAAAACCGTGAACATAATATGTTAATAACAAAACTTGAACAAACCATATGCTTTCGCTCTAGGCCTTAATTTTTTAACATGGTTCAAACACAATACATAAAACATATAGCAGATGAATATTTGTGCCGTGGAAAATGATATTTAAGACCTAAATTCTGTTTTATGTTTGGTACTCCCAAAGAATCAGCAAACAGCTGTGAAACACTTTCCTTTTTCAATAGAATATTTTGAATATTCCAAATTTTTAAATTCACTTTTTAAAATGTATTTTTTCATAATTCCTGTTTTTTGGAGAAAACAAAAAAGCTTTTCAAAACAAGCTCGATTAGTTAAAAGCCTCAAACAACATGTTATTGCTTATATAAAATGAATTTTAAAATTAGTTTCAATTGTTCGTTGAGAAGAAAAAAAAAAGAAATTTCATAAAAATGTTAACAAATAACTATAATTTGAAACCAGTTTTTGTGTTGTTTGGTTGTTAAAAACCTGTTACTGTAATTTTGTTAGAAGTTTTCGTTAGAATTGGTTTTTGTTGAATAGGAAACATTTCAGAATTTACCTTTTCATACTTTAATTAATAATTTGTTTGAACTGTTCATTTGAAAATATCCATTATATCTATTCCTTGCGAATTTAACAGTTTTGTGTACTTTTAAAATAAACTTTTATGAATTTACTTCTCAAAACTATTTTTAAAGTTCCCTTGTAACTCTTTCATAAACAAAAAAAAAAAAAAGAATTAAATGCACTTGTTTGCAATTTTCCTTAATAATCCTAGATTTTAGTCAACTTAAATTTGCCTATACATTTATATTAAAAAAAAAAAAATTAAATTGTATTACATTAAAAATTTTTTATGTATTTTAAAAGTTAAAAATTTTGAAATTTCCCTTTGATGTGCGTTAATTTTAAATATTCATTCGTGAATTTGGAATTTTGTTTTAAAAATTTGTGAAAAATGCAATTTCAATTTAATTTTTGGAATTTGTCTAAAAAAATTGAAATCCTTTTTAAACATATATTTTTTTTTTACTAGTTTACAAACTTTTTCAATTTTCATTTTAAATTTGTTAATAAATTGTTATAAACACTATTCACAATCAAGAGCAATTAAATAGCTTTAAAAATAAGAATAACTATTCAAAATTTGTTTAAAAACCACATGAAAAGGCTTACAAATTAAATTGTATGAATTCCTTTAACTGCTTGCTTGAAAACAATCGAATTTGTTCTTAATTTCTCATTATCCGGAGCACAAAGCATTATTTAAAAATGAAAGAAAAAAAATGTGCAAGTTGTATTGTTATAATGTTTCTGTCCACACATTATTATTAATTAATGTGTAATATACTAATTACCTTCGGTATGCTAATAATTATTGATTAGGTATTTGTTTATAGGCTTGTGTGTTTTCCTTTAGACTCGCATAGTATGTGCTACTGTTTTAATTTGAAATGAATTCGAATTAATGTGTAATAACTATAGTCCATTTTGCATTTTATATATGTATATCTATATCTATATATCTGTATGTCTGTACATTATACGAACTGAGCCCACTGACAAAAGTTCTTCTCTTGCACTAAGCAACAAATACAAAATGAAACCAAAACAACAACAACAAGTGAAAAACTAGTAAACATAATGAATGGTTTTAGCTGCGCGTTTCCCTCTTGTGTTAGTAACTAACTAGCTCTCCATTTCTATCACTATTTCTAGACTCTTGCAACAATTAATTAGGAACTAAACGAAGCAACTAACTTTGAAACCTATAAGCAATCTTTGAAATCGACTAAACAAACCGAACGAAAACGTTTCAATAAAAAGAATATTATTAAACACACACACCAGAATAATATGAATTTAACAAGCATATACATAGCTTACATATATATAGTTATATATATTGTATTGTATACATTGGTGGGCTTTATTATTGTAGTAGGCGTGGCAATTACAGCATATTCTAAACGTTAAACGGCGCAAGCTCAACTTTTCACACACACTTATAGTATATACATTATATATTACGAATAGGCCCAGTAGGTTTTGCCTTTTAGCCATAAAAGTAAATGATAAATAATAGATAAAAAGGGATGTCTGTCTGTAGGTTTTTTGTAACGTGTTTAAACGTAAAAATGTAATCATAAAGGTCTACTCAAAACCTAAACCTCCTTGAATCAATGTGACTTGTATATTTAAAAAGTAGCACGCTGGCCGAGCATCAGATGCATATATATATATATACAGATATATATATAGATAGTTTTCCTTCGATTATGAATGATTATTATAATTGTGTATTACGAATATAATTAAAATAGCATGTGTATGTATGCATAAATTTGCGGATTGATAACTTTTTAACAATATACATGCATATATAATAATAAAGACCACAAAACAATAATGATAATGACAAGCAAATAAGAATACCAAAAAGAAATGAAAACAAAACAAAACCAAGTTTATTGAAATGATTCCTGCCCTCCATTCGTATCAAACCATTGCAAACTAACTCAAAACGAACTTTTTATACATAGTACATATACAAGTACATAGCAAACAAATAGCATTGATGATTTTTTTGATGAGAATGGATAGAAAACATACGCCTAAATATATGTAATATAATTAGCATTTTTAAAAACGACACAAAACAAAAAGTAAAACTCAGAAATGTGTGCTTATAGCGTTGTTTTCGGTTCTCCTTTTATAAACATTATTGTACGGGTACGCATAAATATACATACATATATATACATATATATTTACTTCTGTAGAGCAGATTCTAAAACCAGCTCGCTATCTCGCTATCGATGATCAGTGCAGCAACTTTATAACGATAATACAACAATATATGATATATAGTATATATAGGTACTTCTCTCAAGGATTTGCATAGTTTTCATTGGGCTTGCTACATACATACATACATACATATACACCTAAATACATTATATACATACATATGTAATAGGCACATCTTGAACGCACAGACTTCTTCCCCCCAACTACTACAACAACAACCAAAACAAAAACATCGACAACGAGCACTTTAAACTTAAGCCATACATTCATTTTTTACCCAACTGAGGTACTACTTGCCTAACTAGAAAAGAGTAACAACAACAAAGACCGTTTTCAATTCTAATTAATACTAGTTGATAGTTAAACGAAATGTGTGTGCATGTATTTTTAATCAATATATATACATATATATACTATATATGAATAACAAAAAACAAAACATAATGGTATTTCCAAAAGACCATTGTAAAGGTGTTGTGCTTTTCTAGAATTTTATTAGTAGGTACCATCAACTAAAATGAAAAAAAAAAAAAAATTAAGAATAAATAAAAAAATAAAAAATAAAAATTAATAAAAACGAAATTTTATTTTTTTGTCACAATAAAATGTTATACGGAAGCAAAAATAATAATTATATAGAATATATATATATAATTGACTACCTTTTATACGTGCACTGAAATACTTACTTACAAGTATACATACATATATATATTTACAACAACAACAACAAATTCAATCAACCAAATTAAGCAACCGGCTTAAATTTACTCACTAAACAAATCTAGATTTGTTTATTTACACGCTTTCGGTTTATTGTGTAACATATTAATAGCACAAAAGCCAAACTAAAAGATTACAAAAAAAAGGAATACTATGCGTTTTCAACACCACTCGTTTAAAAAATGATTTCCAATAATTAACAAAAAAGGCTTATAATTAAAAATATTACAAAAAAGGAAAAACAAAAAAAAACAACATAAAAATAAAGTTTTGCTGTGATGTACGTTATATATATTTAATTACATGAATTGCAATATAAAAAAGCATATAAAAATCGTAATTCCAAATTATTACAGCAAATTAGCAAAAACAAAATAAAAAAACAACATATTTTATGCATGAGAACTTTTCCAAAAGTATGTATTGTACGAGATATGTCTAGAATTGAACAATGAAATTTACGCAATTTTAAATGTGACTTTTGTTTTACATTTTTGTAGGCAACAACAACAAGAATAAGAACAAACAACAAACACTTTTCTAGTATTGTAAAATCAGTTAACCATAGCATATATGTAAACATATATATATTAAAGCAAGAGTCTTTCAATGACATTGTAATGTAATGTTTATTGCAATAATTTCCGATTTTGTTTTTGTATTAACTCGCAAAATTTCAATAAAATTTAATGAACGTAATTATGTAAAAAAAATATGTTTCAGCACTTTTTTTGGGATTTTAATATTAATTCTTCCCTTTTATTAAAATAAGCTGCTCTTTGGGTATCTCTTTTTAGGAAATTTATCCAACATTTGTCGACATTAAGTTTTACTTTGCCCAGCTACTACACCAATAAATATTATATACACACAATCGTTTTAAACTCACTTTTGTTTACTTTATCAGCTAATATTAAAAAAATTGATCCACTAATTGATTCAAATTAACGTACTTATTTTGCAGCCCTGGCACTTGCTTGATTTGGAAACGCGACATGTGTCGTTGCTTTCAGTTATCGATAAAATATTAAATGGACACACTATCGATACTTTACCACCTCCAGCATTGAGCGAGATTTCGTGGTGAGCCTCGTGCGCCATTCGGTTAATCATGATGGAAAGTTCGAGGTGAGCGTACCTGTGCGCAAGAAAAAACGAGAAGAGTTATTGATTAAAATTTCTGCTAAAAAATTTAATATATATGTAATTATATATTGTAAATGTCTATAATTTAAGTGATATAAATCAAATATATATGTGTAACGTTTAATATTTTAATACGCGCAAAAGTACAACGAGTGAAGCTAAACACACATCCACAAAGGAAAAAAACGGAGCAGCAACAACAAAAGTCAAGCATTTTTGTGTGTGGCCCCTATATCTATATCTATGTATATAGAAGAAAACAACAATTTGTGAATGTTCGTGTACTTTTCCAAAACAAAACGTATGAAAAAAAATTGAAAAACGAAGCTGCATAACAGACGGTGTACATACAAGTTTAAAAAAATTAACAAAATCAGTTGAAAGTGTGATTTTTTTGAGCCTTTGTCTGTAAGTGAGGAGAAAGCTTTAAGCGGAGTTATAAATAAAAGAAAAAATACATAAATAAATACGAAACAAACAGCCCGTCGCCATTTTGAAAGTGATTTTACAATACATACACACATACGTATATAACACACACCAACACATAGAACACACATATAAACGCAAATACACACATAAAACCCCATCTAAAAAATCTACAACCCGATTTCCGTGCCGTTTTAATACAAAATTGTACAATTTTAATAATTAAAATCCGGCAGCAGTTAAAATAAAGGCAACTTTTAATAATTAAACAACCGTTGGTGTAACTGCATACGCGCAAAAAGCATTGCAATACTTCCTTTTGTCATAATCAGTATAACAGAAGTGGCAAAGAAAACCCCCAGCTGCAATCAATAAAGCAACGACACACATACAGCCGTCTTTTTCACTACCCCGCATCCAGAGCGTGTGTGCAAGCGAGATCGCGATAGCAGCAGCCAACAACAACGTGTGTGTGAAAAGGTTTACAACTGAAAAGTAAGTCGCAATTGTGTTGGTACATACATATATACTAGAGCTGTGCGTGATTGCATGCGTTAAAGTGGTGAAAAAATTTGCCGTTTTCATTATAATAATAACAATATAAGATACGAAAAATATTTAGTTCATTAAAAAAGACAAGTATGAAAATAATAAATAATCCGTTAATGTTAGAAGAAATTTATATCCCAAATGTGAGTGGAGGTAACGGCGTCTATTGTCACGCGCTCATCTCTAATATATATGTTGATTCATTTATTCAGGTATAAGTCTAGCGAAAACACATGCATATAGTATATGCATGTGTATATATATATGTGCGCACAAACAAACAATCGTTAGGTTTTAAGTCCACGGGGGGTTGAGCAAGGGCCTTTAAATATTTGTATAACAATAAAACGGCGCATAACAAACGCGAGAACAGCGACACAATTTCCTTATGTTGTTGTTGTTCAAAAAACATGTCAGCGGGCACAACAAATCTGGATTTAACGGGCTTTATCAGTTTTTCAGGCACAAGGGGACGTAGAGTCAGCCTGTGAACAGGTAGTACTCGTTATGTCCAATAGTACATTTTCACCGGCAATAAAACAAGGGTAGCTTCTTATTGAAAGCAGTCGTCTTACTGACTGAGCTATATAATTAAAAATAAATTATTTATTTGTATTAGTTTTATTACGCATACGATTTATTTACATATACAAGTAAAAAAATATGCAGCCTAACTTAAATACTTATATTTTTATTAGGAAAGGAATTTATCTGTATCTGTGAAAAGAAATTTTTAGAAATTTGTGATCTATCGTTCTCCAAAATTTTGTGCAACTATGTGTTTATTTGTTTGCTTCGAAAACCTTCAGAAATATTTTGTAGAATGCAAAAACTTTACAAAATCAGTATTCGTGACTACATAGTGAGTACAAAACGCACAGCTCTTCTCTAAGGTTGAATCAAAAGACTACTTCCCCATAAAAATCGTGTCCTAAAACATTAAACTTACCCACCCCATTTCTTTTGTAGACATTTATGTACATTGTGTATGAATGTGTAAAATAAAGCACATTTTCTCCCATTCGATTGTTGTTTACTAGTTTCGTTTTGCCTTTTCTTTATCTTCCCTTTTGTCATAGGACCGGCCCCAGCTTGGATGACAGCTACGACGATAAGCAAAGCGCAGCACCGATCGATACAGGCAAGAGGGAAACTCAGAGTTTGCGAAATTAGAGCTAAGAGATATCTTAACAAAACAAAACAAAAAGAGATAAATCAACAGACTGATAAACAATATATAACGTTAAAAGTATAACTATATATTAAAGTAAATAAAACAGAGTTGTAAATAAAAACGAGACACAACCCGGACGCAGCTGAAAGAGAGCGCTACGCATAATCCTCGCTCGAAGTCGCACGTCGCATGCCTTTTGGAGAGCGAGAGAGACAAATACGGAGAGAGAGAGTGCTGGTGAGAACGTCACAGCGTTTGACCAAAGACACATGTCAGTGCGACAAGAACAACAACAATAGGAGCAGAATCAGCGTAGCGGCAGAAAAGCAATCAGCAGAAGCATTAAGAGCAGAAGAGAGCAGGCACCGAGTTTGTTTTGTTTATAACAAATATAAATTGATTGATTTTAAGTGCGTGTGATATTTAACGTTAAGCATTAATTTAGCAAATAACCAAAAACAAGAATACGAAAAGGCAGAAAGCAGAAATTTTAACAAGCCCAAGGATAATAGAGAGAGAGAGAGATTGGAGAGATAGAGGAAGCGAATGCGCTTTTGGTGCAGCTCAGCGAGAAGTAAAGAAGCAAAAGAACGAAACTTAAAAGAAGTATAAGCTCGAAAGGAGAAAGAACGAAATTACTATGACATACTCGCACAATAGCGTTAGAAATAACATCAAAATGACAACAGCATCAGCAACAAAGTCTATACGATTGAAAAAGGGCGCAGCAGGAGCAGGATCGGCAGGAGCAGCAGCGTCGGCAACAACAACACCAACTGCAACAACAACAAGCACGCCACCAACTGCAATTATACCCTCGGTAACTGCACATTCCAACAGTATTGCCAGCAGTACAAATTTCAACAACCAACACCACTTCCATCAACAACAATCAAACGCCTTAAGCACCACACCAACATCAACAACAGGAGTAACCAGTGTCTTCAACACGCCCAACAATAGGCAGCAACGTCAGCAGCAGCAGCCCCAATCGGCGCCTCCTCGCAGTCGCCAGCGACAATCGCCGCAGCAACTGCAGATGAGCGGCGGTGGCGGCGGTGCCTTCTTTTTCGCCAACAACTCAAGGCGCAGCACCGGGGGCGGATTCCACGGAGCCCGCTCCCCTCAATCGATGGTGCGTCAATCACCGGCAACAATTTTGGGCGGAGGCTTTTCGCCTCCCACTGGTGTTTTTGGTTCAGCCGGCGGCTCAGCGCGCAAACAGCGCCGGAGCCCAACCACTTTTGGTGGCAAGGTGTCGCCACCACATACACTCGTACCCACCGCATTGACGCATTTCGCCGGTAGCAAGTGTTTCGATGCACCGGCGCCAACAGCATTGCCCAAGCCGCCCCAGCACTGGACTCTGTCCAAATCAGAGGAAAAGCAATTGGTGGCCAGCAGCGCTGGTCCGGCACTCCAGTGCCTGCTGCGTGGCGGCTCGATGTCGGCCCAGCAGTTGCAGAAACATCATCATCATCACCATCATGTGGTCATCAAGTCGTCGAAGCGCAATCTGCTCGATGACTTCGATACGCACAATTTAAAAATGTTGCTCAATGTGCAGTCGTAACCACCAAGGCAGCAGAAAACACAATGACAACATCTACAAAAAACAATAATCGAGGCGACAGATCAACAACAATGTGAAAATGGAGGACCCAGAACCCGTCAATGATTTGCAAAAAAAAAAAAAATATGAAAAACAACAAAAAAATGAAAAAGAACAAAACATAAAAAATGCAAAAACAAAAAAAAACCCAAAAACAAAAAATATAAACTGAAAAATTGAACTTTTTTAAACTACAAACAAAGAAAAGAGAAAGAGAGAAAAGAAGGAATACAAAAACAACACAATAACTTTAAAAGAGTAATGTTTGTGATCTCATGTGTATCATAAAACAGCGACAAAAATTGAGAAGCTTAAACAAAAAACAAAACCTAAAAAACAAAAACGAACACTAAAATACTGAAGCAAAGAAACAAATGCAAAATAGAACTGTCCTTACACAACGACAAACATACACAACAACAGTTTCAACAACAACATCTTATGAAGAAAAAAAATGCAAAATTCCAACAACAAACAACTAAAACTATTGAAGGCTTCAAAACAGAAACCAATCAGTCGTTAACTTCAAAACGCAAATTTTAAAAGCAGACCAAAACAATTATCAGAACTTGCTGCAACAAACTACAGAAGAAAGCAAGGAGAAGAAACAAGAAAAGAGAAAGAACAGCAAGAACAATTTGCAACGGACGCTTGGCTAGATAACAACAACAACAAGAACTATAACGGATACTTCACAACTGAACATTGTTTTAAACGTGATACGCAAATAGACTTGAAAATTAATTAATAAGTAAAAATTATAACTATAATATTTATGTAAAAAGAAATTAATTATTTAAAAAATTGACGCTAGAAGCGCAACACATAATCAACAGTTTTATGTTTATTTACGCGGACAAAATGTGCAACGTACCTAAAAACATAAAAACAAAGAGAATAAAATATAAAATAAAATACCATAAAGAGAAAACTAAAACAAAAAGCTGAAGAGCAGCAAACTTAATATATAAACCCCACCAAATCGCTTTAAAGACTAATTAAACGAACAGAAAAAGAAAAGAAACAACAACAACAAGAACTCTTTAAAACACGACAAACTCAACGAGACGAGGGCGTTGCCGTTGCCAATTGCCATGCCCACTTGCCAGCCGAATGGGCGCACAAATTTGATCCTGAGCAGCAGTAGCAGCGCAGCAGCAGAGCAACGCAAAATGCATAAAAACTTGCCCCATCATCTACTCAAAAAACCACTACATGGCCGATCTATCTTAAGTCATTTGGAAAACCAACATTATACAAAAAACAAAAACATACTTCCATTAATTTTAGTTAAAAGCCCTAGAGCTACAGCTATCAACTGAGTTGTTTTCTTATTTTTAATTTTATACTTTAATGTGTACCTATGCTATACACACATATCTCGCACACCATACTACGTTTATACGATGCCGAAAATCCGTGAGTTGACTGCTATTTTAAAATATATCTTTTCTCCCATATGCATATGCCGATTTGTATATATCCTACCAATTTGAATGATGTCGAACTCTTGATTTTTAAAGGATATGCCTGAAAATCATGAGTTTCGCTTTTAAGATAATTACAATCTACGAATTAGTCGGCTCTTAAATAATTCTATTTCAGGATATTCAAGCATCTTATAATCGTTGTATGGTATTGTATATCGTATTATGTTTATACGAAGCTTGAATATCGATCAATTTTTCGCCTAAGCAATATATAAATTAGTAAATTTTTATACAGAAATTTGTAGTTATTGTGGCTCGGGAGTTTTAAGCAACGCATAAACGTAGTAGTACCCGAGAGATACATGCGAACCAATGAGTTTTGATATGCATTTACACTGTATATCATAGTAATGGCTTTAAATATTTTTGAATTGTACATAGAAAGAGAACTTTTAAAAACTAATTATAAATTTCACAAACAATTTTAAAACATGTATAGAATAAATTTTCCATAAATTGGGCGCATCATCTACACACACACACATACATAAGCGCATGTTTTCACCACCACAACATACACACTTCTCTGCATTGCTTATGTAACATAAATATATAAACACTATATATATATAAATATATATATTTAAGACGAGACATATGCACAAATGAATTTGAATAAACAAATGGCGCCCAATTGAAAGAAACTGAGTTGCAATATCCAAAAGTTGCTAAAAAGAAAACAAACTACTTCTCTATTGTAAGACAAACAAAAATAAATGATATGAAAAATTGTGGTGTAATTTAAAAGTTGTAATGTATGCAAAATTCGTTGATGCTCATAATTCTCATATAGATATGGAAAGAGGAGAGAAGAAAAGAGAGGAAAAGAACACTTAAAACCCAGTACCTTATTTTTCATAATTAGCATTATTATGTACCATTAATTGTTAATACCATGAATTGTACGATATGTAAATTATTTAAGCTACCAATAACAACAATTACTATACAAATCCAAAGTTCTATTGTATTTTGCGTCATGATGAGTCATAATAACAACAACAACAACGACAACTGCTGTTGCCGAATTGAGTTTTGTAAGAAAATTGCGGGGATAGATGTGCAAGATATTTGGCCGATTGCGCAATATAAAACAACTATCTTTCGGATCTAGCCTCGCAACAACAACGCCCTTTAAGAGTGTTTGCCAAGTGAATTGGTCAAAAGTGATAAGCCAAAAAGTAAAAGAGAGAGAAGAGAGTAAATTGTATAAAACTAAGCACATTTTGTTTTTCGATATCAAGCAAAATTGTTTATTGTTTATGAATGCCTATTATTTCCTAAAAATTGATGATATATCATAGTTTTAAAAAAAAACACACAAGTTGAAACAATGAATGAAAGAAAAAGAAGCCAAAAAAGTCAAGCACTGTTTTTTTTTTTTTTTTGTTTTTTAAGCCTATGCTGATAAAAATGATGGTAGCTTTAAAGCTTGTGTCTTCAAGTTGACGCTTTCCTACTACAAACAAAACTACAAACATACTTCTTAGAGTATTTTAGAGATGCGCAGATTGGAGCAGTGCTCAATCAATCGATAGGAAATTTAAATTAGACACACATTTCCCAAACACTTGACACTTGTTGCGCAGAATTTTGCATTTTTTAAGCTGTAAGTTAACATTTGTTATACGCTGCGAGTCAATTTGAATGATTCATTCAAAGAGAACGAACTTAAGCTATTGAATTAAAAAAAAAAGAAAAACTAACACTAAAATCAAAGCCAAAACCAACCGAGGCGTATGCTCAAAACAATACTACTATACATTTTAATTGCATGTCTGGCCGGGCGATTGGCTCTTTGATCCCTTCTCAATTTTTCTGCACTGCCCAAGCAGCTTAAGCGAAAATTAATTTTAAATATATATTTTGGGCCGTTGCAAATTTAATAAAAACAAAAAACTTTGCCACACCAATCAGTACAAATTAATAATTTCCAAAATAAACATAAAAAAACTATGAAAAATGTTGGGTCAAGGACATCCTCGTTCAGAGCATGTAATTAAAATATTGAGACATACACAAATGCCAGCAAAAATTTTTCCTTTTCGTTTGTCTTTTTTTTATTTTGGCCATTTTATTTAACCAACAAGAAAAAACAAAAAATTGTATTTGCAGTTCGAATATTATTTTGTAACTATTTTTCCTTTTAAGTAGTGTTGAGCGCATTAAGTGGATTGCGACTCATTCGTCATTTTATTGCTCCATTGATCTATTTACAATTTAATTTGCAATTTTTTTGTGATACTTTGCTATATATGTATTTAAATCTGGTATATAATATTTACAATACATATAAAAAACAAACAACATCTAAACAAAATAAACACAACTACACACACCCATACACAAAACAATTGAAACACACACACACCAACGAAATTGTAACAATTTGCTTTGCAAAAAGAAAATAAGCATCTGAAAATATTGAAAGCAATATTGAAATTGTACGAGTAATTGTGTTAAATCCAAGACCAAGTGTAATAATTTTTGATGAAAAAAAAAAACAAGAAAAAAGTCCACAACAACAATAGAAAAAAGCAACTAAATAAACAATTGTACACGGCTTTCGTAAAGAAATTTATAAAAGCTTTGTATAATTACCAAAAAAAAACATCCTACCTTTGTGTTTTCATTTGAATTTGTTTTCTTGGCGCACTCTTTTCAGTTTCAGTTTTTCAGCATTCCACATCCCTCCAATTGGCAAATAACAAGTTGGCACCAACATCTACATCTTTTTGTTTTGCTCACGATTGATAAACAAAATAAAATTTGGCCGAAAATATTAAGCAATAGGTAATAAAAAAGTAACGAACACGAAGAACCGCAGCAGGAAATGTTGCATAAACAACACACAAAATATAAATACAAATGCTTGTACGTGTAGACATCTATTAGAGTACTGCATGCATGAATTCGAAGTGGATTCATTCGAATCAAACAAAATAATATGACTTTCTTTGATGCGTTGGGAGAGCGAATTGAATTGTTTACTATGCAACGAATCTTGTGAATCATTGTGAAGCAGTTACGGAACAAATTATGAATGAAAATATATGTCTTGTATGCCACTACTCCAGCGATGCAAGTCAATTTAATAAAAATAATGGGTTCTAGAAGTTAGTTGGGGTATAATTGTTGCGGCATTTGATTGTGAATCTTGGAAATAATTCGATTTGAAAAATTCCACTCAAAATTATAGCAATTGATTAATGATCTATCGATTCCAGTTAATGGAATGTAAAATGTGCTCTGGAAGTCGTTTACATCATAAATTCAGCTGAAAGGCAAATTTAGCAAGGGGTCTTCAAAATAATATTTAAATCGAATGCCAGAAGCTAGGTTAGAAAACAATTCTATGCGATTCAGATGCGGCAGTAAATGGTTTCATTAAATAGTTCAAAGTGGATTTTATATATTTGCATCGATTCTTCACTCTTTTTCGAGTTTTCATTGATATTAAATTAAATATTAAAAAATTGAATTTGAATTCAAGTTTGAGTTCCATGCCTGCAGACCTCTAATGATTATACAAAATTAAGTATATGCACAAATTTAAAAATACAAACGAAACCTTATAAAGCAGCGAACAACAAGAGCAACAACATGTCTTAGCAAAAATAAGCAATGTCATTGAGATTGAGCAATTTTTAAGCAAAATGGAAAAAGCAATTTTCAACATTTTATAACTTTTTACGAACATAAAAAACAGCAATAACCACAATAGCAACCGCAAATAGAAACAAAACAACTGCAGAGATACGAGTACTGCGCACACAAATAATAATAATAAAAATTAAAAGATAATGTCAATGGGTGTTATGTGAACTGAACAGTTTGCCACAACAACAAAAGAGACATCAAACCAATGCATTGTATAATATGTTAAACAAGAACACATACGATAACGAGTGTGTATTGCATATGAAAGATCGGCGAGACAAGACGGGGCGAACGGTCATACGTATATAGATGTAGAAGTAAATACTTCAGATAAGCGGCTTTGAACACATACTCATGTACATGAGTTTGTAAGATTGTATGCATATTGTACGAAGAACGAAGAAAAGTTGAGGAAAAAGATGCATTTACTCAAATTAATCGCGTTTAAACGAAGCCTGTAAGTCCTTCGAATTGTGTCTAAAACTAGCATTTCACGCAATTAATACATATTGGAAAAATATGAAATGAAATCGCAGTTGCAATTTTCTAAATTTCTATGTCGAATTCTGATTTGATTTTAGTTACAAGTAGATTCGAAATAGAAAGTAAAAGTGATTGATAAGATAGAATTTATGGGCTTCGTATAAACGTACAAGAACTCGAAAAACAAACATAGAAATAATAATTATGCGAAAAAAGTCGCGCATAAATACTTAACAAGCAAACCAAGACGAATCAAAACTAATGATAAGTTTGTATGAAACCTTGAAATGCATGAATTTCAATTTGTAATAAACCAGAAAAATGATGATTTGGAAATCACCACACATTTGAAAAATTGCAATTCATGCATTTTGGGACTTCTATATGAATATTGTGGGTATACTATGTAAATGCCTACGATTTTTATGTAACATGTTAACATTAAACGAAAGACCACAACTCCTTCTTACAAAGCAATCCAATTCCCCAATACAATCCAGTTCCCAGATCCCCCCAAATATTCCCAAATCCCCAATACGATCAACAAAGAGATTGAAAATTTTCAAAAATTCAACTGGCGGCATCGTTTTGGACATAAATGGAGCGACAGAGAGGTGAGTCGCGCTTGTTTCAGCTTACTGGAAACTCCCAGAGCTCTCGAGATAAAAAGTAAATCACCTCGACGTGGTGGCAAGATGACTCATTCACGCGCTGTTTGTTTGGTATTTGTGATTTCATTTAAACATTTCGACTAAATAAACACTTACGTATGCATAGCTACCTACCATACCTACCACCACCTATATATTATCTATTCATAGACGATTCGCCGAACGCGTCTTAAGCGTGTGAGACAAAGAGGCACAGAAAACCACGAAACGTGTCTTACATCACCTTCGAAACGGCAACAGCGGATACGAAATACAAAAAGGTTTTATAAGAAAACGGCCGATGTCGCAAAACAAAACTGGATTTACAGACAAACTTGGAGTTGGCTTAGCGCCGAGTGTGGCTGTCTGCCTATGAAATACACACAGAAATAAATATACATATTACTTGTGTACTCGTGCAGTAAACGCTGCCAAGGCAGCCAGAAATGCTAGATACTATGCAAACCGCATAAATACAGATTAACACAGTTGTATATTCCGCCATATATGCACATATATTTATATATATATGTACTTGTATGTATAGTATGTGGACACACACGTGTCAGTAATTAAAGCTTCTTTGGGCATTGTCATGTTGATTAGGTTGTTGTTTCCAAAAATAATTGTACACTGCACAAAAGAACGGCATTGAAAGCTCCCTTTTTCAAAATTTACCTCAGATCCGATCTGTTCGAAACAATAAGATTAATCGCTATTCGTTCATCTTTTTCGAAGCAAACTAGTCTCTCAGTTTTAATCGTGCCAAAAATATATATGAGCTCGTTCAACTATACTATATAGTTGCTAAAAATAATTATCCACTTACTCGTATGGGATAGCACTTCAGATTCTACGCTATAATTACTTACTTCATTTAATCAGTTAGGCATAAAGCATAAAGTAGTATCTCTGTTTTAATCGTGCTAACTACTCGTATTGCTAAAAATGCTTTACTAACTCTTTACTCTACTATCTGAAACTGGTTCTTAACATACTTAGTATGTCTCAGTTTTAATTGTGCTAACTATATACATATGTAGAATCGGTGAATTATGTGTGTGTACTATATAGTTGCCATTGGAACACAACCCACTGGAAATTTTATTCTGATGTAAGGTTGTCTTCATATTCATTTGAACTTTGATTTGAAGTACCAA